AATAGGATACAACGCAAAGGAGTGGCTAGTGGGTACAGGGTGGAAACTGAAGGTTAAAAAGCGTTGACCTTTACAATGTTGACGAGTTTAGACGAAAAGGCATCTGTGTTTTTCTCTGGCCTCTCATTCACTCTTTCTCACTCTCTCTCTCATTCTCATTCTCTTTCTCTCCCTCTCTCTCTCTTTCTCTCTCTCTCTCTCTCTCTCTCACTCTCTCTTTATCCTTCTCTCACTCCGCTTCCCTCACAAACCCCCCCAAAACCATGGCAAAGTGTCCACAACATGTTCTCTTTCTCTGACTCCATGATGACTCACTCACCATACTGGCAGCGTGTTCCTTGGAAGCCTACAGGACACTCACAGATCTGGTCACCTCTCTCAGCACACCTACCCCCATTGAAGCAGGTAGTAGCTGCACACATCCCTGTAAAACACAACGCACATCAGTCACTCCAGTAGCACCTGCAAATGCTCATACACATCATCGCACAACAACACATGATCAATTCATTTCATATGTACGATAGCGCTAAATTTGATAAATGTGTTAATACGAAATAATATTCAGTGTTTGTCTTTGAACTCACGGTGCAAACAGCCCCTCTCCTTGCCCCTCTGTGTCCACCCAGGGCAGCACCTGTACACCTTGTGCACATCCATACTGTACACCTGCCTGTAGGCTGTGTAGTAGCCTGTTCTGCAGAAAGGAAATGACATACAGGTGTAGGATTTTAATTTGATCACCCTGTTACAGGAGAACTTTCCTGCAATGCAGGACATTTTAAACTTGTAGTGTATTTGAGGTTTCAAAAGGCTTCTGAAGTTTGTAATTTCCACTTCGAAATTTCAGACTTGATTTTCCTTCAAACCCTACAAAAAAGTCAATTAATTATAAACCACATAACAATTCATATTTCCTCTTGCTGCTGGATAATTTTTGTGCTGTAGCAAACTGGCTCAAATTAAGATCTGTATGAGCCCAGTTATGATAGGAGAGACTGAGTACAACTATCCAACAACAACAACAGGGTATTGGAGAAGACGTGCCACTCACCTCCTTTCGTAGCCAACACACCAGCGGTGGCCGGTGCAGCCTTGCTTCCAGACCTTGACCATCCGAGTGAAGGCCTGGACACAAGGCTGGCGTGCACCCAGCATGGACAACTCCTGGTCCGCACACACATTAGGCCTGCCGAGACACAGAGAGGATGGTTCAGTCTGTAATACTTTACATTAAGTAGCTTGTATACCTGTGTAGTAACACTATAATTACTCTGGGTACTAGGGCTACATTGTTATATGCCATGTTGTTATCATCAATTTAATCATTGATTTACAACGGCATAAAAATGGAGATGAGCGGTTTAGATATCCTTCAAGTTATTAGTGATGGATACACAGGACAGGAGAGGGTCTGGGTTCAGGCCCATGAGAGAGAGTTTTTACTCTCCCCCTCTGACACCAGAGTTGCTGACCCTTATCATGAACCACCCAGCAGCACCAGACCCTACAGCATCTTGACAGGTGCCCAGCGTGTTCACCCCAGATGAGGTGTGTGTGTGTCACTCAGGGAGCACGCCGACACAGGGGAAACACTGACACAATCCAAGAGGAATTCCAATAGACACATTACCTACATTTACTATCTTATGTCTATTCACAGCACCAGATAGACCTCGGAATTTAGCAATTGGATTGAATTCAGCAATGACAATTGGCCATTGTTAGGAGTATCTCATTGTTTAGCTCAAGGCACAGTATACGGCTTGTGCATTGCCTGCCGTGGGCTCCACAATGTAAAGTAAAACCCATCCTGGGTTTTGGTCTGTTCTCCTTTAGAATTCCCTAGACTCATGTTCTAAAATACTCTGCTAGACTTGGACAGTGTTCCAGACACCCAATAAACAACCAATTAAAATTTCCAGGCAATACCAGTTTATTATCTCATAAGAGAAAACATGTCAGAATGTGTGTGTGCTTTTGTGTGTGAGTGCATGACTTTGTGCATGTCTGTCTGTCCGCCAATGAAAATGCTAAGGGATTCAGCTGCTGAATATCTGAATATCTACATACCATCATAAATATATCAAGATGTTGTCAGAACAGGGATTTATAACACACATTTGTCCAAAGGTGTATTTCTGCATCTGCACACACCATCTGGGTTCAATAGACAGCAGGCTAGGTTAATTAGCTAAGGGAAGTTTTAGGCTCCTACAGTCATGACAATGCCCTCCTGAATGGGTGTCCTGCACACTCTCATTCTTTTTGGGAAGTCTCTTGAGAAATGCACATTCCTTTACATCCTCAGTATAATAATGATCATGCTTGTCGGGTAAAGTTGTATGGTTTATTTTACGTGGGGTCCACAAAGGGCGACGCCTAGAGGACAAATGCATCCAGATTACTGTTGTGCAGTCATAAAAAGGCAGAGCACATAATACAAATATAACGTTAGTACCCAACAGTAGAAAACAGTGACAACAAAGGCTAATAACCATGAATAGAGGCTGTGGTTGATCCCTTTAACCAAAAGTAGGCCGGCCTATTGAAACATGCTGCAATAACACATTTCAATTGAAGAGCCGCAAAGACCAAATGGAGTCTTTATTCATTTGGTTATTTACAGACTCAAATGTTCATCTGTCTCATGTGTCTCAGAGACACCTGGAGGCTATAGTGTGCTCATGTATTAGATATTCAACATAAAATATTCGTGCAACTAAATTCACTCACATGTCAGGTTGTAACTCCAGTGATGATGCGATGCGCGTGGTGTCCAGTGCTATCATAAACCAAATGAAAATGTCCAAGAACATTATTCATTCATACAGAGAAGACCACAAAGTAAAGAGTGATGTGATGAAGGTAAATATATCCTATAGTCCCGTCAAATAATGATGTGCATCCTGTCTCCAACTGAGGACGCATCGAAACAGGACTACAATGCTTCGTCTCTAGCCACAAGATTGTCCAGTATCTAGAGAGCTTGAGAGAAGGTCTTCTTGTCCATCAGTTTGCATCCCCCCTTCAGCGTACGGGCTCTATTCACAAGAGTGCCGGAGTACCACCCACGACCACTAGAGGGTCCCTATCATCACAGCTCTCCGCTACTAAGAGCTTTTCAACGGTGTATTTTGAACTATGAAAAGTGCAGACTTTTGAACTTTACCTTCATACACTAAATATATTTTGATTGGTTTGATTATTGATCCATTCACGACCTTTATTTACGAGATCAAAAACATATACCACTCCTAAGACTTTTTGACACCTTCCCACTTTATTGTTTTTTCACTGGAACCTGTAGGCTATGTTTTAGTTCATTGAAGTTTCAATTAAAAAGCGTTGAGTTGGAAACAGCGACCTCCACTGTTGTTGTCCTTGGATCGTGCATTTATAAATTGCAATTATAATTTGCAGTTCTCTCAGATGTTCATTCAGATGTTTTTTTAAATGTAGGCTCACAGTGCTGAGTGCAAAGTGGGACATGGAATGACTGTGTGTGTGTGTTTCTCTCTCCAACCTGCTCTTCCTCTTCTCAAACTTCTCCCTCTCTCGCCACTTCTTTCTCTCTTTTTTCTCTTCCATCTTCTCCTTCAATTACTTCAACTCCACTGTCACTTTCTACATCTCCTCCTATGCCTTCTCTTTGACATCTACTTTTATTTTGTCAATCTCATTCTCTTTCTTTTTTAATATTCTCTCCTGTTCTTGTAATATTCTACCTTCTCTTATTCACATCCACTTTCAACCTTTCCACTATCTTATTCTTCCTCTCCAACTTCCCTTTCTCCTTTTCCAACTCCAACTTTCCAACTTTCTCCAATATTTCCAGCTTCTTGCTCTTCTTCTCCAGTTTCTCTTTCTACCTATCCAGCCCCTTGTCTTTCATCTCTACCTCCTCCCTCTTCTTCTCCACCCTCTGCTTCTCCTTCGCCGCCTATCTCTGCCTTGCCACCTTCTCCTTCCTCTCTACCCCTCCTTCCTCTTCTTCATTTCCTCCTTTGCGCTCTCCACTCCTTCCCTTCTCCAACACGTTCTCTTTTATTTCCACCTTCTCTCCCTCCTTATGGATCTTCTCCAGCAGTTTGTAGAGCGCTTTCACAGTGTCTTCTACAATCTCTGCGTCCACACTCTCTTTAACTCTCTCTATCTTCCGCTCAATCTCTGCATATGTTTTTGCTCCAACCCTCAAATAATTGTGATACAACTACTGAATAAGTAGGCTAAATCATTTGTATCAGTTAATAATACATCAGGTAACATTTCTGGAAAATCTATTCATATTCATTCAAACAGTAAAAACGTTTGCTTAAATATGTTTTGACCCATGGCTAATAAGTTACCACCATGTGAGTGCAGAAATCCAGTGGTGTAAAGTACTTTAAAGTACTATTTAAGTAGATTTTATGGTATGTACTTTACTATTTATATTTTTGACAACTTTTACTTTTACATCACTACATTCCCCCTAAAATATATGTAATTTTTACTCCATACATTTTCCCTGACACCCAAAACATTTTGAATGCTTAGCAGGACATGAAAATAGTCAAATTCACGCACAAGAGAACATCCATGGTCATCCCTACTGCCTTTGATCTGGCAGACTCACTAAACACAAATGCTTCGTTTGTAAATTATGTCTGAGTGTTGGAGTGTGCCCCAAGCTATATGTACATTTTAAAACGCAAGAAAATGGTGCCATCTGGTTTGCACAATATAAGGAATTTGAAATGATTTATACTTTTACTTTTGATACTTAAGTATATTTGAGCAATTACATTTACTTAAATTAAAACGAAATACTTTTAGACTTTACTCAAGTAGTATTTTACTGGATCACTTTGACTTTTACTTGAGTCATTTTCTATTAAGGTATCTTTATTTTTACTCAAATATGACAACTGGGTCCTTTTTCCCACCCTTGTAGAAATCATTATCACAGATATAATAACAGGTGTTTTATTGTATGGAGAACAACCATTTTCATGTGACGTAAAACAACTTCCTGTTTGGGTCCCCATCAAGTGGACCGTTGTTGTCCCTTTCAGCCTCTTGGAATCAACATCTAAGGATGCTACATCCTCTGTAATGCACCCTTGAATCTTCAGCTGGACCATATCCATTTTTGCACGTATATTTCATTTCTGGGAGAAGAACAAACCAAAGGGTAAGGCCAGCTAGCTAGCTAGATAGCTACTAGTACCAGCTAGCTTGCTGGTCAACTAGAAATGGCGTTTCAAAAAGCTAGCTATCGTGCTAAGTGACGTGCTAGCTAACTGTCTGTCATACAGACATTTCAAAGGATTTGGTCAGGCCGCAGTCCGTAGTTGGCTTGCTACTCGCTGAATACTGCTTGGAATTGCATTTATGGGCTTTATTTCGGTAAACATTACGGACAGTAAGCGCACCAACATAACTAGCTAGCTAACTTGGATTGCTAGCCAGCCAGCTCGAGACATAGCCAGCTATTTTTGTTAATATTCCAACCATCCAAGGTCTATTTTGGTTTCATTGGTGAAAATACTACTGTAGGTATTAGTAAGTGGTCCTCATCTGGAGAGTGGAGATGCTCCTTTTATTTTTTATCACATGATAACGTCACGAACATTCGTTCTATTTTAATTCAAGGAAGAAGACCATCAAGATTTCCTGGGGTATAGTTAAAAAGAAGCCTATATGTGGCTACATGGATAACCATTTATTTTAGGACCTCTTCTCTTAATAGATCAAGTAAAACTTGCTTGCCATTGTATTATTGTTGTGAAAGGGAATCCCAAACTATATTGTGTAACCAGTTAGTTGGGTCAGCTGATATTTTATCTTTGAATGATGCTTTTTTTGTATATTTTCCAGCCAAATGAACGGAGCAGCATTCCCCTCTCCCACTGCAGAGATGGCGGAGATGAACCGCATCCACTACGAGCTGGAGTACACGGAGGGCATCAGCCAGCGCATGAGGATTCCAGAGATGCTCAAAATGGGCCCCTACGGTCATGACAACCCTGAGGCAGGCTCACATGACCTGCACAACGTCATGATGCAGGTCCCAGAGAGGATCGTAATGTCCGGTAGCTACGTTGGTCCTCCATAGGGTCTCTGTAGTGTTGATACTCCTGGGCCATGTTCATTAGGCTCAAAACGGGATAAATTGTTTTTAAATGGATGAGGTTCTCCCTAACCCTAGTTTCATTTTCCATTGCAAACTGTTTTAGGTTTCAAGTCTTACTAAACATAACCCAGAATTGGCCCTTTTGTGACACCCTGCCTGACTGCTTTTCTCAGGAGACAGTGAGGACTCCCTGTTCCCCAGACCCAGAGACCTGGACCTGATCCAGTCCACCCCGCTAGAGAGCCTGTCCCTGAAGACCCCTCCTCGGGTCCTCACCCTCAATGAGCAGCCACTGGACTTCATGGAAATGGAGCGCAGTGCAGCCTCAACCCAGCCCAGTGAGGAGGTAAGGTATTGGGGTCTAGAGATGGACAGAGATAGTACTGATGGAATGATGTGATGGACCAGGCATGTGTGAACAAGCGGTATCAAACCCTGGTCACCCAAGCAACTCAATACTGTGCTAGCCCTCTGAGCTAAATCCTAGACATTAGTTCTGTGAGCTTACACAAATGTTCAGATCTCTGGCAAAGCCATTTGTCTTGTGAACATAGTTCATAGAACCACCTCCTCTACACTGACAATGGGGAGTTTATTTGAAAGTGACAGTCAGTATTTTACAGGAAGAGGATATCAGTATTTACCTATTCTCCCCCTCATAGGTGCGTTCGCAAGGGCGGTTGCGGCGGGAACGTTCAGCCAGCGAGAACACCACTGTCCGTCACAATAGTCAGATTGCAAGAAACGATTCAACGTAAGTAGCCTATCAACTGTGGTCCACACCCCTGTAGTGCCATGCACAATCCACCACCACCACACCCCTCTCCTCTTCCGTAAGCCTGTCCTTCTTTCCTCCTTCCATCTGACCAGTGGTTTTCCCCGTCTGCCGTCCTGTTTGTCCATCTCTCACTCTCTGTTCATTTGTTCTGATAATGACTTGGCTGTAGTTGGGTGTCTATCTCACTGGTGTTGTTGCCCACTCTGTAGCCTGTTTGGTTGGTAGTTGTATCTGGGTCTGCACCCTGTCCTGTTGCAATGCTGTGTGAGAGCAGTGCCGCTCCCTCCTGTCCTGAGCATGGTACTAAAACTTACTCTTAATTCTCTTCACTATTAACATATTATTATACTGTACCAGGGAGAGGCACCTTACAGTAAACATGGCATAGAACCATTTCATTTGTTCAAAGCTTATTTCACTATATAAAGTCCTTGGGGATCCTCTTTTGTTCAGAGCATCTTTGTGGGGGATGATTCATTGGGATCTTAATTAGGACCTTTCCATGCTTTTGTTTCCGCATCACCCTTGCTGTTGGAGGGTTAGGTATAGTTCAGTGGTGCACTAGTATGATTTGTTTGACATCACCACATCAGTACTATCTCTGTCACTCTTTGGTGACTGTTATCTCTGCGCAGTGAGTAAAGTGCGGATGGTCTTTCTCCCCTCCCTCTCCTTCACTCTCTCTCCCCCTCTCCCCCCTCTCTCTGCTCTGTTTTCTCTGGCTTGACCACTCATGTTGGTGGGGCAGTGTGACCACGTCCCCCCCAGCCCCTCTCCGTGCCTGCCCCCCTCTCGCCGAGGACGAACAGAACCTGTACAGCGCTAGCGGCGTTCTCTCTTTCATCCAGTCCACCACGCGCCGGGCCTACCAGCAGGTCTTGGAGGTTCTGGACGAGAACCACCGCAGGTGACCCCATGACCCCTCCTCTTAAGGTCATCTCTAGGCTGACCTCTCCCACTCTGCTCACCGTGCAGAGATTAACCCCTCAAATCAATACAATACAATTGTATTAATCCTCTCTGAGGCAATGAAGTCCCTGCTGTTGTCTCTTTCGCATGGACAGGGTCATCAAATCAGTTTTTGGCGGTTGGACAATTGAAAAAATTGTATCGTATAATTTGGACATTTGCTCAATGAACAAAATTATTTGTCTTGACCATATTTTGATAATTTATTTTGGGGCAATGGGTAGGGAACAGCTGGTAATTTGTAACACTCATTAACACTATTAATATGTCATAATGTATATTTATTTATCATTGCAAATCAAGATTGACTTTGCCTGATGTGCTGTTATCGAGCTGTGGCCTCGCTCAGTGCTTGGCTGAATTGGTTAAGAGGAGAGTAGTGTGTAGAGCAGTAGTGCTCTTCTTGCTCTATCCTTGTGCTGTAAGGACATTATCAAGCATTGTCAACAGCCAACCTATATAGTGATATGTATTGTCTACTCTCTGAGGAGAAGTGTATTGGAGATGAAAATATTGGTACTCTTAAAGAGGTCTGTTTTACACTGTATGATCAAAGTCATGAGACATTGGAACTATGAATTTCAAGAGTGAGTGTGAGAGACTTTGGGATTGTATGTGTGAGACACTGTACTTTGGTGTGCTGCTCTATCTCTCTATTGCTTCCTCTCTCCGTTTCTGCCCTCTTCAGTAAGCCATCGCTGCGAGGGGGGTCTGCCTCGACCTCTAACCCCGTGCATGAATCCAGGTAACTCCACCTGGCACATAGACTTCACCTCTCTCTCTCTCTCTCTCCCTTCTTTTTCCTCCTCTCCCTTTCCTTTCATCATATAGGCTATAGTTCTTGTCAGAAGAGGATGAGTGTTGCTGTCAATGTTAGTTGAAAAGATAGTTGGGCAATGAGTAATGCTGTCTATTGAGCTATTGTCAATGTATTTATAATAGACAATAGTTGATTGACAATCTGTCTTTTACATCAAATCATTGATCATTTAAGCTGAGAACTTCATTGTCATATTATGATCAACGATCAGAAATATCATCATGCCTGATCCATGATAGAAATGGCTAACCAGGATGTGTTTGGTCTATTTCTCTTCACCCAAGGCTTGCCCTGGCCACTCTAGACACTACTCTGGATGTCTCCATGGCTCCTGATGACATGGCTGTCGTAGATGCAGCAACACTTCGACGTCAGGTCTGCTCCTAATACATTTAGACTGTACTGTACTTCTATGGAAGGTATATCATTAAGCCCACATGTTGATGTGATTTTCATTGGTGTGCCTGTAGATCATCAAGCTGAACCGGAGACTCCAGCTCATAGAAGAGGAGAACAAGGAGAGGGCCAAGCGTGAGATGATCATGTACTCCGTCACCGTAGCCTTCTGGCTTATAAACAGCTGGGTTTGGTTTCGCCGCTAGAACCCTTTCCTCGGAACCACTGCCAGAGAGTGGAGAACAAAGCATCTCCCCTCCCCTTCTATGTGTCAAATGTTAGCAAAATGTACTCTCTGCACTTAGTCCCAGCACTGGATGGCCTTGCTATTGGGCAATGGGATATTTGTTTTCATTTATTTTATTTATGTACTTGTACATTTTTTATTTTTTTCAATGCTATATTAATTGTATTTTTTTGCTTAAGAAGCAAAGCTTGACATATGCTGTAAATATTTATTCATGTTACTCAAAGTTGTAATCATTGCTTCTGAGGTATTTCCAACAGATGAGAGGTCTAAAGAAAAGGAAAAAATAAGCCACGGTGGAGACGCATCAAAATGGGCTACATATGTTAACTATTTATTTGGGAGTGATGTGAAAAGATTAAAACATGTTGTGAAGTATTGTAAGATAATACATAATGTGAAATGTATTGGTTTAATTGATGTATAATACTGCAAGGAAATATACAGTCACACCATTGCTATTACACCATTTGATTCATTATGTATGGGCCATATCCACCAAGCCTTAGGCATGAGATGCTTTTTGTCCTCTCATATTTTATCTTCAGTTCCTACCTTTTTTTTTTTTTACCAAGAACTTGCTGGCTGGAGCACATTTCCAAATTGGTTGTAGTTTTCAGTCACAATATACCAGCATATTATGCTGAGATTCATACAGTTTTATTTGAATAAATTACAAAATAGCTAATTGTGATGTTTGAGTTTAGTTATATTAGTTGTTACCGGTATTAATTAGCAGTGTTGGGGAAGCTACTATGAAAATATAGTTTATGGCGCTACCAATTCACACTGGAAGAAGTTAAGCTACACTAAAGCCACAAAATATAGCTTACTTAACTAAAGTTACTTAGAAAAAGTAGTTCATGAACAATTATCACATCTAAATCTGAAATGTCATAGACTACAAGTTGCAAGAACAGATCACTCTTGGGTCAGATGTTAACAGAATGTGTAATTTAGCCTATTGAACACAAAGCTACTGCTAAATGTAAATAAATTACTAGTTTAACTAAATGTAGGTCACTACTCCCTAACACTTAATTAGTATTAAGTATATTGTTATAACAATGTAAATTTTAACCACGTCTATGGTTGGACGTTGGAACCATCTTCTTATTTTTTTAAATGGAATGAACTTGGCGCTTTAGGGTTGCTGTCCGGAAGGTGTTTATAGTTACACACCGTCGGGAAACTGTCATGGCGTCCGGATACATTGTAAATCGTGGTGTGCTAATATTTGGAATTCACTATCAACATGTTTGTAGAAATGTACTCCTTACACAGACACGAGAGAAGAAGCGATGGATGAAAGCATATACTCTATTGATGGAAAGAAAGTTGAAGATTGAAGGGCCTCCACCACCTAAGCCACGGTAATGCTAGCTAAGGTAGCTTGGTATCCTAGGGGGATCAAGTCAAGGCCATTGGTGTTGGTGCTCATGGTTAACGTTAGCTAGATAAGAAAGTTGGCATAAATAGGATGCAGAATTCAAAATGTTTGTAAAATTCAGTGCACCTGTTATCTCCTGCAATACACTATCTTATGAAGAGGATCAATTTGACAATCGATTGGACATGGGCTACATAATCTGGGGCAATTGACAAATACTGAAATTAGCTGGCTAGCCAATATAGAAGAGACTACTGTATTTAGCTACATACTGATTACATGCACCGTGATCTTAGTTATTAATTTCCCTATGTTCTGTCTCCTAGTTCTCAAAAACCTAACTGGGACTACCATGCAGAGGTCCAGGCATTCAGCAGCCGCCTTAAAGAAAGCTTCTCCCCGGAGCTCCTGAAGACAGCCTTCGTGAATCCCTGTTACATTCAGTTAGAGCAAGAGAGGAGGCAGGCACTCGGCGTGGACTCTGAAACGGCCGCTCTGGTCCTGGGGGATAACATTCAGCTGCACACACAGGGTTTGGAGTTCACCAAGAGCTTCCTGTCTGACTGGTGCAAGGCCAGCTTTCCCTAGCCTGCCCAGCAAGGGAGTGGTCGCCATTGTCGGGCACTTGACCAGTCATCCAGTAGTGTGCCATGTGGCGCGGAACCTCGCCATTGAGGACCTAACTATGAGCGCTCAATTCCCTGTCCCTGACGAAGTATTGCACAGTACGTTCCTCGCTGTGATCGGAGCACTCCAGGAGAGCAGTGGAGCTGAGAGAGCAGGACTTTTCCTTCGGGTAAGAGGAAGATCCTCAACCTTCAACACACCGAACTAAACAGTCATGATTAAACATTTCAAATTAACATTAGTTTGCTTGTGTATCTAAAGATGACACCTCCCATGCCCTCTTCTCTCCCTCCAGGATTTTCTGGTCACCCAGTTGGTAGGTAAAGACCTGTTTGAGATGTGGTCGGTGGTGAACCCCATGGGGCTGCTGGTGGAGGAGCTGTCCAAGAGGAACGTGGCCCTCCCGGAGCCTCGCCTCACCAGGTCGGCCGGCGCCGGCACCGTGCTCCCACTCTACTTTGTAGGGCTGTACAGGTACGCCTCACTGGCCTTTCCCATCAGTACGCCTCCTGATAAAGCCTAGGAAATGTTCCTGACCAGGAATACACTGTGACCAAGGACCTAAAGTATTATTTTTTGGTCAGGAAAAACTATTGCCGTTACTTATGGAGTGTGTGAGAGGTATGGGGTAGTGTTCTGCCGGTAGTTCGTTGTTTGTTTTTTATGGTACTGAGTGTGTGTGTTTGTGTCCTCAGTGATAAGAAGCTCCTTGCCGAGGCTCCAGGGGAGACCGTTCTGGCTGCAGAGGAGGAGGCAGCACGCGTGGCCCTGAGGAAACTCTATGGCTACACTGAGAACCGGAGACCCTGTGACTTCTCTGCAGCAGAGCAGCTCGGGCTTATGCCCTCCAATCCATCAGCAACACATAAAGGACATGTCACTCCAAGCACTATGTCTTCCATCAGTTGATGACCGCTCATGACACGCCAGAGGGTCAAAGTCAAGCGGTTCCCTTAGCCTATCAGGACCAACCTCTCACAGACTCATACCCCCAGACCTAGGAATACCCTCCAAACTATGTGGTCTGCTCAGGCTTGTAAATTAGAGGACTGTCCTTTGGCAAAATACTTTTGTTTTGTGTAATATATTATTGATCTAAAAGCTAAATGTTTCATGTCCATAATAAATATGTATCCTTGAGCAAATCTCTTGAAATAAAGTTTATCATACCATCTTTGGTTTCTCCTTGTCTGCTTATTATTGGGTGTTATTCATCAGTGTTATTCATTGATGTATGACTGTCCCACAACAGATGACATTAGTCTGCTCAAAAAAAACAAAAAAAAAACATGGTTTAGCAATGTGCAAAATGTATGGATTGATTTCACAAGCAGAATCCAAGACACTAAATTGGCAGGTCATTTTTGGGCCTAGTCAGGATCACCTGCTGTGATTGGTTGCCAGGACAATGTCTCTGACATCCATAATATCCTCCGCAAATGCCACAGCAACTAATCGGCAGAACTTGGAGTGAGAACTCGGCTTGAGTGTCTGGCCTGGTTTATTAAAGCTGTATTTTACTTTGAAAAGTCTGACACCAGTATAGACACCCGTTTTGGCACTTTGCAAATGCACTTTTATTGTGCATTTAATTTGCACAATATGGGGACCAACTGGATAATTGCTGTTAGACCTCAACTGGGTAATCTGTTTTACATAAATTTTTACAGAGAGTATTTGGATTCTGTAATTAATCTTTGTTACAAATGGAGTATTTTATCTGTAGTGATTGCAGGCAGAGCTTAGCATAGCTGAACAGTGATGTTACATGTGGGTGTGTAATATACACTTGTTTCACTCTCCATCTGGTCCACTTCATGCCAACTGTGCTATCCTCCCTCCCTGGTCCCTCGAAGCATTGGCAGCAGAACCTGTGGGCCTAGCTTCCTTCTTTCTCATCCGTTCTTTAATGAAGCTGTCATTTTGCCTTTAGGGGGAGAATGAAGGGCTCAATCTGCAGGCAGGAAGTGTAGGCCTACATCCCACTATATTCATCACTAGGATCACAGAGCAGGGTAGAAGGGGTTGCATCCTCCTTCTCATTCATGTATATCTGTATTTTGTCTTAAAATTGACATCTGCACTTATTTATCTGCACTGATACATTTGTATTGAAAGACTGATGTTTCTTGGCCTGGATTCAAAAAGCATCTCAAAGTAGGAGTGCTGATCTAGGATAAGTTTTGCCTTGTGAATCATAATGACAAGAGGGGCAACCTGATCCTAGATCAGCACTCCTATTCTGAGACGCTTTATGAATACATGCCCTGTACTCTTGATCTATTTTAAGCCAGTGTCCTCCAAGGTAAGCTGTCAAAGCAGATCTTCTCTCAGATATAGGCTACTCAGTGGGACCTAGTCACCCTTGCTTGGAGTTCCAAGAAACAGCACTTGTTTTTATACAGTAGGAGCCATGAATGTGAAGCACAGTCACTCACATGGGGCATGCAAGCGCAGCAGCCTTTTCTTTTACTTTCAATGCAGTAGCCCATCACACTATATGTACCTCAACGTTATGTGCTGTTTTTATCTGAATGATAAGAAAAGCAGTGAATATAGCACATTCACAAATAGTGTTCCACCACTAATAAATAAGCAATTTATGATCATTGAAATCTATATCTCATTGGCTAAGGTAGGTGACATACAAATCTTCTACAAATCTCTGACATTTTGAATTCTATTCTCTTCTAACTATTCTATTCCTCTAATTCTTGTTCCAATGTAATGATACCCTAATAATAGATTTACATCTAAAGATGTATGAGATGAGAGGGGTGTTTCCTCTTTGTATGATGAAAAGGAATGTGCCTGGAATTAGGCCACATGATGCAATGATAAGTGTCAAGCTGCTGGGTGGCGCTGGTGTGCCAATGGAAACTCTCCTCTCGTCTGGCTACAACGCCTCGACTCCCTGTTCAGCCGACAGTCACAGTAGCTGCTCTACACCGTTCCTTTCAGACAGTCGGTATCAGTGGAGCAACAAAAGCTTTTCACGTTACTTGCAATTCCCCATCCTTCCCTGGTTTTGTTTTCTTGCCCTATTTGTCCCAGTCATGGCGGCGAGTGCGAAAAGAAAGCAGGAGGAGAAACACCTGAAGATGCTGAGAGAAATGACGAGTTTGCCTCCCAACAGAAAGTGCTTTGACTGCGATCAGCGCGGCCCAACCTATGCCAACATGACGGTGGGGTCTTTCGTCTGCACCTCCTGCTCTGGCATTCTGTAGGTACAAATGTGATTGAACGAGTGACCTTTTCATTCCGCGTTGACAGGCCGCACTCATGATGCTAACTAGCTAGTTACTAGATAGCTAACCGTTAGCTAGGTAGCTAGCTATTCACCCCCCCCCCCCCCCCCCCCCCCGTCGTCTCTTTCCATTTCGATATGAAATTGTCTTGTGGGTTGGGTGTCTGCTGTGCTAGCTATATGTAATTTAGCTAGATTGAGCCAGAGTAACGCGATATATCTATTACAATAATAGGATAGTTCGCTAACTAACCAGATACAGCTAGCATCTCTTAGGCTAGTAAGCTCGCTGGTGGCTAACTAGCTAGCCACATAACGGCTATTTACCGGTAGCTAGCTAACGTTAGCTGGCTCCAATCAGTTAAACAGGTTACAGTAGTTAGCGAACTAACTGGATGTGAAAGTGTTTAGGCGAGAAGTCATACTGTGATATGTGTGTTTTGCAATAGATAAGTATAGTTAAGAAACGTGTCACCTGCTTTCGTTTTCACACTGCAACCTGGACTGAGGGGTAGACGTAACATAGTAAACGAAAATCCGGGACACTCAAAAGAGTATGATATGTTACTTTTGGTATGCAGGTCTCTACGTTGACCTTTTTTTACAAGGAGTTAAAAAATTTTGGTACATATAATTAAAAATATTTGAGGGAATAAAGCAAGAATCCTTAATTTATTAGATTTGAACACGCAACCTTTGGGTTGCTAGATGTTCACTGGTATGATGCCAAAGTGCATCATGCCGGCTGTATTTCTGTATTTTGTAAGTTATATATCTTAAACTTGATTGCTGACATGCAAAACATTTTGCGACTATATCAACAATGGACTAATGAAACAAACACCAAAGGATAGCTTTTGGGTGGTGTTTTTCTTAAGTAACCTTCTGTCTTATGTAACCATAACAAACATAACACATACTAATATGACTGTTCCGGATTTTGGTATACTATGTTACGTGTAGTCTATGAGACCAGCCTGCACACTAGCTAGCCAACTTTTTAGTCGACCACCCAGCTTCTTATAGTTGACCACCCAGCTAGCTATCGAGCCAGGCAAAGTTGACTACATTAAAACAAGTGTCATCATCTAGGTAGGCATTTGACTATTTAACATTCCCATTGAAACCTATTTTCTGTCTCACTATTTAGTTAACAGTATTTATGTGATGCAAGGTTGATGCTGTACCTCTGGCTTGTACTGTTGTGTAACCAAGCATCTGTATAGCTTGGGATTTGAGGATTAGTGGGACTGAAGCTGTGTTTTTCTCCTCCCTACTACCACCAAAATAATGCAATGTCCCATTATATGTCAAATATTGTTGAGTAAATGTATTTAAAAGTAACACCACACAGGCAAAGAAAAAAACAACAAGAGAATTTGATGATTTTATGTGCCACTCAGCTATTTAATGTCAACGTGACCTTGTTTGTTCAGGATCTGACAATGTCTGGTGGTTGCATGCATGGTAAAGAAAAACCTGTTACATACCTCAAACAGAGGACATCACTGGTGTACTTATTGTTCACCATTTCCTGGTTTGCAGCTAGGTTGAAGAACATTAGGTGTCTTCAACAGCAGCAAGCTTGTTTGTTTTTTCACCATTGAAAGAATTCCTGCTGACGTGTAAATGAGATGAAAATGAAAATTACCCCTCCTTGGTTTGCTAGCCTATAATATTCTGCAGTAGATCTATATGATGTCATGATGCTAATATTTTCATAATCACTTGCAGAGCATCTTTCCTCTCAGGTCTTTGGGGGGATTTCAGTTTTTACTCTTGCTTACACAGTTAGGCTTAAAACCACCCATGTTGTGCTAGTCAGTACATTTGCAGATTCTTCTCTAGCATCATAGTTTGTGTATGAGGTTTGCTGTAGCCTTCTGCTGAACTCAATCGCACCCAGTTTGCATAGGCTATACTGCAGAGCTAGGCTATCAACCTTTATCTCTCTCTGTCTGGAGGTTCTTGACACAAGTTCCTGAGCACCAGCCTCGCCCTTAGGACACAAGCGCACCACTGTTTGCCGTGCCCTTTGTGGAGACACTTGTCTAACCTTGTTCAGAAAGAAACGCAACCACATTGGCCGTTAATTCAATAAGGTGTTCATTGTAATGTCCTGATTACTTAATCAATGCTGCCTAGTGAGACGCCAGTCGCCGGGCTTCGCTTTCCTTCCTCAATGCCTCACTGAGGTCAACCTGTCATGGTCCATTAGCGGATAATGGTTAGCTTAATAATGGCAGAAAAGGGGAAGTGTGTGTCCCTCCCTGACTCTCTATTAAGTCCTTAATAGCTCCATTAAGAGGTAGGGGAACTGAGACTGACTTATATAATAAATGTACACATATATGTTATTCAATCATTTCATCTAAATTGCTTGCGCACGTCAACAACCATTTGCGTAGCCAGGCGCAAAAAATATAACTTGGTTCTATTTTTGACGCTTGACACACTGCAAGTCCAGCCTCTCCCATCTCCTGATTAGGTTTTAGGAGCATATACCCACGTGGGTGAACGAAAGCTGAACTGAGGTCCACACTCCAGTCCAGTTGGTGGTAGTAATGCACCTTAAAGTTGGTTGCCAACCGCCATATAAAGTCCATAGAAGAAGACTACTACTACTACTACTACTACTACTACTACTACTACTGAAGGAGGAGAGATTACTAGAAACTAACAATCAATCAGTGAATTAATTGTCAAAGTAGAGAACACACAATTTTATGTGACTCAAAATGGGTAAAAATTCTACAAAGATCCAGAAAAAAGGACCTTGTGCATTTCAGGTAAAATAACAACCCAATGTTTATATCCCAGGACAAATTAGCTAGCAACAGCAAGCTAGCTAGCTAAATGTCCATGACTGTTTCATGTGTTTCGACCTGTCCGCAAATTAATATAGTTGGTTCAGAGTTCGTTTTGATATTTCAACCTACGCGTCAGGATCACGTCTGGTGTGGATGGACAAAATCAACATGCGTGCTATGGCGCACACGTGCCCGGTGTAGTCAGCATGTTAGCTGCTTCCCAATCTGGTTTTAAGATGCACCTGTCTCCGTGTTGGGTTTGCCACGTCAGAATTGTTCTCCTGCACCCCAATGTTGGACAGTAGCCCCTTTCTCTTATTACACACACTGGATCGGTTTTAGGTATGTACTTGCATCATTAGGTCTAGCCTAAGTGGTACTATCTGGGTGGACTGTGTTTATAATGTCTTTGTTCTGGCAGCTAAGGTGTGTGTGTGCACTGGCGCGCACTTCAACTGAGAACACTGTGTGAGAATCATTGTCTCTCTAATGGTTCTGCAGGGATTCCACTGTGAATTTCCCAGTGGTGCTGTGTGATGGGGGATAATTGAGTTATTTTCTAAGCACAGACACACAGGCTCTTCTGAAGAGTTTCACACTGTCTCTCAGACAAGCTGTGTAATGTGAAAAAGAACCCAAGATGGTAGCCAAAACTGTAAAGTGTATGCTACCTAGTCTTACCTACCAAACATAGCCCTATAGGCTAGCCATATCAGGTAGGTTATTAATGTCTTGTCTAGCTAGTGGTCTATACCTTGTTCCAATGTAATAACACAATAGCTAGGTTGTCCTTCTTTAGTACTAGCAGGATTGGATTTGGTTTCACAGCAAAACAATGAACTCACTCATCTGACCTATCCTCCTTTCTGCTGATCAGGATATCCATTTTACTTATGCGGTTGATCTGAGTCTTGTGCAAATCTTTCTTGGCAGGACTGAGCGGTTCTAGTGTGGGGAAGTGGTGGCATGGCCCATTGGCCATGTTTCGCAACAGCAGCATGCAGGGTGGATAAACAGGAAGTGGAGAAGTGCAGGAAGTTGCATATTGACTTCTTCTCTCACTTTGGTTCCCAGAAAGGGTAGAGGAGGTTAGCGGCGACTGAGAGACATCAAATTACTGTACGCGGGACAATTTCCCAGACCCAGATTAGTATTTTTCCTGGAAAACACTTTCAGTGGGGACTCTGCATGAGCATGCTTTTTAGTCCAGGAGTAGGCTTAATCTGGGTCTGGGAAACTTGCCCATTGTGTTCTTTGAAACCCTTTTGTGTTGTATGGTTGGAGCTTCCTGACATAGGCTAATGATAGTGTTACAAGCTACTGGTGTAGGCCTATAATTTAAGGATATGTGTGTTTGTATTTTTGATAGGATAGCGCTTAGTGCTGCTGGCATGTCTATCCTTCCCACACCCTGATGGATGGACCTCAGAAGAGGATGAAGAGAAGCTGAAGGAATGTGAGGGAAATGTGACCAGTTCCACACCCATCCTCCTCCTGTGCTCTGTCTCTTGTTAACCACAGGCACTTACTTTGTTGACCAGCCTTCCCTTCTACAGGAACCTACCTTAAAGACCCTCTGAGTCAAAGGTCAACTTCAACCTGTAACACAACACTATTTCAACGCACATTCATAGGACTCTGCTGCTTGATTGTGGCTGTCTTTCCTTCTGTTGATCCTAATGCCTTTTGATTTAACTTGAGATTAATAGTTGGTTTTTGGTCTCTTCTCGTCATCGATTTGAGTAGTTAACTAGGCCAGTTAGTTAGGCTAACTCATTTGAGTTGTTAACTAGGCCAATTAGACTAACTGATTTGAGTAGTTAACTACGCCAGATAGGCTAACTCCGTTTAGTAGTTAACTAGGCCAGTTAGTAACTGATTTGAGTAGGCTAACTGCTTGCCTACTTGTCAGGGGGGTCAGAGCCCGGGCACTTCTCGGCCCCTCTCCTCCCCGCCTGTGGCTTGTTTAATGGGTGGGGTTGAAATCTACTGTGTTAACACATTCCATATGAAGGTGGAGAGGCTTTTCCCACTAGGAATACAATGTTTGTTGTAGAGGTTTCCTTACAGTAGGAAGTTACTATTGGCCATAGTTCAGGAACCATAGTTATTTTCTGACCACGTCAGGATCTGGGTTCAGCACTAACAGTCCCTTTCTCTCATCCTGGAGGAGTCAGTATGCTAACGATAGGCACCCCCCTGCTGGGTGTTTCAGCTCTCTCTACACATACTGTGTGTGTTTGTCAGAGACGGAGAGAGACACAAAATAGTGTGAAAGTTGACTTTAACAATACCACTGTGTATGCAAATCAACTGTGTTTCACTCTAACCCCACACACACTCGCAGAGCGATTTAAAAAGTGTCAGAATTGTTCCAATTGTGATGTGATGCCATCCTATTTCAGAGCTGGAGGGGTTTGGAACTCTCTCCCAGTATCTGACCTACTTTCCTCCTCATGAGGCTGTGAACTGATCATTCACATGCCCCAGGCTCTACACACACACACACACACACACACACACACACACACACACACACACACAGTGAGAGAGTCACACACACACAAACACTCACTTCACCCTCATGGTTGGCTAACTGGCCAGTCTGAGTAGAGAGAGAAGGTTGAGAAGTCAAATGTTCCCCACACTAGTAGTCACAACTACACTGTCGGGTGTGCTGTACTTTGTGCCAGCATGAACACGGTCGGAATGATCTGACGGGCTGAATCAAATCCATTTATTGGTCTGGGTCATTGGTGCACTGCACACCGGAAAACAAGCATTTCTCAAGTTCAGCTACTCCCTCCCCGTTTGGTCCGGTAACTTTCGCTTGGTGTCTGGTGAATAAGACCTGATCTGTGTGTGACATAGATTGACTGTAATCTCAGTGTGAGACTTTGATGTGTCAGTCACTCTATTTGTGACAGAAAGTGTATACACCCTGAAGCCGAATAATAGATCTGAATACACCTTACCATTGATGCAGCTGCAATGCTAAATTATTACTTGGCTCTAGTCGAATGCTAGTCTAATACTAATTGTAGACAACTACCCCTGTTTCCTACTCTGTCATTGTTGTCTGCCAATAGGTCAGTAATTGAACCCAATACACAGACCAGGGGTGTGACACCCTATTTCCAATCTAGTGTCACACATTTTGACCAGGGCTCTCTGAATGCGGCTCCAGTCAGTCAGTTGATTGAGTGGTGGTGTATAGAACTGAAGATGGAAGGAAATGGATGGGCGGTTCATAGAAATACAATGAGGTGATCTACCATTTGGGTGGGACTCGTCCTTAATTTCAACAGAGGGCTAAAGGCAAGAGCAATTAATAATTGAAGAACAGCCCTGGTCTTACACAGCACAGCATCGCTCTCTCCCTCCCAGTTCTCTACAGCTTTTATATCTTTCTTAGGTCTCCAGGGAGAATGTTTAGGCAAAGTGTGTGTGAGGACCACCATTCGCAGATCTTTTTTTAAAACATTAAATATCTTGGCATTCACATGTTGTGAATGTAAACAGGCCTATTACTATTATTATTATTATTATTATTATAAACAATGTGCATTGTGAAAAGTAATGTAAAATTGTGTATTATACCATTTAATTCTGCCAACTGTTATTATTCTTAGAAGAAAAATAAAATATAAAAACAAAACATTACAAAAAATTGCAGACCAGCTACAGTACCCCGGACCACAGGATGAAAACCACTGGTCTAGAGCAAATGTTAACAAGACCAATCTCATTAAGAAGTGCTGAGGCTCAGGTGACCTGAGTAACACAGGGTACAGTTTCACCTGTTCCTCAGCAGACTTCTTTTCTCCTCTCTTGAAATGGCACGCACACAAGCACACAGGTGCAGAGCCGTGCACAGGAAATGGAGGCAGGAAAGCAGCCTCCCTGATGGCTCACTAACACATCACAAGGGAACTCGAACACATACTCTAAAAGCCCACACACTTTCATCAAACACACACACACACATATACACCTAGGCTAATGCTAACTCCCTTCAAGTGTAGCGGAGCTAGGTCACTCAACGAGCATTGCATTATAAGTAACCTCGCATGAGACTGAAAGACTAGTGTTGACTCTTAGATCTAGGCCTACCATTTAGGATTAAGCTCAGTGAGCTAACACAGTCTTATGTCTTGTGTGTCGTGACGGCAACCCGGGGTTCAGTAACCGTGTTGTTAGGCTATACAAGGGTAGAATTTATCTCACTCTCTCTCTCGCTCCCTCGTGCTCCTTCACTCTCTCTCTCGCGCTCCCCCCGTGTTGTTAGGCTACACAAGGGAAGAATTGCTCTCTCTCCGTCTCTCGCTCCCCCTCCTCTCTAGTGATGTGTCTCTGTTCTGTCCTTGTCCCAGATTCTACAGTAATAAGCCCAGCAGAACTCAGCACGTTCCTAATGAATGTTTCCAGTCTGAGGAGGAGTCAGTACAGGGATCTGGATCTTATCATCCCATCTAATGGGAGGGCTCTTCATGTGTGATGCTTTACAATTGAATTAACCCCCTTCCCTCTTTCTCTCCCTCCTCCCCCTCTCTCGGCCAGAGGCGGGTCGTACTCCTCCCCCCAGGGGGGGGGAGGCCTACGCCTGCCCATCTTCCCGCTTTAATAGTATCCTCCCCGCTCTCCTATCTGCTCTCTTAATATCTCTCCTCTCCGCCCCAGGCGCTTTCAAGCGCCTCGCCACCCCGCCCCATCCGCCTCGGTCACGCTCCTCCCCCCCCACCCCGCGTCATCTCGCCTCCCCCGCCCCTCTCCCCCGTGCGTCCTCCTCTCCGCCCCTCGCCCATCTCCCGTCCCTCCCCCCCGGAGGCAAGGAGCCGGGCCTCTACCTCATCTCATCGCTCCCTCGCGCTCTCCCACTCTCCCCTCTGTTCCGCTCATCACCTCACTCTCCTCTCCTCCCCTCCCCCATCTTCCTCTTCTTTCATCTCTCCTCTCCTCCCCTCTCCCATCTTCCTCTTCTTTCATCTCTCCTCTCCTCCCCTCTCCCATCTTCCCTTCTCTCTCTTCCTCCTTCCACTCCTCTTCTTCATCTCCTCTCCTCCCCTCTCCCATCTTCCTCTTCTTTCATCTCTCCTCTCCTCCCCTCTCCCATCTTCCTCTTCTTTCATCTCTCCTCCCCTCTCTTCCTCTTCTTCATTCTCCTCCCCTCTCCCATCTTCCCCCCCATTCCCTTCTCTCCTGTCCTCAGGCGAGGGCTGAACCCACCCCACAGAGTGAAGTCCATCTCCATGACAACCTTCACGCAACAGGAAATCGAGTTCCTCCAGAAACACGGCAATGAGGTAGGTCGGACTGTTGTCAACATGGCTGATGTCTGCCTGGGTCATATTCACTAGGAACCAAAGGGAAGCGAACAAGCCGAAATAAAACACTGGTTTTTGTTTTCTGTTATCACTGTCCAGCTCTTCCTGTTCTTAGCACCCTGATGGAGAATAGAATGCAGAAACACATAGGTTTATAATGATAAAGAAGTTGTTTTTCTAGCCTGGTCCCAGATCTGTTTATGCTCTCTTGCTGACTTCTATGCTGATTGTGATGGCCAGACACACAAACAGATCTGGGACCAGGCTAGTAGCCTATTCAACTTCCATTGTCCTCCAAGCTAGGCCACCTTTCGTATGTCCACCTTTTAATCTAATCACACCAGTCTAAGGAGCGCTGGCTGGCTGACTCCTTGCCCTCAAAGCCCTGAGATTTATTCTAACCCCAGAACATGGAATTCCATCCTTTGTGTTCCAGAATCCTATATGGCCGGCCTCACCCTATCCCTCTTTTGGTTTTGGGTGACATTCAACTGATATTTCCCTTAGTCCTGTAAAGTGGGATTTGTGTGTTTGCTGAGAACAGCGTGGTGGCATGCCGACCGGGTAGCGACGGCACAACAGACACAGAGCAGCTCTTTCAGGAGATGGTGCTCTGATGCTCTCTCATGCGTTCCACACGTCTGGTTATTTATTTAGTTGGCCCTGACACCCCCCCCCCCCCCCCCCACACACACACACACACACACTTTAATCTGCCAAGGATTCCAAATTGGAGTAATGCGCTTCTGTTAGATGATATGGGTGGTAGTGGTACAAAATTGAACCTGTGCTTGTCCTTGATGCTGTTCTGCAGGCTATGTGTGTCAGGTGCTTTATGTGAGAAGAATATTCTAAGCCTATTGGAAACATCGACACAAGCCTTGTAAGACATGCATTATCTTCAGCCTTGACTTTACTGTCTGCTGCTGTCTGTCCTCTTTTTATAGTCTGTGTCTCTTCTTTCTCTCTCTCTCTCTGTCCATCTGTCTATATCTCTATGTTTCAGTATGTATTCTGTTGTTTGTTTGCTTCTAATTGTAAAATCCTAGGTGTCCATGTGTACTGTAACATCTCTTAGCACTTGGCAAGTTGGCTGTAGAGCTCTCCATTTCCGGGCTCCCAAGAGACACCCTGGAATGTTCCTGAATGTGCTACATTCTGCTGCTGCTCTCTTGGCCTGGAGGGGTTGAAGGCTTTTCTCTCTCTCTTTCATGTTTGTCTTTTTCCTCTGTAAAGGGGATGAACCACATCTTCTGATTTGCCTGTGACTTTTATTATCCTTGAATTTTTCACCAAACCTGTTTTTCTGCTGTCTCTGTCCGTCCCCTCTCTCGTCTGTCTTCTCTAGTCATGCAAACAGATATGGCTGGGGCTTTACGACGACAGAACCGCCTCCATACCGGACTTTAGAGAACCCCAGAAAGTCAAGGAGTTCCTTCAGGAGAAATACGAGAAGAAGAGATGGTGAGAGGCTGCTGTAGAGTAGAGTCCATAGGGCTCTGGCCAAAAGGAGTGCACTAAAAAGGGAGTAGGGTGCCGTTTGGGACACTTCGCTCCACTGCATGAGAAAGCCCTAGAGACGGGCAGCTCACTGAAGTTGGCCTTCGAGCAGCAAGGCACTTTGCATCAGTAACAACCCAGGTGTATTTAGTGGATGATATCTAGGTTACTGTTAATTGGAATCCAAAAGGAAAGTAGAATATTTACACACATCTAAAAACTGTCATACCAGTCGGCATAGCGGGACAAGAAAGCAAGAAAGAGGGTGACGGCAAAAGAAAGCCAGCACAACGGTATGTGTTGCTATGGTGATTTCAGTTAACACACAGTGCAAATCAACATCCGGTAGAAAACAACGCTATGACAGATGGCAAATGTTGAAATATTTGAGTCCCGGCTACCATGGCGGCTGACGGCATTCACCGTTGTGCCCTCATTGAAAACCATGACATCCGGTTTGCCGTCTACCTCGTACCATCTAAACGCTGCATAAAGGTTCTCACAGGAGCAGACATTTACAGACTTTACTTTCAAAGCCCAACATCTTTAGAATGAATGTTCAGGACCTGTATGCACAAAGAGTAGGAGTGCTGATCCCCCTGTCCATGTAATCTTATTCATTATGATCCTAGATCAGCACTCTTACTCTGAGATGCTGGGTTATAGGAGTCAATTTGAATTAAAGTCTGTGTTGCTGTGTAATCAATTGAACACCATTGTTGTTGTGATTAGGTTTGTTCCCCCGGAGCAGGCCAAAGTGGTGGCTTCGGTCCACGCCTCCATCTCAGGCTCGTCAGCCAGCAGCACCAGCAGCACCCCCGAGGTCCGACCCCTCAAAACACTGCTGGGGGAGTCAGCCCCCACCCTGCACCTCAACAAGCACACACCCAGTCAGGTAAGAGACACACACACACACACACACACACACACTGGTTACTCAGCTGGCTGATAACAGGCCATACAATGTTTTCCCTGACCAAATCATATCATATATTGTTGATCATATATACATATTTAGCATATGTTATTGCGGGTGTAGCTACATGCTTATGTTCCAAGCTCCAACAGTGCAGTAGTATCTAACAATACAACAAATGTAAAAGTAAAATCATGGAACTAAGAAATATATAAATATTAGGACGAGCAATGTCAGAGTCTAGAGTATATATATATATATATATATATACACACACACACACACACAGTACCAGTCAAAAGTTTGGACACACCTACTTCCAGGGTTTTTCTTTATTTTTTACTATTTTCTACATTGTAGAATAATAGTGAAGACATACAAACTATGAAATAACACATGGAATCATGTAGTAACCCAAAAAGTGTTAAACAAATCAAAATATATTATATATTTGAGATTCTTCAAATAGCCACCCTTTGCCTTGATGATAGCTTTGCACACGCTTGGCATTCTCTCAACCAGATTCATGAGGTAGTCACCTGGAATGCATTTCAATTAAAAGGTGTGACTTGTTAATTTGTGGAATTTCTTTCCTTCATAATGTGTTGGAGCCAATCAGCTGTGTTGTGACAAGGTAGGGGGGGTATACAGAAGATAGCCCTATTTGGTAAAATACCAAGTCCATATTATGGCAAGAACAGCTCAAATAAGCAAAGAGAAACGACAGTCCATCATTACTTTAAGGTCAGTCAATACAGAACATTTCAAGACCTTTGAAAGTTTCTTCAAGTGCTATGATGAAACTGGTTCTCATGAGGTCCGCGACAGGAATGGAAGGCCCGGAGTTATCTCTGCTGCAGAGAGTTAACAGCCTCACAAATTGCAGCCCAAATAAATGCTTCAAAGAGTTTAAATAACAGACACATCTCAACATCAACTGTTCAGAGGGGACTGTGTGAAGCAGGCCGTCCTGGTCGAATTCCTGCAAAGAAACCACTACTAAAGGACACCAATAAGAAGAAGAGTCCTGCTTGGGCCAAGAAACACGAGCAATGGACATTAGACCGGTGGAAATGTGTCGTTTGGTCTGGAGTCCAAATTTGAGATTTTTGGTTCCAACCGCCGTGTCTTTGTGAGACGCGGTGTGGGTGAACAGATTATCTCTGCATGTGTATTTCACACCGTAAAGCATGGAGGAGGAGGTGTTATGGTGTGGGGGTGCTTTGCTGGTGACACTGTTCGTGATTTATTTAGAATTCAAGGAACACTTAACCAGCATGGCTACCACAGCATTCTACAGCGATACGCCATATCATCTGGTTTGGGCTTAGTGGGACTGTCATTTGTTTTTCAACAGGACAATGACCCAACACACCTCCAGGCTGTGTAAGGCCTATTTTACCAAGAAGGAGAGTGATGGAGTGCTGCATCAGATGACCTGGCCTCCACAATCCCCCGACCTCAACCCAATTGAGATGGTTTGGGATGAGTCGGACCGCAGAGTGAAGGAAAAGCAGCCAACAAGTGCTCAGCATATGTGGGAACTACTTCAAGACTGTTGGAAAAGCATTCCAGGTGAAGCTGGTTGAGAGAATGCCAAGAGTGTGCAAAGCTGTCGTCAAGGCAAAGGGTGGCTATTTGAAGATTCTCAAATATAAAATATACTTTGATTTGTTTTACACATCTTTTGTTTACTACATGATTCCATATGTGTTATTTCATAGTTTTGATGTCTTCACTATTATTCTACAATGTAAAAAATAGTACAAATAAAGAAAAACCCTGGAATGAGTAGGTGTGTCCAAACTTTTGATTGGTAGCGTATACAGTTGAAGTCAGAGGTTATACACTTAAGTTGGAGTCATTAAAACTCGTTTTTCAACCACTCCACAAATGTCTTGTTATCAAACTATCGTTTTGGCAAGTCGGTTAGGACATCTACTTTGTGCATGACACAAGTAATTTTTACAACAATTGTTTACAGACAGATTATTTCACTTATAGTTCACTGTATCACAATTCCAGTGGGTCAGAAATGTACATACACTAAGTTGACAGTGCCTTTAAACAGCTTGGAAAATTCCAGAAAATGATGTCATGGCTTTAGAAGCTTCTGATAGGCTAATTGACATCATTTGAGTCAATTGGAGGTGTACCTGTGGATGTAGTTCAAGGCCTACCTTCAAACTCAGTGCCTCTTTGCTTGACATCATGGGAAAATCAAAAGAAATCAGCTAAGACCTCAGAAAAATAATTGTAGACCGCCACAAGTCTGGTTCATCCTTGGGAGCAATTTTCAAATGCCTGAAGGTACCACCTTCATCTGTACAAACAATAGTACGCAAGTATAAACACCATGGGACCACCAGCCGCCATACCGCTCATGAAGGAGACGCGTTCTGTCTCCTAGAGATGAACGTACTTTGGTGCGAAAAGTGCAAATCAATCCCAGAACAACAGCAAAGGACCTTGTGAAGATGCTGGAGGAAACAGGTACAAAAGTATCTATATCCACAGTAAAACAAGTCCTATATCGACATAACCTGAAAGGCCGCTCAGCAAAGAAGAAGCCACTGCCCCGAAACCACCATAAAAAAGCCAGACTACGGTTTGCAACTGCACATGGGGACAAAGATCGTACTTTTTTGAGAAATATCCTCTGGTCTGATGAAACAAATATAGAACTGTTTGGCCATAATGACCATCGTTATGTTTGGAGGAAAAAGGGGGTAGCTTGCAAGCCGAAGAACACCATCCCAACCGTGAAGCACGGTGGTGGCAGCATCATGCTGTGGGGGTGCTTTGCTGCAGGAGGGACTGGTGACTTCACAAAATAGATGGCATCATGAGGATGGAAAATGATGTGGATATATTGAAGCAACATCTCAAGACATCAGTCAGGAAGTTAAAGCTTGGTCGCAAATGGGTCTTCCAAATGGACAATGACCCCAAGCATACTTCCAAAGTTATGGCTTAAGGACAACAAAGTCAAGGTATTGGAGTGGCCATCACAAAGCTCTGATCTCAATCCTATAGAAAATGTGTGGGCAGAACTGAAAAAGCGTGTGCGAGCAAGGAGGCCTACAATCCTGACTCAGTTACACCAGCTCTGTCAGGAGGAATGGGCCAAAATTCACCCAACTTGTTGTGGGAAGCTTGTGGAAGGCTACCCAAAACGTTTGACCCAAGTTAAATAATGTAAAGGCAATGCTACCAAATACTAATTGAGTGTATGTAAACTTCTGACCCACTGGGAATGTGATGAAATAAATAAAAGCTGAAATAAATCATTCGCTCTACTATTATTCTGACATTTCACAATCTTAAAAAAAAAGTGTTGATCCTAACTGACCTAACACAGGGATTCTTTACTAGGATTAAATGTCAGGAATTGTGAAAAACTGAGTTTAAATGTATTTGGCTAAGGTGTATGTAAACTTCCGACTTCTACTGTATGTGTGTATGTGATGGGATGTATAGACATTATGATTGGATGTATAGACTGTTTTTGGTCAGGTCAGGTGTTCAGGAAACCCTTCTCGCTCTAGTAGTCAAAACATATCTCTGTGAGTTGCTTTCAACAAGATAACCAGTGTGAAGTGCGGATATCTCTGTGAGGTAACTGGGTCATGTTTAGCACGAAATGGAGTGAAACAGGGAGGTTCCATCCGAACTTCTGTCTAATTAGAAATGCCTGTTTTTGTTTTCTGTTGCAAAGCGTTTTGATACGGCATGCCCTAATGAACACAGCCCTGTTGTCTCTGCAGTCTCCGGTGGGGAGTCGTGTGGCCCAGGCCCTTCAGCTGAGCCAGCAGCAGTTCCACGACAAGAAGTTTGACCTCCTCAGCGACCTGGGCGGAGACATTTTCGCCGCTCCATCCCACTCGCAGACGGCAGCAGGCTTGGCGGCCAACTTTGCCAACTTTGCACATTTCAACAGTCACCCAGGTAAGCAGGAGGAGTGTCACATGCTGCACCGGACCCTGGAGCGGTCACTACACCTTGAGTCATTAAAATGCTGGGCACAGTGGTTACATCTACTGCATAGTGCATGGAGTTAAATGGTCAATGATTTACTCATACTTATGGAATTAGAAAAAGTAAATTTCCTGAAAAATATTTGGGTGCTTTCTTCAGCTGTCCAAAAGTGTGTTTTATGGTAGTGGGAGAAGCTTTAGAGACTTTATGGTTTCCTTAATTTCAAGAGTATTGCCCATCACTTTTTTTTTTACCACACCTTGACAGGACCCCCCCCCCCCCCCCCAAATCACACTGGTCTATGTAAGGCATCGCCAGACACTATAGAATTCTCACAGGGCTATGGGCGGTCAGTCTCCATGGTTACTAATGAGGCCAACGTGAAGCTGTTAGCGTGTGTTTGCTCAGAGGATAATGTATTCACATCCTCAAAGAGCCATAAAGTTCTACCTTAATGTAGTGTGGGCAGAAAGGCAGCACCAAGTAAGCACACATGAGGCTTAAAGACACACACACACTCAAAAAAGGCACATCACAATTATACTTAAAATTATATTTTTTGAAAATATAAAATGGACAATAATAATAATAATAACAATAACTTACACACTTATCAAAAGTACTATACCTAGCAATCCTTTCCTATCCTATCTTTCTACTACTTTGACAAAATAAATCAGAGATTCACAGGAAGCCCATCTCTACAGCCAACTCCCATCACCCCCGGATGGCTTCCAGTTTCACCATCTCTTTATCAGAAAATACTTGTAAAACTCCATCCTCGTAGAACTCCATCCTGACTTTTCTATAGAACTCCACCTTGCGTATCATCTCCATGCGCTTGTGGAACAGATGTTGTTTCTCCTGCTCAGGCAGGTGCTGGTTGTGGTAGCAGAAGCTGGCCATGTTTAGGGACTTCCAGTAACACTCACAATGCCAGATCTCTGAGAAAATGGGGAGGACCTGACGTAAAGTTACAATAAAACCATGTATCTACATGGAATTTGAGAAATACACAATAATAAGCCAAATCAAAACAGAAATGAACCAAATTATGATAAGAATACAGTATTTGATGCTTACCATTGTTGATGGAATTTGAAGTTCTTGCAGGAAGATACTGATGTCTCTGTGCCATCCATGGAACGGACTGGTGAAATCGCTGGGTGTTAAAGTTAGTTAATTTATAAAACAATTTATAATCTTACATAGCAGAAGCAAGTCGCACGTCTAGTCTTGAGGTTGTTGCCACCAAAACTGAGTTCCAAGTCAACATTGGTGCCTGTCAACCAAACGTTCTAACATTCTAAATTCTACTGAAGTTGCTCTTCAAAATTGTGATATCATTATATTCTAATGTAATTGTATTCTTATGAATAGAATCACCATGGCAAAGAAATAAAATGAGTTTCAAATCAACACTTGTTACTCTTACCAACCAAATATTCTAAATTCAAAGATTCTACCATAGAGATCCTACTAAATATGAATCAAATCAAATGTTATTTGCCACATGCGCCGAATACAACAGGTGTAAACATTACAGTGAAATGTTTACTTACTAGCCCATAACCAACAATGCATTTTTGTAAAAAATAAATAAAATAGAAGTGTTAAGTAAAAAATAAATAAAAGCAAATAACTAAAGAGCAGCAGTAAAATAAAATAACAGTAGGGAGGCTATATACAGGGGGGTACCGGTGCAGAGTCAATGTGCGGGGGCACCGGCTAGTCGAGCTAATTGAGGTAATATGTACATGTGGGTAGAGTTAAAGTGACTATGCATAAATAATAAACAGAGTAGCAGCATGTAAAAGAGGGGGGTGGGGGTGGGGGTGGGAGGGCAGTGCAAATAGTCCGTAGCAATGATTAGCTGTTCAGGAGTCTTATGGCTTGGGGGTAGAAGCTGTTGAGAAGCCTTTTGGACCTAGACTTGGCGCTCTGGTACCGCTTGCCGTGCGGTAGTAGAGAGAACAGTCTATGACTAGGGTGGCTGGAGTTTTCAGGGCCTTCCTCTGACACCGCCTGGTATAGAGGTCCTGGATGGCAGGAAGCTTGGCCCCAGTGATGTACTGGGCCGTACGCACTACCCTCTGTGTAGTGCCTTGCGGTCGGAGGCCGAGCAGTTGCCATACCAGCCGGTGATGCAACCAGTCAGCATGCTCTCGATGGTGCAGCTGTAGAACTTTTTGAGGATCTGAGGACCCATGTCAAATCTTTTCAGTCTCCTGAGGAGGAATAGGCTTTGTTGTGCCCTCTTCACGACTGTCTTGGTGTGTTTGGACCATGATAGTTCGTTGGTGATGTGCACACCAAGGAACTTGAAGCTTTCAATCTGTTCCACTACAGCCCCGTCGATGAGAATGGGGGCGTGCTCAGTCCTCTTTTTTTTTTCCCTGTAGTCCACAATCATCTCCTTTGTCTTGGTCACGTTGAGGGAGAGGTTGTTATCCTGGCACCACACGGCCAGGTCTCGGACCTCCTCCCTATAGGCTGTCTCATCGTTGTTGGTGATCAGGCCTACCACTGTTGTGTCGTCAGCAAACTTAATGATGGTGTTGGAGTCGTGCCTGGCCATGCAGTCATGGGTGAACAGGGAGTACAGGAGGGGACTGAGCACGCTCCCCTGAGGGGCCCCCGTGTTGAGGATCAGCGTGGCAGATGTGTTGTTACCTACCCTTACCACCTGGGGGCGGCCCGTCAGGAAGTTCAGGATCCAGTTGCAGAGGGAGGTGTTTAGTCCCAGGATCCTTAGCTTAGTGATGAGCTTTGAGGGCACTATGGTGTTGAACGCTGAGCTGTAGTCAATGAACAGCATTCTCACGTAGGTGTTCCTCTTGTCCAAGTAGGAAAGGGCAGTGTGGAGTGCAATAGAGATTGCATCATCTGTGGATCTGTTGGGGCGGTAAGCAAATTGGTTTCTGGGATAATGGTGTTGATGTGAGCCATGACCAGCCTTTCAAAGCACTTCATGGCTACAGACGTGAGTGCTACGGGTCGGTAGTCATTTAGGCAGGTTATCTTAGTGTCCTTGGGCACAGGGACTATGGTGGTCTGCATAATTCTATGAATTCTACCAACTTTGCTTTGGTTGATTTTGTATTTTTATTATTCAGAATTGCCATGATGATGAGAAAGCGTGAAATGAATGGATGTACTGTGCTTCATTTAAAATCTGTTTTACATTGAACCCAGACAGTGGCACACACACTAGAAGGGAACATGAGCTTAGGTTCAGGGCAGTGCCCTATGGGAGAAGGTGGACCTGTAATCATCACATCCATTTTTGGTTTGTCATTGTCATCTGGTGCCAGTCTGTCATTAGCTCCATCTAGTTTAGTTCCATATCCCTCAATGTGTCATTTCTGTGGGTTCATCCCAAATGGCACCCTATAACCTATGTAGTGCACTACTTTTGACCAAGGTGCTCTGGTTAAAATTAGTGCGCTATAGGAATAGGGTGCCATTTGGGTTGCAGTCTGTGTCATATGTGACCGTTAATCATCTCATTCATTGTTTCTTGTTTTGTTTGTCCTTTTTGATTTTATGTGTGTTTGACCCGCGGACAAACCTCCAGCTGCTCAGAACGCAAACGCAGACTTTGCTAACTTTGATGCATTTGGGAGCGCGGGTCCATCGGGTGCTTTCCCCTCGGCACCCCAAGCCCCCTTCCAGACCTCACATACAGGTAGAGCATGTTCCATTCACCTGCCTCGATCTCACACACACACTCACATGTTCACATACTCTCTCTCTCTCTGTCTCTCTCTCTCTCTCTGTCTCTCTCTCTGTCTCTGTCTCTCTCTCTCTCTCTCTCTCTCTCTCTCTGTCTCTCTCTCTGTCTCTCTCTCTCTCTCTCTCTCTCTCTCTCTCTCTCTCTGTCTCTCTCTCTCTCTCTCTCTGTCTCTCTCTCTCTCTCTTTCTCTCTCCGTTACATGCTCACACTCACATCAGTTCACTCACTCCTACTTGTCATGCTTTTTGTGTCCATTTTGTCTGTGTTGTTGTTTATGTTAGGAGACAGATCTCCATATGATTTGTCTACTGTCTTTATCTGTCCCTTGTGTTTGTCTGTCTATGTCACTCACTGTCTCTCCTCCCCATTCTCACAGTCCTGGTCCATGGCTCCACGCCACTCCATTCATTTCATCACTCTCATTGGCTCTGTATTTGCTAGCTGGCTCGCTGGCTGCTCAAGGCACACACTCATTCACTGGCTAGTTTCCCCATCCATTGTCAAGGGAATTCATTTTGAATGTACCACACCGCCCTCTGCTGGAGACTAATGCCTGCAGTCTACAGATGACCTCTTGACTTCTACATGGTGGTGGATGGGAAAGCACTGGTCTCTGGGTGCATCTCAACACTCAACAGTGGCGTCCTCTCCTTGTCTCCTTTCCTTCATCCGCACTGATCTGAAAGAATCAAACAAATGTACAGTTAGACCGCTATCTGTCATGTCTGCTTTCACCTATCCTATATGTTTTCAGATCTGCACAGATGAGGAAACAAGGAGAGGAAACCACTTTAGACTTGAGATGCATCCCCTCTCTCTCAAGACTCCTGCTCTCACTCACACTGATCACTACACTGCCTGGCCTGGCCTCCGCTTTCACACTGACTCCATTCGCTCTGTTATGATTTCATTTTGCTTTTGGGTGATGTTCACACACTTTTTTTCCCCCTTTTGGTTGATATTTCTTTCTGTTTTTTCCCCCACCCTGTCTCTCTGGTACTCATTCCCCCCCCCCCCCCCCCCCCCCCCGCTCCCCTCCTGTTTTGGCTGCAAGCGTTCACGTCCCTCTCATCCAGCCGCAGTGTGGGTGAGTTTGCCACCGCTGGCACTGCTCTACCTCACCCGGGTGCAGGTGCTCACAGTAAGTTCTCTCCATCTCACTGGGCTCAGCCTCTAGCTAACACCTAACTGCCCTTTCTCCCCTCTGTCTGTCTGGTAGGCTCTAAGGGTTTTCCCATATCAATGTCTGTGGTTGTTCCTATTGATGTGTGTGTGCCTGTCTGTCTGTGGATGCGTGTGTTGTATGCTCTTTGGTGTTTGCTGACCTGTTCATATCCAGAAGTACAGGGCCATTGGTGCAAAATAACATGATGTCATGCAGTCTAAACTGCAGCCAGCTATTGAAAGAAAAGATGGCCAACTATTACCTCAGCCTCTGGAATTCTTATCCTGCAGAAGATCATCTTCAGAATGATTTGAAAGATATTTCTCCACCTATGTATTGTACTAAGATCTTGTAACAGTGTAGGTAATTCAGTAATTCACTGTAGATGTATTAATTTGTCAGACAGGAGCGTAGACAGGATTTCGTATTCCATAGGAACAGTCAGGTTCTACCCTCAAACCACTCCCAGTGAAGTGATGCTTCTTCTCTTTCTTTACCTCAACTCTCACTCTGTTTCCTCAGACAGTGACCAACCTCAGTTTCGGTGCCTAACTTATCCTCAGGGTAAGAACATTGTTAAGAAAGGCAACAATCATCCTACAAACACACTTGAAGCCACTGTGTGGCTCTTGTGACAGTCAGACTAAGGACCATGACTGCTGTTGGGCTCATTTCAAGTCTGACACAGTTGACTCCATTCGATCTGGGGCCTCCTGTAGCTCAGTTGGTAGAACATGGCGCTTGCAACGCCAGTGTTGTGGGTTCGATTCCCACGGGGGCCAGTATGAAAAAATGTATGCACTCACTAAAACTGTAAGTCGCTCTGGATAAGAGCGTCTGCTAAATGACTAAAACCTAAAATCTTATACTACTCAACATTATAATGCAGATCCTTTCCACTGATTTCAGGTCAGATGAAGCACAGTGCTGTTGTAAATGAAAGATGACACTGCTGTACATCCAGTAGCACACAGTGTTCAATCCAGCCCCCCAGATTTCCGCTGCATGGTCAGGAACACACACCCAGGCCCCTATTATGTGACTCCTCTCTGTCATCTCTTTCTCTCTCGCAGGTAGCACGTCCTCGGGGGGCCTAGCTAACTCTAGCAATTTAGTTAATTTTGACCACTTCGCCAAATCCTGTAGCGCCGACTTTGGATTCTTCAGTTCCTCTTCCCAGTCCCAGAGCCAGAGGAACTCCTCCACCGCAGGACTGCCCAATGGGCTGGTAGACAGAGACAGCGGCACTACTAGCGTCCCCACCGATAGATACGCAGCTCTTTCTGACCTGGATACCATCTTTAGCTCTGCCAAAACGGAGCAAGGTAAACCTCTCCCTGCTGCGAGCCAGCCTCCACTCACAGACTTCAAGATGCATCAAGTAGAGTGAGTTTGCTATCGGGTTGGGGATGATGAGCTCATGCATGGTGTAGAATAGATAAAGTCCGGGTCCCATCCTTTCTAAACCAGCAGTTACAGTGGGTCTTCGTTTAAAAGCCACAGCACAGCTTGCGGGATGCTGCAGAATGGTATGGCATTTTGGAGTGCATGATGTCATAGTATTTTACTGTCCGCCATTGTTGCTATTAGTGCTAGTTCAACCACCAGAGGGCGTCTTTGAGGGCGTCTTTTTGAAGCTTGTTGGTGCTTGCTTATTTTTCCCAATAATCCTACAGAGGTCCGTGCAGGCCAGACGTTTTGATTGCTATACCCTATCCAAAAGAGCATATTCCAAGGTTTTTAATTAAGCTAGTTTTGCCAAACAACACAAAATGTTTTCAAAATCGAACGTTTTCCTAGAATAACCACAGCTCCATGCCTACTGATGACAATCAGCAAATACCCATTTGTGGAAAATATCCTCAGCTACTATAGCACAGATAAATACATTTTAAAACATGCTATTCTGTTCTTTTGAAATACATTGTCTTAGTACCATGTTTTTTATGACCTCCCTAAACAAGATATTAATAGACTTCTTTGTGATTGTGTATATTACATTGATTTAATAGACGGGTGGCTATTGGTAGGCTACTCATCAAGTCCCGGCTATTGGCACTTTGAGGATTAAATTATCAGAAAGTTTTAGTCTTTTAGGGTATTTATCTCAATGTAGGCCTACTGCTAGAGTGTAAAATACACATATTTAGGAAAAGTCAGGGACAGGTGGGTTCAAGGATTTGATTGAAGTGAAGTTATTGAAATGGCATGGAGCTGTAGGCCTATGAGTCCCGTTCACTGTAGCTGTCTTAACGTAACTTACTTATTGGCATAAAGGCCTACTTCATTGTATCAATCATTCATTCATTTGTGCATGTCATCACACAGCATACAAGTCATCCATGTCTTTAAATACAATCAAGCATTTTAGTTATAAAACGAAATAACAAAGGGAGACTTGAATAATTAAACGTTGAATGAACCGCAACATGTCGGCTTAAGCGATTGAATTCACGAATGCATTTGACTGTTTTTAATCTTGGCAGTACTAAAGACTTTAAAACCATTTTTTGTTAGAACAGAATATATGGGAATGATTATAATTTGTTTGTAAAAGATAAATTATTGTATTTGTTGTGCTGTTTATACTGTTATAAATGTAGCTTAATGAAATGGATTAATATTATGGTGTTTCTATTCCAAGAAAAAATGAAAAATGCATTTTACAGTAGCCTATGTAGGCCTCAGGGTTTCCGTTAGGAAAATGTGGCGCTGTACAACGTGACTGGTCGGGAGTAGGCTACTTAGCGACTGCGAGTGAAGAGCAAAATAATCCTAACATTTCCACAGCCAAATTGTAGGCTAACCAATATCCAAAGTGAGGTTCAGTGAAAATAAAAATCTGATTGATTTTTATCAAGACCAGTCCCCATGCTTGTCTCAAAGCAGCGCGAAACGGTGCTGAAATAGTTGGCCACATGTAATTGATCTCAGGTGCATCCTGTTTCCATTGATCATCCTTGAGATGTTTCTACAACTTGATTGGAGTCCACCTGTTGTAAATTCAATTGATTGGACATGATTTGGAAAGGCACACAACTGTCTATATAAGGTCCCACAGTTGACAGTGCATGTCAGAGCAAAAACCAAGCCATGAGGTCGAAGGAATTGTCCGTAGAACTCAGAGACAGGATTGTGTCGAGGCACAGATCTGAGGAAGGGTACCAAAACATTTCAGCAGCATTGAAGGTCATCAAGAACACAGTGGCCTCCATCATTCTTAAATGGAAGAAGTTTGGAACCCCCAAGACTCTTCCTAGAACTGAGCAAATGGGGGAGAAGGGCCTTGTTCAGGGAGGTGACCAAGAACCCGATGGTCACTCTGACAGAGCTCCAGAGTTCCTCTGTGGAGATGGGAGAACCTTCCAGAAGGACAACCATCTCTGCAGCACTCCACCAATCAGGCCTTTATGGTAGGGTGGCCAGACAGAAGCCACTTATCAGTAAAAGGCACACGACAGCCCGCTTGGAGTTTGCCAAAAGGCACTTAAAGGACTCTCAGGCCATAAGAAACAAGATTCTCTGGTCTGATGAAACCGAGATTGAACTCACGTCTGGAGGAAACCAGGCACCGCTCATCACCTGGCCAATACCATCCCTACGGTGAAGCATGGTGGTGGCAGTGTCATGCTGTGGGGGTGTATTTCAGCGGCAGGGACTGGGAGACTAGTCAGGATCGAGGAAAAGATGAACGGAGCAAAGGACAGAGAGATCTTTGATGAAAACCTGCTCCAGAGCGCTCAGACTGGGGAGAAGGTTCACCTTCCAACAGGACGACGACCCTAAGCACACAGCCAAGACAACGCAGGGGGGGGCTTCGGGTCAAGTCTCTGAATGTCCTTGAGTGGCCCAGCCAGAGCCTGGACTTGAACCCGATCGAACATCTCTGGAGAGACCTGAAAATAGCTGTGCAGCGACGCTCCCCATCCAACCTGACAGAGCTTGAGAGGATCTGCAGAGAAGAATGGGAGAAACTCCCCAAATACACGTGTGCCAAGCTTGTAGTGTCATACCCAACTCGAGGTTGTAATTGCTGCCAATGGTGCTTCAACAAAGTACTGAGTAAAGGGTCTGAATACTTATGTAAATGTCATATTTCCATTTTTATTTGTAATAAATTAGCAAACATTTCTAAAACCCTGTTTTTGCTTTGTCATTATGGGGTATTGTGTGTAGATTGATGAGGAGGGAAAAAACAATTTAATCCATTTTAGAATAAGGCTGTAACATAACAAAATGTGGAAAAAGTCAAGGGGTCTGAATACTTTGAGAATGCACTGTATGGTAGCTCCCTAAATGTCAACCGGAGAAACCAGTAGCCATTTGACATTATTTCGAGATATGCAAGAGAGACCTTAGCAAGCTTATGACATAACGATGTAAATCTGTGGCCGTATGTATCAACCTTCTCGGAGTAGGAGTGTTGATCTAGGATCAGGTCCCCCCCCCCTGTCCATTAATCCCATTCATTGTGATCTAAAAGGCAAAACTGATTCTAAATCGTCACTCCTACTCTGAGACACTTTATACATACGGTCCCAGATGCTCATAAAAACCCACTGTTAGAATCTGGCTTTCTGGGATTCCAACACTTTTGCGCCCCATCTGGTCAGTCATGTCATCCGATTGTCTGGTCCTAATGTCAGCTCACCTGTCATCTGAATTGCTGTGGTTACCTCTGAGTGAAAAACCTTTCTTAGCACTGGGGTATCTTACTTATATTAGAGTTTTGATATCGATTCTCTCCTGACCTGCACCTTGAGGACTATGGTCTAGTGGAATCCAGCATTCCACTTCTGACTTCTAGATCACACACGTTCGTTCATACAATGAAGAGCTACAAGAACTAGATCACAGTTTGTTTTGATGATGGTGACGTTGCTTGAGTGTGGAGCTGTCTGGATTGTGGCCCTCGAGGAGCAGGATTAGGTCTCCTTTGTGTGGGCATGATGTGTTGTTGCTCTCCCTGCCGTGGGTGGGAGACAGATGGAGTTACTAGCTTCTACAGTACTCTCCTGGCCTCCCTGTGTTGTAAACCAGCCTGTGTGTGTGTTTTCAGGAGGTAGCGTCCCTAGCGGGGTCCCGGGCTCTCTCCCCCCGGTGGCGTCGGCAGGACTGCGTCACCCCCAGAGTCAGCTGACGGGTACGTCGGCGGCAGACCGCTACGCCGCGCTGGCCGAGCTGGACAACGTGTTCGGCTCGTCGGCCCCCGCCACCAGCGTCTACAACACCATCAGCACTTCTCAAGGGTACGAGAACACACCATCAGATTAATTCAACCTCTTTCCATTACCCTATAATCTATGCCTTGAGTTCTTTCTTTCTGTCTGTCTTTCTGTCTCATATTCACATCTTTGTAAATATATAAAGCAACTTTCTTGTTACCATCAAGTAGGGCTATCTTTCAAAATTATAGTCAGCCCTCTCACCTCTGTCTCTGGCTGCATCCCAAATCGTACCCTATTCTCTAAAAGTGCGCTACTTTTAGCACTACTGCTAGGGACCATGTAGGAAATAGGGTGTCATTTGGGACGTGGCCTCTGTCATGGTTAGTCATTGTGGTCACTCTAACGCCAGTGTTGTGTTGTGTACCAGGGGGATGTTTGGCCCTGTGACAGGAGTCTCGTCAGCCCAGGCACAACAATGTATGTCCAGCATGCCCCAGGGTTTTGGAGGTGAGTGACAACACTACATGTGTGTGTTTCCATTCCCTACTCTTTCCCACTTAGTGTGCGTTACACTACTTCACTCTCCACCTCGGGTTTAAAAATATTGGATAGGTGTAAGCATGGACAATATGGAGTTTTCTTCATATTTCACTCACTGTCTTGCGTCCATTACTTTTCAATTCATGAGGGGGAGTCAACTGTTGTGGAAATTCACCACTAAGGACTCAAAGTCAAAGTAAATGAAGCAATCTTTATTGCTTACACTTGTAAAACTATAGCAGTTTAAAGTTTAACTTAAGACCTTTGCTTCATACAGTTACACACTTTCATTTATGTAAGTTCTCCATCAATGTTATCACACACACAAGGACAAATAGTCCCAACATAGCCCATTTTGCAAGGTTGACAGACTATGATCCAAACATAGTTGACAGCCAAACTGTCACCTCCCAATCGTTATCTTCATTGCCAGAGTAGCTTCTAGCGGTTTCTGATAATGACATTTCAGCTGGAGCTTTGACTTTCTCTTCCTCCTTCGGGTTCCTAAGAGAGTGACAGCAAAAGACTTGAAAAGAAAAAGAAAACACAAAATATGACAAGTATTAGTAATGCGTTAAGCTATGCATAATCATCATGTATGGCAAAAACCGAAGTTTGATAACATGACGATTCCCACTTTTCCTTAGCCTGACTCTATACCTTTGGGATACTGTTCTGCTGGGGTCCACAAAAATGAAGGCTCTAAAAACACCTACTCATGCTTTTACCCAGTCTTCCCCCGTCAGGCTGCAGGTTTTACGAGAGGTGTTCCCACGCCATATCACCCTCACTTCGCCTCTGTTTTTGTGCTATGTGCAGTCAACTAGTATAATTATTGTTTTCCCAAACATATCAAATCAAATGTTATTTGTCACATACAAGTGTTTAGCAAATGTTATTGCGGGTGTAGTGAGATGCTTGTGCTTCTAGCTCCGACAGTGCATTAATATCTAACAATTTCACAACATATACCCAATACACACAAATCTAAGTAAGGAATGGAATTAAGAATATATACAGTGATGGAAAAAAGTGTTTGATCCCCTGCTGATTTTGTACGTTTGCCCACTGACGAAGACATGATCAGTCTATAATTTTAATGGTAGGTTTATTTGAACAGTGAGAGACAGAATAACAACAAAAAACTCCAGAAAAACGCATGTCAAAAATGTTATGAATTGATTTGCATTTTAATGAGGGAAATAAGTATTTGACCCCTCTGCAAAACATGACTTAGTACTTGGTGGCAAAACCCTTGTTGGCAATCAGAGGTCAGATGTTTCTTGTAGTTGGCCACCAGGTTTGCACACATCTCAGGAGGGATTTTGTCCCACTCCTCTTTGCAGATCTTCTCCAAGTCATTAAGGTTTCGAGGCTGACGTTTGGCAACTCGAACCTTCAGCTCCCTCCACAGATTTCCTATGGGATTAAGGTCTGGAGACTGGCTAGACCACTCCAGGACCTTAATGTGCTTCTTCTTGAGACACTCCTTTGTTGCCTTGGCCGTGTGTTTTGGGTCATTGTCATGCTGGAATACCCATCCACGACCCATTTTCAATGCCCTGGCTGAGGGAAGGAGGTTCTCACCCAAGATTTGACAGTACATGGCCCCGTCCATTGTCCCTTTGATGTGGTGAAGTTGTCCTGTCCCCTTAGCAGAAAAACACCCCCAAAGCATAATGTTTCCACCTCCATGTTTGATGGTGTTCTTGGGGTCATAGGCAGCATTCCTCCTCCTCCAAACACGGCGAGTTGAGTTGATGCCAAAGAGCTCTATTTTGGTCTCATCTGACCACAACACTTTCACCCAGTTCTCCTCTGAATCATTCAGATGTTCATTGGCAAACTTCAGACGGGCCTGTATAGATGCTTTCTTGAGCAGGGGGACCTTGCGGGCGCTGCAGGATTTCAGTCCTTCACGGCATAGTGTGTTACCAATTGTTTTCTTGGTGACTATGGTCCCAGCTGCCTTGAGATCATTGACAAGATCCTCCCGTGTAGTTCTGGGCTGATTCCTCACCGTTCTCATGAACATTGCAACTCCACGAGGTGAGATCTTGCATGGAGCCCCAAGCCGAGGGAGATTGACAGATATTTTCTGTTTCTTCCATTTGCGAATAATCGCACCAACTGTTGTCACCTTCTCACCAAGCTGCTTGGCGATGGTCTTGTAGCCCATTCCAGCCTTGTGTAGGTCTACAATCTTGTTCCTGACATTCTTGGAGAGCTCTTTGGTCTTGGCCATGGTGGAGAGTTTGGAATCTGATTGATTGATTGCTTCTGTGGACAGGTGTCTTTTATACAGGTAACAAACTGAGATTAGGAGCACTGCCTTTAAGAGTGTGCTCCTAATCTCAGCTCGTTACCTGTATAAAAGACACCTGGGAGCCAGAAACCTTTCTGATTGAGAGGGGGTCAAATACTTATTTCCCTCATTTAAAATGCAAATCAATTTATAACATTTTTGACATGCGTTTTTCTGGATTATTTTGTTGTTATTCTGTCTCTCACTGTTCAAATAAACCTACCATTAAAATTATAGACTGATCATTTCATTGTCAGTGGGCAAACGTACAAAATCAGCAGGGGATCAAATACTTATTTCCCTCACTGTACATATATGGACGAGCAATGACAGAGCGGCATGGGCTAAGATACAGTAGAATAGTATAGAATACAGTATATACATATGAGATGAGTAATGCAAGATATATAAACATTAAAGTGGCTAGTGTTCCATTTCTTAAAGTGGCCAGTGATTTCTAGTCTATGTCTATAGGCAGCAGCCTCTAATTTGCTAGTGATGACTATTTAACAGTCTGATTGCCTTGAGATATAAGCTGTTTTTCAGTCTCTCAGTCCCAGCTTTGATGCACCAGTACTGACCTCGCCTTCTGGATGAAAGCGGGGTGAACAGGCAGTGGCTCGGGTGGTTGATGTCCTTGATGATCTTTTTGGCCTTCCTGTGACATCGGGTGCTGTAGTTGTCCTGGAGGGCGGGTAGTTTGCCCCCGGTAATGCATTGGGCAGACTGCACCACCCTCTGGAGAGCCCTGCGGTTGCAGGCGGTGCTGCTGCCATACCAAGCAGTGATACAGCCCGACAGGATGCTCTCAATTGTGCATCTGTAAAAGTTTGTGATAGTTTTAGGTGCCAAGGAAGGCTCTGTTGCACCTTCACCACACTGTCTGTGTGGGTGGACCATTTCAGTTTTTCACTTTGGCCACGGAGGAGAGCCCACAGTCCTTGGTAGTGGGCCGCGTCTGTGGTACTGTGATATCCTCAAAGCAGGTGAAGAAGGTGTTTAGCTTGTCCGGAAGCAAGACGTCGGGGTCGGTGACGTGGCTGGGTTTCCTGTTGTAGTCCGTGATTGTCACATACGTCTCGTGTCTGAGCCGTTGAATTGCGACTCCACTTTGTCTCTATACTCAGGAGCCCTCCCCCCTCCTGAGTCTAGGATGTACAATGAATCTCCGTGGCTAGGCAGGTGGTGTTATCGTCCCAGCCCAAGTCCAGAACCTTTTGTACTCCTCCACACATCTCCCAGTCTCCTTATCAGTCAGGAGAAGCCTTGAGATTAGGAAGTGCACATTCTTGCAGCCTGCCACAGTCCACTATATAATTATCCTTCTCATACACAAAGAGCTATTTCTGAGAATAAGCAATATATTCATACTCAAGTGAATATAATGAGGCAAAACATATTGAGAGAATATAATGATATAAAACAGTGAAGCTACACTACCGTTCCAAAGTTTGGGGTCACTTAGAAATGTCCTATTTTTCGAAAGGAGCACCGGGGCCTCCCACTCATCTTTCTATTCTGGTTAGAGACAGTTTTCAGCTGTGCTAACATAATTGCAAAAGGGTTTTCTAATGATCAATTAGCCTTTTAAAATGATAAACTTGGATTAGCAAACATAACGTGCCATTGGAACACAGGACTGATGGTTGCGGATAATGGGCCTCTGTACGCCTATGTAGAATGTAGATATTCTCTGTAGCTCAACTGGTAGAGCACGGCGCTTGTAACGCCAGGGTAGTGGGTTCGATCCCCGGGACCACCCATACACAAAAAATGTATGCACGCATGACTGTAAGTCGCTTTGTATAAAAGCGTCTGCTAAATGGCATATTATTTATATTATTAAAAAATCCGCCGTTTCCAGCTACAATAGCCATTTACAACATTAACAATGTCTACACTGTTATTTTAATGGACAATTTTTTTTATTTTCTTTCGAAAACAAGGACATTTCTAAGTGACCCCAAACTTTTGAACGGTAGTGTAAATGTTCAGACATCACACAGAACTTGCTTAGGTATTCACTCAGAATCCCTATATAACGTTATCAATCGAAGTCCATGCAGAACTTTGTTCAGTTCACACAGAACTTTCTTAGGGATTCACATCCACACCACCAGCAACAATCAGCACAGCGTAGTCAGCCTGAGAGGTACCAGTGATCATGTTCTTGATGAAATCTCAGTGTCCGGGGGCATCAATGAGCCCTTGCTCATCTCAGCTGCTTCCTTCTCAAAGTTTTCAATGGTTCTCCTGTCAATGCCTCCGCACCTGTAGATCAGATGGCTGGTGGTGGTGGACAGAACCCATATATAACGATATCAATCAAAGTTCACACAGAACTTGCTTAGGCATCCACACAGAATCCCTATATAACGTTCAGTTCACAGAACTTTCTTAGGTATTCATTCACACATGCACCACATACTCGAGACACCATTTCCCGCTTCTGGTTGTTTACATATTCAAACGAAGTTCACACAGAACATTTGTGCAGTTCACACAGAACTTCCTTAGGTATTTCCACAGAATGTCTATATAATGTTATAAACGAGGTTCACCAAACCTTTGCCTAGTTCTCTCTTAGAACTTGGATCCCTTCTTAAACAATGTATTACTTCATTTAAAATGACTTACTGAAATCAGTTGAGTTGACCTTCTAGGTTTCGTGGATGTTGTTTTTCCTCCCTGACACGTCCCACAGTGAAGGTCTGGTCCGGGTGGGTCCTCGTCCTCTTTTAGTGAGACGGGAATTTCCCTTTCCGCCTTCCAAGAATGCGCCACCGGTGTTCCCACTGAGACCTTCACTGATGGATCACGTCGAGAAAATCAAATATCTTGTTTCGTGACCCCAGAATTGTAGTGGAAATTCACCACTAAGGACTCAAAGTAAATGAAGTAATCCTTATTATCACGGCCGAAGATAATAAGCGCAGTGGTCTAAGGCACTGCATCGCAGTGCTAGCTGTGCCACTAGAGATCCTGGTTCGAATCCAGGCTCTGTCGTAGCCGGCCGCGATCGGGAGACCCATGGGGCGGTGCACAATTGGCCCAGCGTCGTCCAGGGTAGGGGAGGGAATGGCAGGCAGGGAGGTAGCTCAGTTGGTAGAGCATGGCGTTTGCAACGCCAAGGTTGTGGGTTCGATTCCCACGGGGGGCCAGTATGAAAAATAAAAGAATGTATGCACTCACTAACTGCAAGTCGCTCTGGATAAGAGCGTCTGCTAAAATGACTAAAATGTAAATGTAAAATGTTCACAAACTCAATACAAGCTTGATGAAAACGCTGAAGGGGAGGTTCCCTTTCAGTCCTTTTATACTGCTACACAAACAAGTTATAAGCATGGTTGGTTCCTGTATGTGACTGATTTATACAACACAAGGCTTCTTACCTTGAAACTGAGACATTTTATCACTTCTCTAGTCCCAATATAATGTTCTGGGCGTACAACCAAATTCATTATGAGTGATAGTGTGGTTTACTCCTTTGTGCAGTCAACCCGTCACTCGCATGAACCCAACCAAGACAGGTTATTACAAAAGCAGCATTGTGCTAAACATACGATCACGTACACACAAGAACATTTCCATCATAGAACGATTGCACACTTCGGGGAGAAGGGGGTAGATTAGAATGGGACCGCAACCCATTTCTCCAGAGCTGAAGTAGATACTTAGCTACTCAGAGATTAACTAATATGAGTTTGATGTCTCCTCTTCCCTTCTGCCAGGTCCATCAACAAACCCCTTTGCTGCTGCAGCGGTTGCCCCGGCAATAGCCACCACCAACCCCTTCCAGAGCAACGGGAGAGCAGCGGCCATGGCAGCAGCAGGTGGGGACACGCCACGGATGTTTTGCATACCCAATGTATTTGAAACTAAAGCCATAGGCTGTGTCCGAAATCATTCTTGCCTACTACTTACTAAAATTCTATACTATTTACTAACCATACTACATACTGTTTAGAACATACTGTTTAGTAAAAATGTATGCAGTAAGCAACAGATATCAACATACTAGGCACACGCATACTGAGAAGGCGTCATGTAATGCGCAATTGGGTTGTTCCCTGCCATTCGTACATCACGTCTGATCATCTGATTATTAGCTGTTATCAAATACACGTGGGAGTCTGAAAAGACAATTATCTTCCTCAATAGCATGCAGCGAATTCGTACTAGATGAAAGCTGAAATGAATATGACATCCTGGCATTTAAAGCTTTCAACATTTTCGAAATATCACATACTCTAAACCTTTCTATTTTGCGCATACCCAATCAACATACTATTTAGAACGCAAGTACAGGTATTCGGACACGGCCACTGAGTTAGATAGAGGGCGCACTTAACCCAAAACCTCTCATGGGCAGCCCCGTTGCAAAGCTAGTAGATGAGCTCTGAAGTACATCTCTAAGTAGTCTCCCGAGTGGCGCAGTGGTCTAAGGCACTGCATCGCAGTGCTAGCTGTGCCACGAGATCCTGGTTCGTATCCAGGCTCTGTCGTAGCCGGCCACGACCGGGAGACCCATGGGGCGGCGCACAATTGGCCCAGCGTCGTCCAGGGTAGGGGAGGGAATGGCCGGCAGGGATGTAGAGCATGGCGTTTGCAATGCCAGGGTTGTGGGTTCAATTCCCACGGGGGGCCAGTATGAAAAAATAAAAATAAAAGATAATGTAAGTCGCTCTGGATAAGAGCGTCTGCTAAATGACTAAAATGTAAATGTATGACTAAAGCTGATCTAACTGTCGTGGTTAGCGGCCATTTTGAGATAGTGCAGAAGAAAAACATGTTTCGCAGATGGTAACCATATTCCAAAGTCATGCTAAAATATCACAAATTAACTGAGGCAGGTGATCATGTAAAAGCTTCTATATGTAGCAAAAGTCCATATTCTTAGATGATTACTTTTACAGAGGGTGACTGTGACCACCTGAAACCCTGTGAGAGGACTCATGGTCACAGTGGTCATGGTCATTAGAGGTCATAATGAGGTTATGAACCAGATGCCTTCACTTCATCGCTCAGCTAATTGTATTCATCTCTAAGTAAGTCTATTGCCGGTGGCTCGGCTGCTACTAGACTGGCAGCATTATTTACTAACAATTGTCTGTTGCTAAATGAGGAGATAGTCCAAGTAGTAACAGTCTTACATAGAGTAAATTGGAGAGACACTGATTGGTGACTGAGTGTTTCTGTAATGAGCATGAAGGTGTGTGCGTACTTATGTGTACGTCCAAATGATGATGGCTCTGTCTGATTGCTCCCGTGATGCTGGACAGGCCTGTTGGGGGCTCTGCATGGGCAGGGTTACCCTCCAGCCCACTTTGGTAGGTCCCCTCCTCCTCCTCTTCCAGCTCACTCCTTTTCTCCTTCCTTCCCCCTCCTCCTCTCTGCCTCCCTGTGTCTTGGCTGTGGCAGTGCTTCTTAGAGCTCCCCTGAGCATCCTGTGACTGTCTCGCCAACTGTGCATGTGTTGTGTGCCCTGACCCCTGACCCCAGTGCTGCTTCTACTGTATCTGTGAGTGTGGGAGTCCTGATGCCTCAACTGCCATAACCAATCCCCCCCCTGCCCTCACTGACGCTCCCAGACTGTAGTGATGTGGCATCGCCGATTACCCCATCTTGCCCCCTGCCGGCCAAGAGAAATAGCCTAACTAACAGTCGTAGCTTTTCAGACTATAGCTGTTGGCAGTGTGTATGTCATCCAGCTGAGCTCTGAGTTTATAAACTGGTGTTGAAAGGACATCAAACTGCCAGATAACCATTTAAGAGTGTCCTTTAACTGCACAACCATCTTGACTGTAAGCTTCTTATAGTTTTTCACCCTCCTGGATTCTGTACACTGCCTTTGCTGAGAGTGCCTATACCCTGAGTGCTGTAGGACTGTAGCTGTGTGCTAGATGCTGTGTAGTTTAATGCAGGTTATGTTCCGGATAGAGCTAGTCTCTGAGACTCGTTCTAGTCACAAAGTAGTTTTTCTGCTGTTGCTGTGTTTGTTTCTCTGTGTTTAAGTGTACACTGCTCAGTAAAGGTGTTTTAGTTCAGGTTGTGTGCCAATGTTAACCTGGCGTCAGGTGTGATTATAGGTAGACAGGGTAGGTAGGTGGGTGTGTACACTACCAGTCAAAAGTTTGGACACACCTACTCATTCAAGGGTTTTTCTTTATTTGTACTATTTTTTACATTGATAATAGTGAAGACATCAAAACTATGAAATAACACATGGAATCATGTAGTAACCAAAAATGTGTTAAACAAATCAAAATATATTTTATATTTGAGATTCTTCAGATAGCCACCCTTTGCCTTGATGACATCTTTGCACGCTCTTGGCATTCTCTCAACCAGCTTAATGAGGTAGTCTTTCAATTAACAGGTGTGCCTTCTTAAAAGTTAATTTGTGGAATTTCTTTCCTTCTTAATGCGTTTGAGCCAATCAGTTGTGTTGTGACAAGGTAGGGGTGGTATACAGAAGATAGCTCTATTTGGTAAAAGACCAAGTCCATATTATGACAAGAACAGCTCAAATAAGCAAAGAGAAACAACAGTCCATCATTACTTTAAGACATGAAGGTCAGTCAATATGGAAAATGTCAAGAACTTTGAAAGTTTCTTCAAGTGCAGTCGCAAAAACCATCAAGCGCTATGATGAAACTGGCTCTCATGAGGACCGCGACAGGAATGGAAGAACCAGAGTTACCTCTGCTGCAGAGGATAAGTTCATTCGAGTTACCAGCCTCAGAAATTGTAGCCCAAATAAATGCTTCACAGAGTTCAAGTAACAGACACATCTCAACATCAACTGTTCAGAGGAGACTGCCTTCATGGTCGAATTGCTGCAAAGAAACCCCTACTAAAGGACACCAATAAGAAGAAGTGACTTGCTTGGGCCAAGAAACACGAGCAATGGACATTAGACCGGTGGAAATGTGTCCTTTAGTCTGGAGTCCAAATTGGGGATTTTTGGTTCCAACCGCCGTGGCTTTGTGAGACGCGGTGTGGGTGAATGGATGATCTCCGCATGTGTATTTCCCACCGTAAAGCATGGAGGAGGAGGTGTTATGGTGTGGGGGTGTTTTGCTGGTGACACTGTCTGTGATTTATTTAGAATTCAAGGAACACTTAACCAGCATGGCTACCACAGCATTCTGCAGCGATACACCATCCCATCTGGTTTGGGCTTAGTGGGACTATCATTTGTTTTTCAAAAGGACAATGACCCAACACACCTCCAGGCTATTTTACGAAGAAGGAGAGTGATTGAGTGCTGTATCAGATGACCTGGCCTACACAATCCCCCGACCTCAACCAAATTGAGATGGTTTGGGATGAGTCGGACCGCAGAGTGAAGGAAAAGCAGCCAACAAGTGCTCAGCATATGTGGGAACTCCTTCAAGACTGTTGGAAAAGCATTCCAGGTGAAGCTGGTTGAGAGAATCCCAAGAGTGTGCAAAGCTGTCATCAAGGCAAAAGGTGGCTATTTGAATAATCTCAAATATAACATATATTTGATTTGTTCAACACTTTTTTGGTTACAACATGATTTCATATGTGTTATTTCATATTATTGATGTCTTCACTATTATTCTACAATGTAGAAAATAGTAAAAATAAAGAAATACCCTTGAATGAGTAGGTGTGTCCAAACCTTTGACTGGTACTGTATGTGTGTCCTTCAGATGTTTTGTAGTCTGCGTTAACACTTAGCAGTAATCGTGTAGCGTACGCTCTGTGTAACTGATGTGATATTTTGTAGATTGTGAGTGTCCTCTCCTCTCCCGCCTGTCTTGCAGCCACGTTTGGCACAGGCTCCATGAGCATGCCAGCCGGATTCGGGAACGCTGCTGCCTACAACCTCCCCACCAGCTTCAGTGGGACCTTCCAACAGCCCTTCCCTGGCCAGGCCCCCTTCCCCCAGCCTCCGGCCTATCCCCAGCAACCCAACGGTGTGTGTGGGTGTTTGCATGGGTGTATGTGTGCTTTGCATGAATTTGTGTAGTGTACCCATTTAATTTAAACCTTCAGTATTCAACTCTTTCTCTGGTCCACCAGGAGGGGGGTATTCTGCCTATGGACAGGCCAAGGCTGTGGTGACCCCCTTTGGACAGGCGATGGCTGCACCTGGGGTCTCTAGTAACCCCTTCTTGGTGAGTGGGACCATCAGGTGGTTTCCACAGTCTCCATTTGATAAGACTTGTGTTAATTTCACTGGTGGTGATTTAATGGCTCCCCTTCCTCTCTCTCTCTCTCTCTCTCTCTGTCTCTCTCTGTCTCTCTCTCTCTCTGTCTCGCTGTCTCTCTCTCTCTGTCTCGCTGTCTCTCTCTCAATGTCTCGCTGTCTCTCTCTCTGTCTCTCTCTGTCTCTCTCTGTATCTGTCGTCTTTCCAGGCGGGCGCCCCTTCAGGACACTACCCCTCAGGAAGCTCTTCAACTAATCCTTTCTTATAGCACTGCTCCACCTAAAGTCCACCACTAGGGTGATGTCAACTGGCGTGCTCCGCTTGCACCTCTTGCACTGTTTTGTTTCACAAGACGCTTTAAAAAGACAAACAATGTTTCTAAAACTGGTATTTTGTATTAAGTGACGTAACTGACACCGTCCATGGCAACATAAAACAAAACAAGGTAAAGGTGTGTAGAGGGAAGGGAGGGTGTTGGGGGCGTCAGGAAGCCTAGCTGTTAAGAGCGTTGGGCCAGTAATCGAAAGGTCGCTGGTTCGAATCCCCGAGCCGACTAGGTGAAAAATCTGTCAATGTGCCCTTGAGCAAGGCACTTAACCCTAATTGCTCCTCCTGTAAGTTACTCTGGATAAGAGGGTTTGCTAAATGACTAAAATGTAAATGTGTTAAAGGGGCAGGGTCTCCTGTCATCTTCCATCTAACCTGTGAACTGGCCCATCCTCAGCTGAGCCCAATGTATATTCAAACTGGCTGACACTAAGTTATTGCAAAATATTCCAAATCATTACGCTGCAATTCTGTAAATATTTTTTCTTAGCGGAAATTAGCTCTGTGCATATCAGTATTTGTACCTTTAACACAAGTTTAAGGCAGAACTGTTACTTGGAAAAGCTGAGAGGACTACTGTGAGTTACTGTATTTGTAAAGAAGAACCAAAAGTGGTTTGTACAGCGTGGTATCAGTAGGACTATTTTTACAGAGAAGAAGAGGAGAACATGCGTTTCATAATTTGTTACAGAAGAGGGGGAGGAGTCTCTCTCCTCTTCGGTGATTGGCCTCGAGGGCAGAGGCTCCACCTGGAAGGGGATGGGCTCTCACCTGTCCTGCTGTCCAGGTGGTTTACAACAATATAGACTGAAGACCACTGATGTTGGGTGTTAAAGAGATTTAAGTTAATGTGTGTGTATATATATATTAAAATGAATTTTAACTAAAAAGAATGACCAAACCATGTCTTTGTATTGCTGCACTGTACATCTCCATTTTCATATATTTAAATATTTTTTATATATATAAAAAGATTTCTATCACTATGAAGATGTTGCAGTCTGAATAATGTGGAGCTGTTACTCTTGCTCAGGAGTATAGACTGTAAAAAATATCAAACAGACCTGAATGTCATCGGTGTCTTTAATTCAGTAGGGCACAATGTACCCAAAAATTGTGCAACGGAAAACAAAAATGTGCCTACCGAACATGACCCAGGGCCCAGTGGTCAGTTTCTTCTGCTCAGAGTCTTTGTTCAGGGCCAGTGTCACTGTCTTTCAGACTTGTAGGCTGCTCCTCTGCAGTGGTGGACTCTCGGTGGCTTTGCCGCATTCTCATAATCATGTACACACCCCTCAGAAAGAAAATGACAGCGATGGCTGAGAAGTAGCTTCCATAAATGGTGAACTGCAAGAAAGAGTGGAGCGGTATGAAGCTTTTTCCTAACTCTTCAGTCGTAGGGCTAGCAAGCAGGTCTTATTATTGTCCTGTGACACTTGAACTGTTAACTCACCTGTGGAATGATGCCCAAGCCAAGCCCCCTGCCATCCACCACAATGGATGTGATGATAGTCTGAAGGACCAAAGCCCCAAAATTGTTTGCTCCAAAGATCAGTGCATATCTCTCCATGGAGACGTCAGTAGCAATTTGGAACCTGGAAGGAAAGGGGGCACATGTTTTTCCCTCTACCAAATATTAAAGGGTAATTTTGTTACATTTCAATCTAAAATTAATAGAATAAATAGATAAACACCATGGGGCCGATTCAGACCCAAGTTATGTGCACGCAAATGGAACTTAATTCCCTTTTTATGCAATTTTCTCTCTACTCCACATGTTTCAGCCAGCTATTCGTTCAGTGGGGAGATCACAGAAATGTAGGTTTGGCAGAGGTGTGTCTACAGATATTCTGTATTCTGGCCTTGGCTTAATTCCCTCATAATTCCACCACCTTTACACGTGATGAAACTATGAATAATGTCGAGCAACCTGTCCTAAGTGGAGCAACAACTAGGCCTACTTAATTTTTTCCAATAGAAATAGCACCATTCTCCATGCACTGTAATTTACAAATTGATAAGCGCTAGGTAAATTAGTAAATTGTTTGGATAAGGGGATTGTAAATATATTTTACCCTATGATTGCTTGAGACATGTAAAACCAGTCATATGGCAGAAAACTGAAGCATATCAACATATCAATTTTCCCACAGTGAGGTTTATGAAATGCTGGCCTTATAACCTGCAGGGATGAATCTTGGAGACCCAAGCTATAGGCTTCTGTAGCCATGCGCAAATTACAGTATAGCGCCAAACCTACCGAGTTGATTTATGATTTCTAGAATGTTTTAATTATATGCCTGGACTTTTCACTGTATTTTTTAAACAATTTGTATCGTGTTAAATATTAGCCACTATTGGTAGCCATCGTCAATTATACCAATACATTTATAACTCACTTTAGTGTTAGTTTCTTTACATTTTGCATCATTCCATTACATCATTAGTTTACCTTTCATCTGTCACATTCATGTGATTGTTCCTGAGGATCGCTAGCAATAGTGGATCATATTAGGCTAACGTTTTACAAGTAATAATTTGGGACATGTAGCCTATTTGAATCATTATGGAACGCAGACCAATACTTAACAGTTTAAAACTGGAGCCTGGCGCACGGTTCACGATGACTGGACCGTTGTCATCACAGTTCCATGATTAGTGAGGATTATTAAGGTAGATTTGTAGGAATATGGTTCTACCTCTATTGTACACTTTTCTCACCTTCCAATATTTAATGGATTAAACAATTGAATATGGAAACTTTCAGGATGAATCAAACCAATGTATTTTTCATTCACCAATATATTTAGTGGGTAGAGGCACTCTAACCTGTTTTTTAAAAATGATTCATAAATACTTATCTAACCCTAAATAATATACATCAGAGTATTTTTAAATCTACCAATTGGTGCTGAAAAGGAGACGAATATGAGTGTATTTACAAGGCTTTCTTTCATTGATCCCTAATATTCTGAACGTTCTCTCCATATATTCTAGTGACTCTGTGGAGTGAATTACACCAAATTTAAAGGGATGGCTTTAGATAAATGTACTGAAAACCCTAATGAATGAAAACTCCACGAGAAAATGTTGGCCAGCAAGTGGGAGGGTTTTCAGCGGTTGAATGAAATATATTCAGCGTGTGTCAGGGAACCACGCCTGCTAGGCCCGTTATGTACCTGAATAAGGTCTGAAAAGTAACTATTGAGAAGTGCGTAGGAAAGGCGTTCATTTCCTAAGTTTGAATCAGGCCCCATGTCATTTCCAGATTTGCAGTGCTTATCTTTTCCATTAATTTGGGTATGAGGCGTGTATCTAGATCTATCTACTCAACCAATGGTGTGGGATGTGGACTCATAACAGGTGTCCCTTTAATATATTACTGACAAAAGGGAATTTCTAAATGTGAAATAAGGCGTATTGTTCTTCAGACGGCAGTAATTCTCAGTTTATCATGACTATATTTGCACTCACATGGCTATGGTGATAAGCAGCATGTAGAGGCACTTGAATACAATGTAGCCAGCATAGCAGGCCCAGATGCTGGCTGTGAAAGTCATGGTGAAAAGGGCTGCAGCTCCCAGGCCAGAGAATGAACCCAGAGCCAACTCTCCCCACTGGGCCCAATCCACCTCGGTGAAACCAATACCATAGGCCGTCGCTGCCGCTGCAAGGAACACACAGTGGTCTGAGCAGTAACATTTTACATGGAGTTGCTATATACCTTTGTAAGGTGTTAGACTGTTGATGATGATTGATTATTAATGCTTGACAAGCATCTACAAAAAACAGATGGTCATGTGTCCTGTTTCGGATGGCTACGCTCCTATTGGTTTAGGCTAGAGCGAGTGAGCCGGAATGTACTCCCTGCCGGTCCCAACACTTCCCACATCATGACCCCTTACATACTGTCTGTCCCACAAGACCGCTGTCCGAGAGAACAAAACCTCAGCAGCCCACCAAACCGGTCCCTCAGCCTATGCCCTCTCAGCAGCAACGCACTGTGCAAGAGAGAGCCCAAGGACATACCTAAGAGATGGAAACGGATAAATGGGGATGGCGTCGACCACGACGAGCATTGGTGACTGTAACTGTGCTGCTGGCAACAATTTAATTATGTTTTTTGCCGATGTTTACTGACACCGGCCATATTCAACATGTGTTGCGCGTTTGTAAATTCATTAGTTATTCTACACTCTGGCACACTCAGACGAGAGCGCTCTGAAATCGGAATAGATAGCCAGAGTGAATTTAGGAACGCACCCGAAGGGTTTTTCATTGAGTAGACTGCATCACAGTGACATGTAGATGACTACCAATATGAGTTATTTCTTGTGTAAACTGCTATCCTACTTAAAATATAATCCTGGGAGGGGCAAAAATGGGCCACGTTACTAGCTACCGCCGTGATACAGCTGTCCAGTCGGCAGGCACCTCGATACAACACCGGTGCACAGGTCGCTATGATAGTTACCGCTGGCAACACCTCAATAAAATACTGGTGCACTGGTCGCTATGTTAACTAACGTGTATCCCTGGGCGGTCCATCCCTGGGCAGTTCTGGCCTGGCACAGGACGCGGGTCGCAGTCAGACCCAACTCGAACTGGGCGCACAGCGTTTCATGACAGCGCCAGGAAATGAGTCTATAGTGTTGTTGGCAACTCACCAAATAGGTTGGACACAGCTTCCACCCCTCCATTGTAGACTGTGAAGTTCTGGGATGGCTCTACGTGCTGCCACAGCACCTGTACATAATTGGTTGTCTGGTTATAGCCACAGGTGGCCAGTGCCCACCATACTGACCAGTACAGCAGCTCCCTTGTAGAGTAACACTGGAGGAAGTCTCTCCACAGTTGGATAAGAACCTGGCTGCAGCTCCTAGCTCTCACTGGCCCCTCAGGGAACATTTCCCCATCACCTGCACACATGTCCCCTCTTCCTAGGGCCTCTGGTAGTTCTTGGGCATCCATTTCTTCTACATTTCCAGTTTTATGCCTCTCCTGACTCCGATGGAAGAACATGCTTCTCTGTGGCATGGGCAGGAAGAGGGAAGTCACCAGGGCGATGGAGATCAACACCAGGTTAAGTACCAGGATGTTGTTGTAGGACATGAGGTTAAAACTGACCAGTAACTGTCCCAGCACAGATCCCATCGTGTAGCCTAGCAGCTGTACACTACGGCAGTAGGATGTAGCTTTGCGGAAGTGTTTCAGGTCCACTATGCTGTAGATGTATGAGAAGTAGGCCACCTCGCTGGCTGTCACCACAGCGTAGGCAAACTGCATTGCCTGCATGGCTGCCACTCCCTGCAGCCAGAGCAGCATTGCTGTCGTAACAAAGAGGTTGATGCACTGGAACACCACTACGGGCTTGTAGCGCAGCCAATCGGTGAGCAGGAAGACGGGCACCATCACAGCCAGGTAGGAGTATGTCCACACAGGAAAAATCTCATTGGTCACCTGAGGTAAATGGAAATAATGTCAAAGACTGGTGGTGCGTTCGTATGTAATCGGAAAGTCAGAGGAGACCCACTAGAATGATCCTCCACGTCGGAGTTCCAAGTGGGAAACTCAGACCAGAATGAATGAGGATGCCTGACCTTTCACCTTCAGATCAAAAGATGGCCGACACAGCCATTTACAACCTTAATAATGTGCATAATGTAGTTAGTTTGACCAATACATTCTATGGTTTGACATATTGTCCACGTTAGCAAGCTAACTAACTTATTAGCAACATTATCTAGTTTAGCCATCTAGTTTCTCATTGGTTGAAGAGTTTTTCAGATTTCAAGCACTCAAATGCATACATGATGTCATCCGGAGTTCACCAACTGGGAACTACGAGTTCCTGAAAAGCATTCAAAGCACCATCAGTGGACCCTACCATGCCTTATTATTTCTTCACCTAATTCAATATATTGCACTTTTTTGTCAAGCAGGTAATAAAGGGATCATAACCCCTGGTACATTGACTTAAAATGATTAGGGTAACACTTGACACCAGCGTCATAACACATAATATGTTTTAACAGCTGACATAACCTGTCATCATATGGTCATGACACATACAGTATATTTAGACCTTTTGTGGTATATATTGCATTATTTTATGTCTGGTTATGACACCTACATAAGAGTGTCAAAACCGACCACACAAGGCAAAACATTCCATTTTTTGTCGTAGCCTACTTGTCATCAGTATGTTTATGTTATATAACATTTTCTGAAATTGACCATATTAAATTATCATTGTAATTGCGCACAAATTGATGTTAGACATGCAACTTCCACAACGCTCGGCTGCTGATGACTGGGACGAATGCAGTTACAGATTTCAGGAGCAGGACAAGACACCCTCTTTGTGACTGATGACTGATGTAAGGGCATGTACGTGATAGGCCTATCTGGCTTATATGATTATGATGTCATAATGCTTCTTGACAGTGTATTTTCTGCAAGTTATTTAAAATCTGATTTAAAAAAGCATGACTGTTAACAGAATTCATTACAACAACACATGACTTAAGAAACAAACTTTCAAATGAAAGGAAACTTATTGGCTGGGAGAAAACACATTTTTGAATAAATGTGGTTTTTGACACTCTTATGTAGGTGTCATAACCAACTGTAAAATAATGCAAAATAATATGTCACAACAGGACAAGTTGTGTCAGCTCTTATGACATTATGACCGTGTCATAACGTGTTATGACAATGGGTGTCAAGTAAAGTGTTACCATGATTAGAAATACAGTAGATTGGTATGGTATTGGTTGAGATTAGAAATATAAATAAATTGCTTTTGCTTATTATGAAATTATTATTTGAGTTAGATTAATCATATTTTTATACAAACAACATATCTAAGCTACCATTACACACTGTAAACAAGTTTCTAGGACCTACAGTGAGGGAAAAAAGTATTTGATCCCCTGCTGATTTTGTACGTTTGCCCACTGACAAAGAAATGATCAGTCTATAATTTTAATGGTAGGTTTATTTGAACAGTGAGAGACAGAATAACAACAAAAAAATCCAGAACAACGCATGTCAAAAATGTTATAAATTGATTTGCATTTTTTGTCTTAAAGTAATGATGAACTGTCGTTTCTCTTTACTTATTTGAGCTGTTCTTGCCATAATATGAACTTGGTATTTTACCAAATAGGGCTATCTTCTGTATACCACCTTGTCACAACACAACTGATTGGCTCAAACGCATTAAGAAGGAAAGAAATTCCACAAATTAACTTTTAACAAGGCACACCTGTTAATTGAAATGCATTCCAGGTGGTTGAGAGAATGCCAAGAGTGTGCAAAGCTGTCATCAAGGCAAAGGGTGGCTACTTTGAAGAATCTCAAATCTCAAATATATTTTGATTTGTTTAACACTTTTTTGGTTACTGCATGATTCCATATGTTCCGTTATTTCATAGTTTTGATGTCTTCACTATTATTCTACAATAATAAAGAAAAACCCTTGAATGAGTAGGTGTGTCCAAACTTTTGACTGGTACTGTATATACATGTATATATTTTTTAAATATATACTGTATATTAAAAAATAAAAAACCATCACACTTCCACCACCATGCTTGACCATTGGTATGAGGTTCTTACTGTGGAATGCAGTGTTTGGTTTTCGCCAGGCATAATGGGACCCATGTCGTCCAAAAAGTTATACTTTTGACTCATCTGTCCATTCTGCTCTGTATCAGATAATTCTACAGGAAAATGTCAGGCCATCTGTCTGTGAGCTGAAGCTTAAGCACAGCTGGATCATGCAGCAAGACAATGATCCAAAACACCCAATCAATTCTACAAGAAAATTGTTAAAAAGCAACACATTTGAAGTTTTGGAATGGCCTAGTCAAAGTGCAGACCTAATCCCAATTGAGATGTTATGGCAGGACTTGAAACGAGCAGTTCATGCTTGAAAACCCACAAATGTCGCTGAGTTAAAGCAGTTCTGCATGCAAGAGTGGGCCAAAATTCCTCCACAGCGATGTGAGACTGATCAACAACTACAGGAAACATTTGGTTGCAGTCATTGCAGCTAAAGGTGGCACAACCAGTTATTGAGTGTAAGGGGGCAATTACTTTTTCACACAGGGGAATTGGGTGTTGCATAACTTTGTTAGTTAAATAAATAAAATAAGTATCAATTTTGTTGTTATTTGTAAATTCAGGTTCCCTTTATCTAATATTAGGTTTTGGTTGACGATCTGATAACATTCAGTATCAAAAATATGCAAAAATAGAGAAAATCAGAAAGGGGGTAGATACTTTTTCACAGCACTGTAGGCTAATTATATTAGCATTCAAAAGTATGAATTTGACTTTTCTTTACATTTTTCTAAGGTATTCTCTTAGTTGTACTGCTAAACTTAATGTAAATAAGTTACATTTTATATCACTATGTGAATGGGTCTAAATACCATATAAGGTTTTAAGTACTGCTAACCCCCCACATAGGAGCCTATACTTATCTAAATCTTGTGAGAAAATACAACGATAATTGTCATCAACTATATAAATGAAAAATTGAGAATGTTCCAAAGGTCAATAATTAAAAAAAGAGAGGCGGCAAGGATATTTACTTTAGGGTCTCAAAACCCATTTTTTTTGTCAATAAAACAAAAGATAATTGATGGATTTAAACAAACTTCTTACGCATGTAGAGACACTAACCAAGCATTAGCACATTGAATAACATTCCATTATCATACTGTTACAACTGACCCTGTGTTACTTTGTTCCCTGGTCTCCTCATAGATATAGCGCTGTTCAAAAGTGCGGGAATGACAACATTTTATTGACATTTGACTACTGTAGTAGCTCACCTGTTCCACTGTCAGGTTTTTGTCTGGACCTGTCAGGTAAGGTATGAGGAAAGGTTCCAAAGGTTTCACAGTACTGAAGAACCCATAGATGCACAGCAGAGTGGTGGGATAGCCCCATCCTGCCTTCCACCGCTTCACAGCCTCCATCCTCACAGATCCACAGAGATAGTCACCAGTGTCACGACACAATGTTTTGCTGCTTTACCTGCCCAGATTAGTCCGATTTAGCTGTGTTACCTGTCCAGGCTAATCGACTCCCTACTATAATACTATAGTAGTAGCGAACTAGCCTGAGGTTGTTTGTGTAATCGCTAAGCTCCGTCTGTCAATCAACAACTTGCTCAAAGGGAAATACTTAGGGTCCACTGACACACATTCCTTCTAGAACTGAGACATGAGCGCAATGAATAAAACTAATAAATCATACCTGTATATCAGCTGTACACCTTATCTTTTTTAGTTTAATTATAGAGTAGTTGGAGTAGACTAAATCATGCTTATGCAACATGTACCCACTGGACAAAACTGCTTGAATCAACGTTGTTTCCACGTCATTTCAACCACAAAAATCTATGTAATCAAATAAAATTGTATTGGTCGCATACACATATTTAGCATATGTTATTGAAGATGTAGCGAAATGCTTGTGTTCCTAGCTCCAACAGTGCAGTAATATTTAACAATACACAACAATACACGCAAATCTAAAAAGTAAACAAATGGAATTAAGAAATATATAAATATTAGGACGAGCAATGTCAAAGTCCGGAGTATAAATATATATGTACAGTACCAGTCAAAGGTTTGGACACACCTACTCATTCAAGGGTTTTTCTTTATTTTTACTATTTTCTACATTGTAGAATAATAATGAAGACATCAAAACTATGAAATATCACATCTGGAATCATGTAGTAACCAAAAAAGTGTTAAACAAATCAAAATATATTTGAGATTTGAGATTCTTCAGATAGCCACCCTTTGCTTTGATGACAGCTTTGCACACTCTTGGCATTCTCTCAACCAGCTTCATGAGGTAGTCACCTGGAATGCATTTCAAGTAACAGGTGTGCCTTCTTAAAAGTTAATTTGTGGAATTTCTTTCCTTCTTAATGCATTTGAGCCAATCAGTTGTGTTGTGACAAGGTAGGGGGGGTATACAGAAGATAGCCCTATTTGGTAAAAGACCAAGTTCATATTATGACAAGAACAGCTCAAATAAGCAAAGAGAAACGACAGTCCATCATTACGTTAATACATGAATGTCAGTCAATATGGACAATTTCAAGAACTTTGAAAGTTTCTTCAAGTGCAGTCGCAAAAACCATCAAGCGCTATGATGAAACTGGCTCTCATGAGGACCGCCACAGGAATGGAAGACCCAGAGTTACCTCTGCTGCAGAGGATAAGTTCAATAGAGTTACCAGCCTCAGAAATTGCAGCCCAAATAAATGCTTCACAGAGTTCAAGTAACAGACATATCTCAACATCAACTGTTCAGAGGAGACTGTGTGAATCAGGCCTTCATGATCAAATTGCTATTTAACAGTCTGATGGCCTTCAGATACAAGCTGTTCTTCAGTCTCTTGGTCCCAGCTTTGATGCACCTCTAATGACCTTCTTGATGTTGAATCAATGTGGAAAACTGATTGGATTTGCAAAAAGTTATCAAGGTAAGGGCATTTCGTTGTTTGTTTACCCAACTTTTAACCTAAACTTGGTGACTTTGTGACATTTGTTGTTGATTTAACTTTGAATTCACATTTAGTTGACAAATCAAAACTAGAGGTTGAACTGACGTCTATGCCCAGTCATTATCAACTTTTATTTTGAATATAAATACAAGTATACAGAGCACCATGACGTTAGATTTTAAAGTAAAAGTTTGGTGAGACACCTTGCCCCCCTCAGTTTTGGACAGATTATTGTCTGTGGTCAGAACCAGTCAGATCAAAACACTTCTACTTTGGGTTCTTCTTTTTGGTCCACTGCATGTTCAAGTTTGCAGTGGTGTACACAGTGTTGGGCTTGGAAGCTCCTCTGCAGTGGTGGAGTCTCTGTGGCTTTGCTGCACTCTCATAATCGTGTACACATCCCACAGGAAAAAAATGACAGCGATGGCTGAGAAGTAGCTTCCATAAATGATGATCTGCAAGAAAGAGTGGAAAAGCATTAAGCTTATTTTTCAGTTACACAGTTCAGATAAAAAATTAAAAAACATTTTGAATGAGACAGATATTTAACGTTGTTTTTTTGGACAAACATCCAGGACAGTTCATAACATCCAAGGCAAAAGTCCAAGGTATCTATTCATAACTTTGGATAATGACACTGGGGGTTGTGGTGGAAGAGTCAGGATCTAATGGTTTGTAGGGACTTGCCTCCTTTGACACTTGAAACTTTAACTCACCTGTGGAATGATGCCCAAGCCGAGCCCCCTGCCATCCTCCACAATGGATGTGATGATAGTCTAAAGGACCAAAGAGCCAAAGTTGTTTGCTCCAAGGATCAGTGCTTATCTCTCCATGGAGGTCAGTAGCAATTTGGAACCTTGGAGGAAATGGTCACGTTTGTTCTTGCTAAATAATCATTCAAGTTTGGCACCTACATTTTTCTAATGGCAGTAATTCACAAACTCTCATGGCAAATGTGATAAGGCCCCCAGGCCAGAGAAGGAGCACAGGAACAACTCTCCCCACTAGGCCCAGTCCACCTGGAGGAAACCAATGCCATAGGCCATCGCTGCACCTGTAAATCACACACATGATGTGATAAACTTACCATTAAGTAATTACATATTAGAAGTATGACTGATTGACTGTTGATGATGATTGATTATTAATGCCAGACAAACATCTACAAATACCCAATGGTTATGTGTACTCCAATAGTTGGTGCTTCACTACTCACCAAACAGAATGTGACTTTCTGGGATGGCTGTATGTGCTTCCACAACACCTGTACATAGTTGATTGCCTGGTTGTAGCCGCAGGTAGCCGGTACCCACCACACTGACCAGTGCAGCAGTGCCCTGGTGGAGTAGCACTGGAGAAAGTCTCTCCACAGCAGCAGGAAGACTTGGCTGCAGCCCCTAGACCTCTCTGGCCCCTCAGTGGACACATCACCTGCACACCTGCACACCTGCACACCTGTCCCCTCTTTCTGGGGTCTGTGGTGGTTCACTTTGACTCCGATGGAAGAACATGCTTCTCTGTGGCATGGGCAGGAAGAGGGAAGTCACCAGGGCAATGGAGATCAACACCAGGGTAAGTACCAGGATGTTGTTGTAAGACATGAGGTTGAAACAGACCAGCAGCTGTCCCAGCACAGAGCCCACCGTGTAGCTTAGCAGCTGTACACTACGGCAGTAGGATTTAGCCTTGCAGGAGTGTTTCAGGTCCACTATGCTGTAGATGTATGAGACGTAGGGCACCTCACAGGCCGACTTTACGCCGAAGAAGAACTGCATTGCCTTAAAGGCTGCCCCCTCCTGCACCAATAGCATCATCGCCCAGGTTATGAAGAAGTTGATGCACTGAAACACCACGACGAGCTTGTAGCGCAACCAATCTAGGGCAGGAAGACTGTCACCATCACAGCCAGGAAGGAGTATGTCCACACTGGGTAGATTTCAATTGGTCACCTGGGCTAGAGTGCAATACTGCTGTCTGTTTGGGAGGTTGCAACATTACAGAACATTCAGATAGAAAATGTATTGATTGTAGCGACCTTAACCCAACACCTAGCGAGCAACACAGCGACCTCATCAAGAGATTCAGATATCTTGCCGTAAAGGCTAAGGTGTTGGGTTGACAGCCACAAAGACACAAGTTCAAACCCTGGTCCGGACTACTTTCTGACCTCACTTGCGGCCATCGAAAAAAGTGGGGGTAAGTGTGAGGAACTTACAGCAGGAAGGGGGTAGTGTAGCGTGCTGGTAGGTAGTAAAGTAGTCATAAACATTACTGATAAAGTTGTAAAGTTACGGATTAAAAATGAAGGAAATCGGGACACTCCTCTAAAGAGAGTATAAGAGTATGAAGACAATGCATTGAAATGTTTGTCCTGTAGCCTACTGTACCTGTTCCACTGTCAGGTTTTTGTCTGGACCAGTCAGGTAAGGGCAGATGAAGGGTACGAGAGGTTTCAAAGTATTGAAGAACCCATAGATGCACAGCAGAGTGGTGGGATAGCCCCATCCTGCCCTCCGCCACTTCCCAGCCTCCATCCTTACAGATCCACAAACAGCGATAGCCAGTACTATCACCCACACAAGTTTTTATACTTTATACAAAAAGTAGGTTTATTGCTTTACCTGCTCAGGTTAGTCTGCTCTCTCACACACTACTCTTAATCCAGCCTGTGTCTAGTCCCCATATGGAAGTCACCTCGGTTTGTTTGTGTAATCACTGAGGTCAGTCTGTCAATCAATCAACAACAATATTTAACATGGCCATGCCTATCAATTGAACACACCTTATCTTTTGGATGACTTACAGAGAAGTTGGACAAAACAATGCTTACGCAACATTTGTTGTATTTTGATTATAAATACAAGTCTATTGTCTGTGGTCAGAACAGAACCCGTCTGAGGAGGGCATCTCCACTTTGGGTTCTTCTTTCTGTTCCTGGTCCATTGCCTGTTTAGACCTGCAGTGGTGTGCACAGGCTGTGTACATCCCTCGGATCAGGAAAAGCACAGATATTTCTGCATAGTAGCTGCCATAGATGATGAACTGGAGAAAGGGAAATGAAGCTTTGGTTTGATTAAAGGGGTCAAGAACAGAAATAATGCAGTAATAATTATCCACCAGGTGTCACTCTCTCTTCACTTTTGGTAACTTGTGCATCAGTTAAAGGAATGGGCAATGGCCTTTCTAGCTCTGGATTGTGACAATGCCTAGCCCCAGTGCAGTTTCATCAACAATGATGGCTGTGAAAATGGTCTGCAGCAAGAGGGCAACAAAAGTGTTGACTCCGAACGTTAGAGCATAGCATACCATGGAAATGTTGGATGCAATCTGGAATCTGTAACGCCAAAACAGATAATCCTTTGTACTGTACAGTATGAAAATGTATGCAGTCACTAACTGTAAGTCGCTCTGGATAAGAGCGTCTGCTAAATGACTAAAATGTAAATGTACTGAATATTTTCATTGTGCAGTTCTGATGAATGTCTGTGGGATGCATGGAAGGTATATTAAATAAATATAGCAGAGCTCATTGAAGTATGGCTTAGAGAGTATTCACTTACGTAGTGATGGTGATCAGCAGCATGTAGGAGGCCTGGAATATGACGTAGCCAGCATAACTTTCCCAAATGTTGCTGGTGAGCCCAATCAGAAACACGGCCCCTGCCCCCACCGCAGAGAACACCCCCAGTGACAGCTCCCCCCAGACATCCCAGGTCACCTTTACATGACCCACACAGAAGGCTGCAGCTGCACCTATAGGACAGGGATGGGACAACAACAGTGGATGATTTCCTTTTTAGATCCTGAGTAAATACTTGTAAACTGCATCCTTCCTTCCTCCCTTCCTTTAAGCAATCACTGATCCAACACTGTTGGCTGGGTTAAAGCATAGGATTCAATACATGGATTTCATCAATCAATCAATCAATCAATCAATCAAATGCATTTATAAAGTCCGTTTTACATCAGCAATTGTCACAAAGTGCTTATACAGAAACCCAGCCAAAAACCCTGAAGAGCAAGCAATGCAGATGTAGAAGCACGGTGGTTAGGAAAAACTCCCTGGAAAGGCAGGAACCTAGGAAGAAACCTAGAGAGGAACCAGGCTCTGAGGGGTGGCCACTCGTCTTCTGGCTGTGCCGGGTGGAGATTATAAGAGTACATGGCCATTAAGGCCAGATCGTTCTTGAAGATGTTGAAGATCCAGTCATATCAGATCATTGATTACCCCAAGCAAGGACGGATGCAAAATTTGAAGAATTCGAACAGGACCCTCATCGTATTTCTACCATCATTTATCAGGACAATATAATGTCTCTATCCCTGAACACATAGGATAGAGGACAGGGCTTTGATTTAATTAAAGGGATACTTGGTGATTTTGGCAATGAGGCCCTTTATCTACTTCCCAAGTCAGATTGACTTGTTACGATAAGTCAAAATCTCTCAAACCCGAGCTATCAGCAATAATCAGAGAAATCGTTACCCAAGCTATCACCTTAATTGAAGCAATTACTCTTCTCTCTCTGCGTGCAGAGCCCAACTTGAACCAAAGGAAAGATGACCACGGAACTACTTTGCCTTAAACCCATCGAAACACATTACCCATTTAATCATGGACCACATATACATCAGATTGTGAGACCAACATTCAGCTGTGTCCTGGTAATTTTGGAATTTTACTAGTATATTTTTATTTAGTAATACAAAAATATTAGCATCGTAACATTTTATCTGAATATAGAATTCACCAACCGGCAAACCCCAAAGCACAGCTACTCTACTGAACACACACACACACAGTTCTGAGACTTTCTTACCTACTACTGCGCATATGGCCTCGACCCCTCCATTATAGACAGAGGAGGTGCTGGATGGCTCTATGTGGTCCTACATCAGCTGAATGTAGTTGAACACCTGACCGTTGCCGGCCGTGGCTAGAGCCCCCAACAGAGACCAGTAGACCAGCTTCCTAGAGGAGTAGGACTCTCTGAAGCTGCTACAGAGCAGCCTGCCAGCATAGACCACATTATGCAGGCTGCACCAGCCAGTCCTACCCCCGTTTCCCTGGGTCCTACCCGACCCAGCACCATCCTCCACGTCCTCCTCTTCATCCTCTGCCTCCTCCACTGCACTCGCCTCCTTCCACACCTGGCCCTTGGCGCTCAGGTCCAGGGCAGCCTTCTCCCCCCTGAAGAACATCCACCGCTGGGGCATGGGTAGCCAGACGGAGAACGCAACACTGAGGATCCCCATGGAGATGGCATTGAGGTAGAAGTAGTCCAGCCCTGCCAAGGAGACCAGCAACTGGCCTAGGGTGGCACCTAGGGTGGCGCCTGTCAGCATGGCACTGCGGAGGTAGCCGGTGGCCCGCTGGTACCTCTCCGGAGGGATCACGCTGTAGATATAGGAGAAGTAGGCCACCTCCGTGGAGGTCACCACGGCATAGTTGAACTGCAGGAAGGTCATGGCAGTCAGGCGGGGATCGAAGCAGAGCAGGACATAGTTGGTGACCAGGAAGAGGCCACGATCACTGGCTTGTACCTCAGGAAGTCTGTCAGCAGGAAGACTGGGAAGAGGACTGCCAGGTAGGAGTACGTCCAGATGGGGAACAGGTAGTTGGTAACCTGAGGAGGCACAGGGAGAGGAGTGATTCATTTATCAGTAGATCTATTCAATATGCACAGGGATACTGAATAGTCCTACCGATCGTCTGTATGAAGCAAAAATAGAACATAGCCCACTGTATACAGTAGCACATACACTATATATACAAAAGCATGTGGACACCCCTTCAAATTAGTGGATTTGGCAATTTCAGCCACACCCGTTGCTGACATGTGTATAAAATCAAGCACACCGCCATGCAATCTCCATAGACAAACATTGGCCGTAGAATGGCCTCAGTGACTTTCAACGTGGCACTATCATAGGATGCCACCTTTCCAACAAGTCAGTTCGTCAAATGTCTTCCCTGCTAGAGCTGCCCCGGTCAACTGTAAGTGGTGTTACTGTGAAATGTCTAGGAGCGGCAGCAGCTCAGTCGCGAGGTGGTAGGCCACACAAGCTCACAGAATGGGACCGCCGAGTGCTGAAGCGTGTAGCATGTAAAAATCGTCTGTCCTCGGTTGCAACACTTACTACCGAGTTCCGAACTGCCTCTGGAAGCAAAGTCAACACAATAACTGTTAGTCGGGAGCTTCATGAAATGGGTTTCCATGGCCGAGCAGCCGCACACAAGCCTAAGATCACTGTGCACAATGCCAAGCATCGGCTGGAGTTGTGTAAAGCTCGGCACCATTGGACTCTGGAGCAGTGGAAATGCGTTCTCTGGAGTGATGAATCACGCTTCACCATCTAGCAGTCCGATGGATTAATTTGGGTTTGGAGGATACCAGGAGAACGCTACCTGCCCGAATGCATAGTGGCAACTGTAAAGTTTGGTGGAGTAGGAATAATGGTCTGGGGCTGTTTTTCATGGTTTGGGCTGGGCCCCTTAGTTCCAGTGAAGGGAAATCTTAACTCTACAGCATACAATGACATTCTAGACGATTCTGTGCTTCTAACTTTGTGGCAACAGTTTGGGGAAGGCCCTTTCCTGTTTCAGCATGACAATGCCACAGTGCACAAAGCCACATACAGAAATGGTTTGTCGAGATCGGTGTGGAAGAACCTGACTGGTCTGCACAGAGCCTTGACCTCAACCCCATCGAACACCTTTGGGATGAATTGGAACCCCAACTGCGAGCCAGGCCTAATCGCACAACATCAGTGCCCGACCTCACTAATGCTCTTGTGGCTGAATGGAAGCAAATCCCTGCAGCAATGTTCCAACATCTAGAGGAAAGCCTTCCCAGAAGAGTGGTGGCTGATATAGCAGCAAAGGGGGGACAAACTCCATATTAATACCCATGATTTTGGAATGAGATGTTGGACGAGCAGGTGTCCACATACTTTTGGTCATGTAGTGTATTTCATTCTATCGTTATAGTGTGCGTCATTCTCTGTAGCTCAATTGGTAGAGCATGGCGCTTGTAACGCCAGGGTAGTGGGTTCAATCCCTGGGACCACCCATACGTTAAAAAAAATGTATGCACACATGACTGTAAGTCGCTTTAGATAAAAGCGTCTGCTAAATGGCATATTATTATTTACTTTCTTATCACAACCTTCTTAACAAATCCAATCAAAACTGATAAAGTGTAGCATACAGCTCTCTGCTGCTGGTTACTTTACCTCTTCCTCCGAGATGTTCTTGTATGGTCCAATAAGGTATGGTGTTAGGAAGGGCTCAGCTGGTCTGCAGTTGGCGAAGAACCCATAGAGCGACAGAACGGCTGTGGGAAACACCCAGCCAGTGAACTTCAGCTTGGCCCAGCAACCCATCCTGGTAGCCTACCCCTTCTGCCCCCCTCACATGCACAACTTCTGGGTCTGAGTCCTGTGTACCACTGGTATCTGTTGGCAGTAGGCAGCAGTAGATCACTGGGCCAAGTCCTTTCGGGGAAATGTATGAATTTAGTCTATGTCTATGAACTACATGTGCATAACTGAGAATGCAAGTTTATCTGAGGGAGACTTTGAGCTCTTGGGAAATAGTCCCACTGATGGTAAAATGAAAGCTTATGTCAGCCTCAATTATCATGACACAGAGTTGTACACATTTTTCTAGTCTCTATTTTTGACTTTATGTACATGTTTTGTGCACAGTTATGGAACAAGTTCAGTCTTTTTTGAACAGGTTAATTGTGGGTGAGCTGTGTGTTTCAGTCCATCTGCGCATGCATGCTGGCCGAGCTCCAACTAGTCTGTTGCTTAACAACGCTTTGTTGACAAGGGATTTCTGCTGGAGGAGCGAAATGAAACTCAAACAATTCCTTCTCAGATATTATCCACCAGGTGATGAACATGTTGTTGATGATGCTAAGATACTTGATAATTAAGATACTAATGAATGTTTGAACAAGTAGCTAGCTAATTATTTGTACCGTTTTGTGCAACTACACAGCAACTTTAACAGTAGTGCTGTTCTGACCTAGAGCTAGCGGACTAGGCTAGCCCAGAGCCATAACCTTAGGTCTCTGTGCTAGCCAGACCAGTTAACTGTAACAGCAATTTAATGCATGACGCACAAGTTGAAGTTACAAGTAGGCTCAAGTAACTTGTATCTTACACTTGGTCGGGTTTTGAATATTGAATTGATGCCTTTTGTTCACAGGTATCATCCTGGAATATGAGAAAGGAGGAGCTCTGAAGAGTAAATCCATTGATGTGTTGGATTTGTCTCCAGAGTGGGTAGACAATAGTATAATTCATGTTTATGAATGAGATGCTGTGTTTAGTGATCATGATATGTACAGGGCTGCCAACTTTTGAAGAAAGCTTCGAGTGAGATTTGCTATGTGAATTTCATTGCCCTCTGGCACAACCCCTAGAGGGCGGACTGGGGGTCCTCCCTCATGAAAATTGTACTGTTTTAAAGATAGTTTCCTGCAATTCTACGTATTTTGACATGGCTTAGGCCTATGACCAGGGTAAAAAAATAAAAACACAGGTCAGGTGTATTCAGGATGCTTTGAACATTAATTGAACACTCAAACTTTGACCACTTTGTTACTTAGAGATTTTGGGGGGATGACATTTAAAGTATGCTAACATTTTTGTAAACATATTTTTTAGGTGGTTTGACACTTCATTCAGACAGTAATGGAATTAGATAGGGAGACAGGCTAATGATAGAAACAGTGGGAAGGTTGGAAACAGGGATTGATCCCTGTTCTCAGGTAGAAAGTTGCATGCAACAATTACCGGGGAGTGTTACCACTAGGGCTGTTGCGGTGACCGTATTACTGCCACACCGGCGGTCACGAGTCATGACGGCAGTCAAATTCCACCAGACCATTTAGTCATGGTAATATGCTTCTCCAAGCTCTGATGCTGCTGATGGTCATTAGTAGCCTACCAAACTTGGTAACTGCCTGGTACTCAGCACTCTATTGTCCATCTAGTCACTCTGACATCAATGCAAATGTTATCGAAAATCGAATCACACTGCATGAGAGCCAATGAGCTCATGTTGCGCAACATTTCTATAGGCTATGCAATTGAGTGAGAAAACAGAGTGATGGCCTCTATTAAAAAGAGGAGGATCCCATCAGCTTTCTATAGGCTAGGTCTACTATATTTATTTCTCTACTTTCCTAATATTAAGCACATTGCCTCTCTTTACAACAGGAGTATAGCCTACCTGGCTGCTATGAAAATGAACCTGGGAAAAGTGTCCTCCATTCACAGGAGGTTGGTGGCACGTTAATTGGGGAGGATGGGCTCGTGGTAATGGCTGGAGAGGTGTGAGTGGAATGGTATCAAATACATCAAACACATGGTTTGATGCCATTCCATTTGCTCCATTCCAGCCATTATTATGGAGCCATCCTCCCCTCAGCAGCCTCCACTGCCTCCATTCGCTATTTACACTACCAGTCAAATGTTTGGACACACCTACTCAGTCAAGGGTTTTTCTTTATTTTTTAACTATTTTTTACATTGTAGAATAATAGTGAAGACATCAAAACTATGAAATAACGCATATGGAATCATGTAGTAACCAAAAAAGTGTTCAGCAAATCAAAATATATTTTATATTTGAGATTCTTCAAATAGCCACCCTTTGCCTTGATGACAGCTTTGCACACAGGGGTAGGTTTTTTTCCCCTACCCCTATTTCGAGAGAGGTGCATGATAATGGTCCATTCTAAATCAAAACAAATTTCACACTTATATTATTTACTATATGTAAAGACAAGATTAAGTCAAGAATAGTCTGATGGGTGACAATATTAGCCTATCACTTGTGAATTATATATTATCACTTGTGAATGATGCCCAGCTTGTTTGCAGTAAGGCAAGAAATACCTTTGTTTTGCAACTTTTTAAAATCATAGTTGCACACCTCATGTAGCCAAGCCCATAGGCCTATATGTTTTGATAAGGTTTGTATCACAACTAAAGTGGCCAAATAACTTCTTAAAATGAAGCACATTAATCTGCTTTACAACGGGTGTAGAGCCTAACTGGCATACATAAGCAGCGCATGTGTTTCAAGTTTGGGGAAGATAATTCTCACCATAAAAATGCACCTTTATAATAAAAGCATTATATGCATAATTGCATTTGCGGTCACTTCCAGCGAATTGATTGCATTTTGGAACATTTGCGCTTATAGCCTACTGTCGTGTGCGCATTGCTCCGCTTATAATGTGATGAAATAGCTAAATAGTTTGTCAACATTTGAAGCTAAATGTTCTGATCTGTTGCGTCAGCCTCATTGCTTGAAAAATGTTTTTTTATTCTAATGGTTGTATTAATTTGGGATCTATCGCATCCCACAACTGTCCCATACTATGTTTGGAATATTTATTTCTCACACAGAGTAGAATAGGTCAACTTTTGTTTTATGGGGATAGTAGATTGACATAGGCTAGTGCTTTTGCTGTTCGTTGGGCCTACTCATCTTATTGGCTGACGAAAAGTAAATGTGGACAGTTCTTCCAATATCTTCAATATGCGCCTCGGAATTGGATAAGGACGGGCGCAGTTGTCTTCACTTGTAGCCTGTGAGAAAGACCCGATCACATGACGGGCATTGGCTAATGAGAATTTAGCTATCTGAAAGAGCCATGTGAGTGAGAGGTGCTTTGGAGCAAGCAACCGGGAGAAGGGAATTATCATTATTATATTCAGCCCAAGGGCACAACGGCCACTGGCCGCAAGAGGCATACATTTTTTTAGGGGGCATTACGGCCACACAATTCAAGGCATTATCAAGTGCTTGTCAAATTGTGAATGAGAGACTGATGAAGTGTGTACAGCCTGAGCAAAAAACAATGCAGGGCTCATGCCTTTCATGCAACTTTTTTCAACTCATCATTAGAGATGCATCATGCAGCCATAGAATGTATTACAAATGAAAACATATAGCCCAACTTTGTATCACAACTAAAGTTGCATAAATAACTCTAAATGAAGCATAATAGGAGGATCTGTATCTTTGTTAACCGCTCCACACAGAATAGCTGCATGTACGCATTCGCTCAAATCATTTGGAGAAAATATCCTTTCTATTTTATTCAGCTACAGTTGAAGTCGGAAATCTACATATACTTAGGTTGGAGTCATTCAAACTCGTTTTTCAACCACTCCACAAATTTCTTGTTAACAAACTGTAGTTTTTGGCAAGTCGGTTAGGACATCTACTTTGTGCATGACACAAGTAATTTTTCCAACAATTGTTTACAGACAGATGATTTCACTTATAATTCACTGTATCACAATTCCAGTGGGTCAGAAGTTTACATACACTAAGTTGACTGTGCCTTTAAACAGCTTGGAAAATTCCAGAAAATGATGTCATGGCTTTAGAAGCTTCTGATAGGCTAATTGACATCATTCGATTCAATTGGAGGTGTACCTGTGGATGTATTTCAAGGCCTACCTTCAAACTCAGTGCCTCTTTGCTTGACATCATGGAAATATCAAATTAGGATTAAATGTCAGGAATTGTGAAAAACTGAGTTTAAATGTATTTGGCTAAGGTGTATGTAAACTTCCGACTTCAACTTTATGTTCAGTTGTATTCTTCATATTAAAATAATGCCACGGAATTCTAAGCAAATCTTGTCTGCTAAATGAACTAGTGTAGTCCACAGCCATATGGCATAGCCAGATCAAAATCAAATCAAATCGAATTGGTCACATACACATATTTAGCAGATGTTGCGGGTGTAGTGAAATGCTTGTGTTCCTAGCTCCAACAGCGCAGTAGTATCTAACAATTCACAACAATACACACAAATCTTAAAGTAAAATAATGGAATTAAGAAATATATAAATATTAGGACGAGCAATGTCGGAGTGGCATTGACTAAAATACAGTAGAATAGAATACAGTATATACAGTGGGGAGAACAAGTATTTGATACACTGCCGATTTTGCAGGTTTTCCTACTTACAAAGCATGTAGAGGTCTGTAATTTTTATCATAGGTACACTTCAACTGTGAGAGACGGAATCACATTGTATGATTTTCAGAAATCACATTGTATGATTTTTAAGTAATTCATTTGCATTTTATTGCATGACATAAGTATTTGATACATCAGAAAAGCAGAACTTAATATTTGGTACAGAAACCTTTGTTTGCAATTACAGAGATCATACGTTTCCTGTAGGTCTTGACCAGGTTTGCACACACTGCAGCAGGGATTTTGGCCCACTCCTCCATACAGACCTTTTCCAGATCCTTCAGGTTTCGGGGCTGTCGCTGGGCAATACGGACTTTCAGCTCCCTCAAAAGATTTTCTATTAGGTTCAGGTCTGGAGACTGGCTAGGCCACTCCAGGACCTTGAGATGCTTCTTACGGAGCCACTCCTTAGTTGCCCTGGCTGTGTGTTTCGGGTCGTTGTCATGCTGGAAGACCCAGCCACGACCCATCTTCAATGCTCTTACTGAGGGAAGGAGGTTGTTGGCCAAGATCTCACGATACATGGCCCCATCCATCCTCTTCTCAATACGGTGCAGTCGTCCTGTCCCCTTTGCAGAAAAGCATCCCCAAAGAAGGATGTTTCCACCTCCATGCTTCACGGTTGGGATGGTGTTCTTGGGGTTGTACTCATCCTTCTTCTTCCTCCAAACACGGCAAGTGGAGTTTAGACCAAAAAGCTATATTTTTGTCTCATCAGACCACATGACCTTCTCCCATTCCTCCTCTGGATCATCCAGATGGTCATTGGCAAACTTCAGACGGGCCTGGACATGCGCTGGCTTGAGCAGGGGGACCTTGCGTGCGCTGCAGGATTTTAATCCATGACGGCGTAGTGTGTTACTAATGGTTTTCTTTGAGACTGTGGTCCCAGCTCTCTTCAGGTCATTGACCAGGTCCTGCCCTGTAGTTCTGGGCTGATCCCTCACCTTCCTCATGATCATTGATGCCCCACGAGGTGAGATCTTGCATGGAGCCCCAGACCGAGGGTGATTGACCGTCATCTTGAACTTCTTCCATTTTCTAATAATTGCGCCAACAGTTGTTGCCTTCTCACCAAGCTGCTTGCCTATTGTCTTGTAGCCCATCCCAGCCTTGTGCAGGTCTACAATTTTATCCCTGATGTCCTTACACAGCTCTCTGGTCTTGGCCATTGTGGAGAGGTTGGAGTCTGTTTGATTGAGTGTGTGGACAGGTGCCTTTTATACAGGTAACGAGTTAAAACAGGTGCAGTTAATACAGGTAATGAGTGGAGAACAGGAGGGCTTCTTAAAGAAAAACTAACAGGTCTGTGAGAGCCGGAATTGTTACTAGTTGGTAGGTGATCAAATACTAATGTCATGCAATAAAATGCAAATTAATTACTTAAAAATCATACAATGTGATTTTCTGGATTTTTTTTCTCACAGTTGAAGTGTACCTATGATAAAAATTACAGACATCTACATGCTTTGTAAGTAGGAAAACCTGCAAAATCGGCAGTGTATCAAATACTTGTTCTCCCCACTGTACATATGAAATGAGTAAAGCAGTATGTAAACATTATTAAAGTGACCAGTGATTCCATGTCTATGTAAATAGGGCAGCAGCCTCTAAGGTGCAGGGTTGAGTAACCGTGTGGTAGCCGGCTAGTGATGGCTATTTAACAGTCTGATGGCCTTGAGATTGTTTTTCAGTCTTTCGGTCCCAGCTTTGATGCACCTGTACTGACCTCGCCTTCTGGATGGTAGCGGGGTGAACAGGCCATGGCTCGGGTGGTTAATGTCCTTGATGATCTTTTTGGCCTTCCTGTGACATCGGGTGCTGTAGGTGTCCTGGAGGGCAGGCAGTGTACCTCCGGTGATGCGTTGGTTGGGCAGACCGCACCACCCTCTGGAAAGCCCTGTGGTTGCGGGCGGTGCAGTTGCCACACCAAGCGGTGATACAGCCCGACAGGATGCTCTCAATTGTGCATCTGTAAAAGTTTGTGAGGGTCTTAGGGGCCAAGCCGAATTTCTTCAGCCGTTGTTGCGCCTTCTTCACCACACTGTCTGTGTGGGTGGACCATTTCAGATTGTCAGTGATGTGTACGCCGAGGAACTTGAAGCTTTCCACCTTCTCCACTGCGGTCCCGTCGATGTGGATAGAGGCGTGCTCCCTCTGCTGTTTCCTGAAGTCCATGATCAGCTCCTTCATTTTGTTGACATTGAGGGAGAGGTTATATTCCTGGCACCACTCCTCCAGGGCCCTCACCTCCTCCCTGTAGGCTGTCTCGTCATTGTTGGTAATCAGGCCTACTACTGTTGAATTGGAGGCGTGCGTGGCCACGCAGTCATGGGCGAACAGGGAGTACAGGAGGGGGCTGAGCACGCATCCTTGTGGGGCCCCTGTGTTGAGGATCAGCGAAGTGGACGTGTTGTTTCCTACCTTCACCACATGGGGGCGGCCCGTCAGGAAGTCCAGGACACAATTGCACAGGGCGGGGTTCAGACCCAGGACCCCAAGCTTAATGATGAGCTTGGAGGGTACTATGTTGTTGAAGACTGAGCTATAGTCAATGAATAGCATTCTATTGGGGCGGTATGCAAATTTAAGTGGTTATTATAATTGATTCCTGGAGCATTTCATATCCAATGCTTATTTGTATGACTTGTTCAAAACTGTCCATGAATGGCTGCAAAAATACATAGCCTCATATCATTAATTTTCAAAGACACAAGTAGGCATATCAGATATCAAATATGTGATTACACTGGCAAAGTTGGGAAGAAGTGGAATAATAAAATATGTTTGGGGAATAACAGTAGTCTTCTTGCTGACAAGCACACTAATTACCCTATATTTTAGCCCATTGTTAAGAATGAGAATTGTTCCACTGAACAGACTAAATAAAGTAAATAAATAAGAAAATCTCCTGAAGACAACGTTACATAAATCTGCCCCTACACCCTAACCAAATGATTGTCCAATGTATTTTTCCACTCTAGAATCAAACGTGCACTTTTGGGTTCACAATCTGTTTGACAGAATTATTTTTATAGTTACAAAAGGTCACCCTACCAAATGTCCCTGCTAAAACATACTGTAGGTCTGTCTGTCTGCTGCCTTTTTGTTGTCACAGCCTAAAAGCCAATCACCAAAGGAGGGGACTAATGCAAGTGTGGATTATATCGACTTTAGTACATGCTGTCAAAGGGCAATAGATTAATGGACGGGAGTAACATCAACCAAATTTGGCTGACAACATTTTACACGAAACAGTGTTACGGTGCTGCTCTTTTTACGGTTTTATAAACTCAGCGAAAAACGTTCTCTTTCTCCATTCGTCTCCACTCTAATCTTGAGGGGCGTTTCTGTAAAACATGCATCCAATCCCCTTGATCCCTCACATAGCTAGACCAATAATATGCTTCAATGTGACGCGGTTCATGGTGCTGTGGCAAGACAGGGTAATGATAGAGGTTCTGCTCATGATGTTAAATTGCAGGCGCAGATGCTCCGATTTCAAAACGATTTGGAGCACAGTTGAAAAGTTAATGCGATGACTATACAATGGACTAATTTGAAAAATAAAAGCAGTAGTTTTCAAAGCGTGAGATATAAGAAGAGGGTCAAATGCGTGTGTCTCACGGCCAATGCGTGTGAGTTGTCAGCTCTGTATATATGCAATTGATTATACTAGTGCTAGTGTAGTATGATGATGAAAATACAGGTAGAAAAACACACCCACTAGTTCTTCACAACTTCGTCACTGATCCTGCAACACAGTATGATGTCTATTCCCCTTTTTTCAATGACCATGATGCATCACTCTGACATGTCTCTATCCATACAGGACAGACATCAAGGAGTTAATATCAGAGATCAGGAAGTCGGAGCCACTGATCACAGCATCATGCATCGACCGAGTCAAACCCTTGATCCTCAGACTGCAGGAGAAACTGGGTCAGCAGGACAACGCAGGTTCTACCTCTTCAAGGTCAAATACAGCTTCCATCTTTCTGAGCTACCTATTTATTTTCATTAGGCTCTCTTTTTAATGATAATGTTATTGTCTGCCTCCTGATTGTCCACCCTTGTGTGCAAGTGTACACTGGGAAAAGGGTGAATAATTGGGATGCAGCAATAGACAGCAATTAACAGGCATGACCACACTGCCAGTGCCTTGTGTAAACAGTACAGCCATCCTGTAATTCCTCATTTGAACCCTAGATGGCAGCAGGGGGTGGGAATTATATAATTCAGCACATCAAAGCCAGATGTATTATGTATGGCTATTACACGGTCAAACGCATAGATGTAAATTTAATTAATGCTGTCAAGTAAACCGCCTCAGAGTAAAAAAATAAAATCCTCCTCCCTTCTCCCTTGCAGGCGCTGAAGGCACACATATTGCCACTGACGAATGTTGTCTTCAATAAATCAGGGTCGAGGTAAGTTTATCTGCACTGCATGGAAATGTGCAGAGAACCCCAGGCACTTGTCTTTCCGGGGTGCAGTAGAGGTAAACCGATCTCTCTTTTTACACTCTCTGTCTCCTTTTCTCTCTCTTTCTGTCTCTTTCTCTGTTTCTCCCTCTCCCCTCTCTCTATATCTCCCTCTCTCTGTCTCTCTCTTTCCACCTCCACCTCTCCCTCTCTCTCTGCAGTTTTATAACTGGGAGCTATGACAGGACATGTAAAATATGGGACACGGCATCAGTCGAGGAGCTGCACACACTGGAGGGCCACAGGAACGTGGTGTACGCCATTGCCTTCAACAACCCCTATGGGGAACCACCTTCCTGTCACTCTTCCCCAGGTTTAAAAACACCAGGACCTGTATTCATAAAGCGTCTCAGAGTAGAAGTGCTGATCTGGATCTGGGACCCCCCTGTCCATATAATCTGATTCATTATTATCTAAAAGGCCAAACTGATCCTAGATCAGTACTCCGACTCTGAGACTTAAGTCCCAGAGAGCCTTATGCTTATCCTATGTTCCTCCGTTGTCTTACACTTAAGGCCAAGGGAAAGAGTTGGTCGTTAAAAGAAAGCATTTTTCCTATCTAAAATCTTACCTTTATTTCTCCTCTTTAATCCAGGGACAAGATTGCCACTGGGTCTTTTGATAAGACCTGCAGGCTGTGGAGTGCAGAGATGGGCAAATGTTTCCATACCTTCCAAGGACACACTGCGGAAATAGTACGAGGGACTTTCTAATCTAGAGATGGAACTTTCTGAGAGATTGGACTTGTCTTTCAGTATAAATAGGATTGTAGTGAGCTTTGAATCAGATTTTCTATGTGAATGGCAGCTAACACTGTGCCGACCAGGTGTGTTTGGCGTTTAACCCTCAAAGTACCTTGGTGGCCACGGGGAGCATGGACACTACTGCCAAGCTATGGGACGTCCAGACTGGAGAGGAGGTGGCTACACTAACAGTAAATTAGCTCTCTCTCTCTTTCTCATCTCACTCTCTTTCTCTCCCTTCTCTCCTTTCCTCTCATCTCCACACACTCTCACAACCATCCAAGTCCACATCCATTCATTAATTACTTAATTCAGTCATTTATATGCATTCATCCTTTCATTTTTTAATATGATTATTCATGATGTGCTGGTCCAGCAGTCACCCTGCTTACTGTGTGTTCTATCCTCCCGTCATATGTGTGTATGCAGATGTGACTGTAATACATTCATAAGGTAATCTATCTACATGCTCAACTACAGGACAGGCAGCAGTTTCCTCCTGCATGTGGGCACACTGTGTGGCTGTGTGTTCCAGAGAGGGAATTCTGTGTGCTCCTCTACCCCTCCTCTCTACCCCTACTCTACCCCTTCTTCTTCAATTATTCCTACATTAGTCATGCTGGTGAATATAGTGACTCGAGCACAAAAATACAAATGTGTTCCTTAAACTGAATTGGATGAAATTATGCAATTTAGCTTTTTCAAAGGAGAAAGAATAGCTCATTTATTTGACTGTACTTTTGTGAACTCTGCAAGTGTAACGAATCGAATTCTCTCCTCTCGTTCATGTTCGTTTTTCGTTCACTCTCTCTTTCTCTCTCCCTCTCTCTTCCCCACCCTTTCCCTCCCTCCTTCTCTCCCTCCCCCCTTTCTCTCCTCCCTCTCTCTCTCCTTCCTCTCTCAGGCCACTCAGCAGAGGTAATCTCCTTGTCGTTTAACACAGTGGGTGACCAGCTAGTCACTGGCTCCTTTGACCACACTGTTTCTCTGTGGGATGTTCCATCTGGGAGGTGAGAGCCCAAGTGTTTGTGTGTGTGTGTGTGTGTGTTTGCGTGTCCATCCATGTGTGTGTGTGTGTGTGTGTGTGTGTGTGTGTGTGTGTGTGTGTGTGTGTGTGTGTGTGTTTGTGTTCGAGTCTAACCATAATTAACGCCCTCCTCTCATTCTACCAGGCGTGTCCACACACTGATAGGTCACAGAGGGGAGATCAGCAGTGTTCAGTTTAACTGGGACTGCTCCCTTATCATCACCGGCTCCATGGACAAAAGCTGTAGGGTGAGCTCTCACATCCTCTCTTACATCCCATTTCACATCATGTTACATCTCCTATCATCTCTCTCACATCATCTCTCTCTCTCTCTTTCTCTCCCTCTGGTAGAGACCTATCTCTTTTAAGCTCTGCATCATTTAAAAAGGAAAATGTAATGCTTTAATTATTCCAAGATGAATCACGCTCGCTGGGTAGTTGTGTGAATTATTCACGTGGCTGCATTCCTGAAGAGAAGATTGTGAAGAGGGGAAAACACAACCATTGTGTTGTTAGAGCACTAACCAAGCTGGTTATTTTTGTAAATGGCTTTTAAAAATAGATTAATTAACATTTTACGTTTTGCCATTGTCTGTGTTTGTACGTGTGCGTGTGACTGTGTGTCTGTGTGTGTTTGTGAGTGTGCATGTGCACGTGTGTGCTTATGTATGTGCACGTGTGTTTGTGTCCTAGTGTGTGTACCGGAATGTGTGTGTCTATGCTTCCCCAGGTGTGGGAGGCAGCGAGTGAGAAGTGTATGGCCACGCTAGCAGGCCATGAAGAAGAGGTGCTGGATGTGTGTTTCGACTACACCGGTCAACTCATAGCCACCGCCTCGAGCTCACGGTACGACCACAGGGATACAGTATACAATATATCATACTAATGATGTTCTATTTAATTATGTGGGTACCTCTCTCTGCTGTGTCCATGACTGTCAATACAAAGTTCCTGGATTGAACAATGTCCCAGGCGCTGAACAACTATATCCGTACTGTACCCAGGCCAGCCACCCCCATTTCACACTATCATGCCAACCCAAATCGTACTGTGGTGGCTCAAATATTAATTTTTCACATTGTCCTTTCCAGAACAGTTCCTGCAACTTTGGTGTATGACTAACCAGGCCAGCTCTATTTAATTCATTTTATTTTAAGGTTCAACTTCATCTTCGCTCAAACAATAACACCGGATGATTTGAGAAATCAATATTTCCCCCTGCCTCTTAGGCACAGCGAGAGTGTACAGTGCTGCCAGCTACCAGTGCATCTCCAGACTGGAGGGCCACGAGGGAGAGATCTCCAAGGTGAGTCACTGAGACAGGTAATGGTTCAAACAGGACCCAAAATGGCCCCTCTCTCTCTGTCTCTTTGTCTGCCTCGGAGCATCCGTCAGGGTACAGGACTAGACAGGAGGGATGAGGACGGCAGTCCGTTTGCCGGGGGGATGTTTCTACCTCTTGTTACTGATTCTTGTGTCAGTTTCTAGGTCAACCAAGTCTTGACGATGACATAGAGAGACGTGACCCTGAAGGTGTCCCCACCTCAGGCCAGAGCGTTCCAGAAACATCCGGGCTTGTCTTCCTGGTCTACATATAGGCTGATTCCTGGTCTACCTATAAGCTGATTCCTGGTCTACCTATAAGCTGATTCAAAGCACTCCCTGAGTTTTTCTGCCTAGTTACTGTGATTCCCCCTTTCCCCTGTAGTCTAATTTGATTGGCACTTTTCATTTGCTCTTGTTTCAGTTCCCTGTAATGTCACACCTTGGTTGTTTTATTAACCAAACACCATGACACAGTCTGTCCCTGCTCACTGTGTAACTGTATTAACCACCGCTGTATAGAGCCACATGTGACCTGGGCCTGTGTTGTAGGTGACCCAGCTGTGACCTAAATGTTTGTGTGATCTTATCAGGCTCTGCCATTTGACAGTTCTGCCAGTGTATGTGTGTGTGTGTGTGCATCTTTGTTAGTGTGGGTATACGTGTCTGCATATTGTGTGTGTATGTGTGCGTGTTTGTTGCTCGGAGCCACAGCCACTAGGGGTCCCGATTCAGACTTAGGAAATGTACGCCTTTCCAACAGACACCTTTCCTACGCACTTCTCAATAGTTGATATTCAGACTTATCTTATGCAGATGCATAATGGGCTTTGCATGCGTGGTTAACATTTATTAAACTGCTGAAAACCCTTCCACTTGTTGGCCAACCATTTTCCTCATGGAGTTTTAATTCAATAGGTTTTTCAGTACATTTATCTAAATTCATCCCTTTGTACCTTTAACTACAATTGTATTGACATGCTCACTAGAATATATGAAGAGAATGGTTCAGAATATTAGGGATCAATGAAAGAAAAAAGAAAAAAAAGCTTTTCAGCAACAGTTGGTAGATTTAAAAATACTCTGATCTTGTATATTTTTAAGGGTTAGGAAAGTATTTATGAATAATAATAAAAAAAAGCTTTGGAGAGCCTTTATGCACTAAATATATTGGCGTATCAAAAATACAGTTGTTTGATTCATCCTGAAAAATAATCTGTAAATCTATAAATCTTACCTAATAATCCTCACTTATCATGGAACTGTGATGACAACAGTCCAGTCATTGTGAAGGTTTAAACTGCTACATATGGTCTGCGTTCCATAATGATTCAAATAGTCTACATGTCCCAAATTATTGCACAATTTGTAATCCGTTTGCCCAATATACTGTAATCTACTATTGTTAGCGATCCTCAGGAACAACCATACGAACGTGACAGACGAAAGAAAGATCAACTAACAACGTAATGGAATAATGCAAAATGTAAGGAAACTAACACTAAAGTCAGTGTATGTGGGTATAGCTGACGGTGGCTACCAATAGTGTCTAATATTTAACAAAACAAATGGTTAAAAAAATACAGAGAGAAGTCTGGGCATATAAATAAAATATACTAGAAATCATAAAGTCTCCAAATTTCATACCAAGTTATATGGCCAGCATTTCATAAACTTCACTGTGGAAAAGTTAATATAAATTTTTGTCATTTAGCAGACACGCTTATCCAAAGCGATTTACAGGAATAATTAGTGATAGTGCCTTGCTCAAAGACACATCGACAGATTTGTCACCTAGAGGAATTGAACCAGCAACCTTTCGGTTACTGGCCCAACGCTCTTAACCGCTAGGCTACCTGCTGATATATTGATATGCTTTAGTTTGCTGCCGTATGACTGGTTTTACATTTGGCTCCAACGATCATAAGGTAAAATATATCTTAAAAAACGATAGGTTGCTCGACCTGATTCATCATTTCATCGCGTGTAAAGGTGGTGGAATTATGAGGGAGTCGAGGTCAGAATACGGCGTGTCTGTAGACACCTCCGCCACATTCGTTTTTTAAAATCTCCAGCCCTAACGAATAGGGGGTGAATAACATGTTATTCTCATGCTTAAATTCAAGGTCAGAATACGCTTAGAGAGAAAAGTGCATAAAAAGGGAATTATGTTCCATTTAAGCGCACTTTACTCGGGTTGCCTCATTGGCCTGCCTGTCTAGTGTCTGTTTACTGAAAGCCATCAGGGCCCATTTAAGCGCACTTTACTCGGGTTGCAATTCCCCCCTGGTTGCCTCATTGGCCTGCCTGTCTAGTGTCTGTTTACTGAAAGCCATCAGGGCCCAGCCTCAGTAATAGGCTGTAAAGAGGATGATTTCACAGGATTATGACACTAATCTCCCTCAAACAGGACACCTCTATCTCCCCTCCCTCCGCCTCTTACATCTCGTTTTTCTTCACTCTCTCCCACTATTTCTGACTCTGTCGGTCCCTGTTTTTACTTTCATTCTAATTTCCACTTTCGTCCCTCCATCTCCCTCTCCCCCACTCTTCGTTGTTGCTTTCTTCCTCTCATTATGAGGGACCAGATTGAAACGGCAGAAGCTGATTTTTTCTTAAAGGTCCAATGCAACCGTTTTTATCTCAATATCAAATCATTTCTGGGTAACAATTAAGTACCTTACTGTGATTGTTTTCAATTAAAATGGTAAGAAATTCTTAGCAAAGAGCAATTTCTCAAGTAAGAGTTTTGCTAGGACTGACTGGGAGTGGTCTGATTGGGGAGAAGAAAACTGAAAACTAGCTGTTATTTACAGAGGTTCGGAACTCTCTTTCTTATTGGTCTATTAACTAATTGACTGTCTGGTGATGTCACCAGGCAGGCCAAAACTCCATCCCACCAAAACAGGCTGAAATCTCAGCTGGTCTTTTCAAACAGCTCTTACACTATTAGGGCATTATCATAATTTTCACAATTTCACAGTATTCTTCCAACCTTATAGTGTGGAAATATATACGTTTTTTTTTACTGCACTGGGCCATTAAAATAATGTCTTTAGAATTAATTTAATAGAACCAAATACTGCTAAAAACATACATTAATTGTTTTGTTGATAAAATATGCAGGAAAGAATGTAAAAGAGTAATTGATATGGAATGTAATCATCTCAACAGATACCATTCACTTACTCCATCTTCTTCTGCCTCATCCTTCTCTTTCTCTTCTCTTTTTCCTCTCTCTTTTCACTACTCTCTTCTCTCTTCTCTCGTATCCTCTTTTCTCAAAATTCTACACCTCTGTGCTCTCCTTCTCTCTCTCCTCTATGTGTAACCGGTGTGAAATGGCTAGCTAGTTAGCGGTGCGCGCTAGTAGCGTTTCAATCGGTGATGTCACTCGCTCTGAGACCTTGAAGTAGTTGTTTCCCTTGCTCTGCAAGGGCCGCAGCTTTTGTGGAGCGACGGGTAACGGTGCTTCGAGGGTGACTGTTGTCGATGTGTGCAGAGGGTTCCTGGTTCAAGCCCAGGTAGGGGCGAGGAGAGGGACGGAAGCAACACTGTTACATGTGCTCCCTCTTATCTTTGCTCCCCCCTTCTCTCTCTCCTCAGTGTCCTCTCTCTCTCTCCTCTTTTAGCTCATTCCTTTTTTCTCGCTCTCCTCTGTGCTGTCAGTGTCACCCTCTCCCAGAGTTCTATTTCCATTTCCTGTCTGAGGGCTGCTCATCCTTAAACACTCATCACCCTGCAGCGTGATACTTTTTATATAAACACTTTACTTTTATGACAATGCAGAGCCAGCATAATTTAACCCTCCTAGCCCCATGTTTATTTCTTCACCTCACTGTGTGTGCTTGTCGATCTCTCTGAAGTCTATCTGTTCCATTAGAACCATTCCACCATAGGAAATGCCTGGCCATTTAACAGAGCTCCATTTACAGTTAATAGCCATTTAAGAATATAGTGCTGACGTGCTGAAAGTTCCCCATGCTCTATTCTCATTTGGTGGTTCCTATCTCCTCTTGCACACTCCCTCATCAGTGCACACTCCATCCAGCCATTCACTCCATCACTCATTTTCACTCTCATAACACACACACACCCTTATGTCAATTTCAACCTCCCCTTCTTCTCCCTTGCAGATTTGTTTTAACCCTCAGGGCAGTAGAGTTCTGACGGCCAGCATTGACAAGATGGCTCGCCTGTGGGATGTCCAGTCTGTCATCTGTCTGCAGGTCCTGGAGGGACACATGGACGAGATCTTCTCCTCCGCCAACTACGAGGGTGACGCCATCATCACAGGTAATATGTACCCTCTGTCAGGGCTGGGGTCAATTCCATTTCAATTCAGCATTGAGAAAAATTGGAATTGGAATTTCAGTTTAGTTTCTGAATTGCCTGAAATGGAATTGAGCCCAACCCTGCCCTCTACATAATCATACCTAGTTAAAATGCAAAGACGCCACTGCAACCTCTTCACAGCCAAACAAGCATTATTTTTTCTCCACCCACAAACACTTTATCAAGGTTAAAATGAACAGGCCACAGCTGGGTGAGGTGAGCTTCTGCCTCCTTTTCAACCACCTGTTCCTGTCTTCTCTCTGCTGCAGGCAGCAAGGACAACACCTGTCGCATCTGGCGCTGACCCGTCCTATGGTCAGTTGTCAGTAGGGTGTGTGAGGAGGGGTAGGCCATCTGGACAGGTGACTCCAGTCTGACTCCTGATGTCCATCCCCCAACAAGAAGATGACTCCAACAGGGCCCTGTTTGAAGACGCCCTTTCTGGAAGTTATCACTAGGAGGTCACGTATGTAGACCGGATAGCTTTGGTGAAAGAATTTGGTCCCATTTTACTATCTAGCACTGTCTAGACCAGGGGTAGGCAAACCTTTTGGCTCAAGGGCCACATTGAGTTTTTGAAACCAAGTGAAGGGCCACATACTATATGCGTGACAAAACATGTGAAGCCTTTATTCATTTTCACATTGAAACGCAACTACTAGTGTACTGTCGGTGTACATATGCTTGCAGAACAAGTCTACCCCTGTTTTTTGTGAACACATTTTTCACAAAATCTTCACATAATTTATATAATTTACAACATCACAGACACAGTCGAACACACACACAGATCCTGCATCTCTACCCTTGTAAAGGACAATCAAACTTACAGTCACAATATGCAAACGTAAAAATAGATATATAATATGACAGGAGACATGCAAAATGTAACAGCAGATGTGTAAAAAAAATAAAAAAAAACTATTCTAAAATGTAATTGAAACATATGGTAAGAGCATCCGTTTCATTTGGAGTGGTCTGTTTTTGAAAGCATATTAAGGAACAATTCTCATCTCCATTGTGAGCCATATTTACAGTTATCCAATCACCTCAGTCCAAATCTGACTGATTAGTTATTACCTGTATCCAAGTGCATTGCTGGATAATTCTCACTGCATGACCATCACCATGAAAAAGCATAATCCTTGCCTACCCCAGTCATGGTTATTAAAGTCTTAATGTGAACAATGGATCTGGTCACCTCTCTAAGCAAGGGCATCAAAGTCTGGTGTCATCTTTGATGTAGAGATTCTCAGAACAGCTGGCAAGTGGTCATTTGTTAAATTTGACCTGTGACGGGATTTGTTGTCATTCATGACTGAGAACGTTTGTTCACACACATATGTGGACCCGAATAAAACAAGCATCCTTTGGGCGTGTTTTTAATGTTTGGAAACTTTGTTTCATTTAGTGAGCCATAGAATTGGTCTATTGTTGCTGTTTTGTACTTCTCCTTCAAAGCACTGTCACATTGGATGTTGTTGAGCTCCAATTGTGTGTCTGGAGGTGCTTTCTCACTGTCAAAAGACATGGGGCACGATACAAGCTCCAGCTCAGTCTCTATCTTGGTGAAGTCTGAGAAGTGACTGGAAAACTCAGCATGCAGGTCGATCAAAGTGCTACTGTATGTCTCAGTGCGGCACTGCGATGTGGGCGCGTTCAGTGCGGCCAGTCGGAAAATGAGTGAGAGACCGGCTGCTCATTTGTCTGGAGAACAACATAAGTTTGGCCTTGAAGGCTTTCACGTTGGAATACAGTTCATGCACAAAAACACAATTTCCCTGCAGTTTCACATTTAGATCGTTCAGATGCCCCAATGTCCACACTGAAAGCAAAGTCGCCCAGCCAGTCTGTGTCTTTGAACTCAGAGAAGTCGTCAGCTTTACCAACCGTATCAAGGAACATACCCTACAGTGCCTTGCAAAAGTATTCAACCCCCTTGCCGTTTTTCCTATTTTGTTGCATTACAACCTGTAATTTAAATGGATTTTATTTGGATTTCAATTAATGGACATACACAAAATAGTCCAAATTGGTGAAGTGAAATGAAAAAAATAACTTGCTTCAAAAAATTCTAAAAAATTAATAACGGAAAAGTGGTGTGTGCATATGTATTCACCCCCTTTGCTATGAAGCCCCTAAATAAGATCTGGTGCAACCAATTAACTTCAGAAGTCACATAATTAGTTAAATAAAGTCCACCTGTGTGCAATCTAAGTGTCACATGATCTGTCACATGATCTCAGTATATATACACCTGTTCTGAAAGGCCCCAGAGTCTGCAATACCACTAAGCAAGGGGCACCACAAGCAAGCGGCACCATGAAGACCAAGGAGCTCTCCAAACAGATCAGGGACAAGGTTGTGGAGAAGTACAGATCAGGGTTGGGTTATAAAAAAGATCCAAAACTTTGAACATCCCACGGAGCACCATTAAATCCATTATTAAAAAATGGAAAGAATATGGCACCACAACAAACCTGCCAAGAGAGAGCCGCCCACCAAAACACACGGACCAGGCAAGGAGGGCATTAATCAAAGAGGCAACAAAGAGACCAAAGATAACCCTGAAGGAGCTGCAAAGCTCCACAGCGGAGATTGGAGTATCTGTCCATAGGACCACTTTAAGCCGTACACTCCACAGAGCTGGGCTTTACGGAAGAGTGGCCAGAAAAAAAGCCATTGCTTAAAGAAAAAAATAAGCAAACACGCCAAAATCCATACATATGGAAGAAGGTACTCTGGTCAGATGAGACTAATATTGAGCTTTTTGGCCATCAAGGAAAACGCTATGTCTGGCACAAAGCCAACACCTCTCATCACCCCGAGAACACCATGTTTTTCATCGGCAGGGACTGGGAAACTGGTCAGAATTGAAGGAATGATGGATGGTGCTAAATACAGGGAAATTCAGTCTTCCAGAGATTTGAGACTGGGACGGAGGTTCAACTTCCAGCAGGACAATGACCCTAAGCATACTGCTAAAGCAACACTTGAGTGGTTTAAGGGTAAACATTTAAATGTCTTGGAATGACCTAGTCAAAGCCCAGACCTCAATCCAATTGAGAATCTGTGGTATGACTTAAAGACTGCTGTACACAAGCGGAACCCATCCAACTTGAAGGAGCTGGAGCAGTTTTGCCTTGAAGAATGGTCAAGAATCCCAGTGGCTAGATGTGCCAAGCTTATAGAGAAAATACCCCAAGAGACTTGCAGCTGTAATTGCTGCAAATGGTGGCTCAAGGTTTCTGTATTTTTGTCCTATTTCTTGTTTGTTTCACAAGAAAAAATATTTTTTATCTTCAAAGTGGTAGGCATGTTGTGTAAATGAAATGATACAAACCCCCCAAAAATCAATTTTAATTCCAGGTTGTAAGGCAACAAAATAGGAAAAATGCCAAGGGGGGTGAATACTTTCGCAAGCTACTGTATCTCCCCTCTCAGTTCCCACACACAACAAAATACTTTTCCCAGGCTTAGCCAGCGCACATTTGAATGGTACAACAAGTCCTGTTGCTCTGCCTCTGTGTCATTGAGCAGCTGAATGAACTGACGATGGTTAAGCCCCCTAGCCCGTATAATGTTGACACGTTTTACAACCACTTTGACAACATTTTCCAGCTTTAACACACTTTTACACAGGACTTCCTGATGAATAATACAGTGAAAAAATATCAATTCCATCGCAAGAAGTTCCTCTGTTATTTCAAAGTTCTCATTTAATCCTCTGACAAAAATGTAAAGTTGAGCGGTGTCTCTGATGTCAGTACTCTCATCCAGTGCTATAGAAAAAAGATCGAAGCCATCTGCTTTTTTCTTCAACTCTGAGATTAGCTCCTCACCTATACAGTGGGGAGAACAAGGATTTGATACACTGCCGATTTTGCAGGTTTTCCTACTTACAAAGCATGTAGAGGTCTGTAATTTTTTATCATAGGTACACTTCAACTGTGAGAGACGGAATCTAAAACAAAAACTCCAGAAAATCACATTGTATGATTTTTAAGTAATTAATTTGCATTTTCTTGCATGACATAAGTATTTGATCACCTACCAACCAGTAAGAATTCCGGCTCTCACAGACCTGTTAGTTTTTCTTTAAGAAGCCCTCCTGTTCTCCACTCATTACCTGTATTAACTGCACCTGTTTGAACACGTTACCTGTATAAAAGACACCTGTCCACACACTCAATCAAACAGACTCCAACCTCTCCACAATGGCCAAGACCAGAGAGCTGTGTAAGGACATCAGGGATAAATTTGTAGACCTGCACAAGGCTGGGATGGGCTACAGGACAATAGGCAAGCAGCTTGGTGAGAAGGCAACAACTGTTGGCGCAATTATTGGAAAATGGAAGAAGTTCAAGATGACGGTCAATCACCCTCGGTCTGGGGCTCCATGCAAAATCTCACCTTGTGGGGCATCAATGATCATGAGGAAGGTGAGGGATCAGCCCAGAACTACACGGCAGGACCTGGTCAATGACCTGAAGAGAGCTGGGACCACAGTCTCAAAGAAAACCATTAGTAACACACTACGCCATCATGGAATAAAATCCTGCAGCGCACGCAAGGTCCCCCTGCTCAAGCCAGCGCATGTCCAGGCCCGTCTGAAGTTTGCCAATGACCATCTAGATGATCCAGAGGAGGAATGGGAGAAGGTCATGTGGTCTGATGAGACAAAAATAGAGCTTTTTGGTCTAAACTCCACTCGCCGCGTTTGGAGGAAGAAGAAGGATGAGTACAACCCCAAGAACACCATCCCAACCGTGAAGAATGGAGGTGGAAACATCATTATTTGGGAATGCTTTTCTGCAAAGGGGACAGGACGACTGCACCGTATTGAGGGGAGGATGGATTGGGCCATGTATCGCGAGATCTTGGCCAACAACCTCCTTCCCTCAGTAAAAGCATTGAAGATGGGTCGTGGCTGGGTCTTCCAGCATGACAACGACCTGAAACACACAGCCAGGGCAACTAAGGAGTGGCTCCGTAAGAAGCATTTCAAGGTCCCGGAGTGGCCTAGCCAGTCTCCAGACCTGAACCCAATAGAAAATCTTTGGAGGGAGCTGAAAGTCTGTATTGCCCAGCGACAGCCCTGAAACCTGAAGGATCTGGAGAAGGTCTGTATGGAGGAGTGGGCCAAAATCCCTGCAGCAGTGTGTGCAAACCTGGTCAAGACCTACAGGAAACGTATGATCTCTGTAATTGCAAACAAATGGTTCTGTACCAAATATTAAGTTCTGCTTTTCTGATGTATCAAATACTTATGTCATGCAATAAAATGCAAATTAATTACTTAAAAATCATACAATGTGATTTTCTGGATTTTTGTTTTAGATTCCATCTCTCACAGTTGAAGTGTACCTATGATAAAAATTACAGACCTCTACATGCTTTGTAAGTAGGTAAACATGCAAAATCGGCAGTGTATCAAATACTTGTTCTCCCCACTGTATGTTAATAATCAGTGTTTATTTGTGTGTTAATTGGAGAATGGGCTGGATGGAATAATATTTTCATCAATAAAAACTATTCATGCTCACATATTACATGAATTTATTGATCTCAAAAGATAAAGATACATTCAGTTTCTACAGCAACAGAGTTTAATTGTGTGCTTTATAATGCCAACGATTTAACACTAGAGTACCACTACGCAGATAAAACCTGACAAACCAGATTCACGTACAAATTAGACATTACAAACCTTCTCTGTCTTTCTGAAAGTAGTAAAAATGAAATGAGAGAAGGCAGTCTTTCTACCCCAAGGTGCAGCAGTTCAAGAATCTACAATATGTACAGCTATCCAAAATAAACAATTCTCAAAGAATATGAAGAACGACAGATAACTTACTTAAGACTGATAGATAACATGAAGAATGACAGATAACATGAAGAATGACATAACTTAAGCAGTAATAAAGTTACAACAGAAGTAGACAATGTTGGCCGATGTTAAACGACAACTATGTTCATCTGGGTCCGTATTCACAAAGCATCTCAGATTAGGAGGGCTGATGTAGGATCAGTTTGGTATTTTAGATCATAATAAATATGATTACCAGGACGGGGGGGGGATCTGATCCTAGATCAGCACTCCTGCTCTGAGACGCTTTGTGAATACAGGCTCTGGGCAACTGTCAAGCGTAGTAGTGCGCAACTATGTTGATCTCAGCCAAGCCCAACTGGAACAATGGCTGCTGTCTGACAGTCTCTTCAAGATAGCTACTGTACATTAAAACATAATCTAGTGTCTTTTTGAGTTTGATGGGTTGAGGGAATGGGGTACTGTGTTCTATTGGTGCCTTGTTGTTTGTGTTTATGTGTAATAAATACAACATTTATAAATAAACACATCAGATCGTGACAACGTAATGTATAGGATATATAACAACTAAAGGAATAAACATTCTGCAGACTAGAATCTCAGATGGCTGATTTGTTTGCACTAAATAAATAAGGCCTACATCCGAAACTGATGCTGGGTTTTTCTTGGGTTTGTCTAACTATGGGCCGTGCATCAGAAAATGAGAAACATGCTTATCTTATTAAAGGGAGACATGTCTGCTCACTGCAGCCTAATGAAAGTCCTCAGTCCTATAGCCAGTCCTATAAGAGGGTGTGTATAATATCACAGGTGTGGTGGGTTTTTTAGCCTGGGTGCCCGATCCTGTTTGTGCTTCAGCCAAATCTTCTACTTCTCGTTGTCCATTGACCATAAGAGTTGGCAAGACAGCACAAACTAATCTGGGACCAGGAAAGGGTTTCTATCCCAGTAGCCAGGCCTGTTGATGCTTTAGCCAAAACATATAGCGTTCCTTGTCATGGCTTACATCACAATTAATGAAAGAGGAATTGGCTAAAGCACAAACAGATCTGGTTACCAGGCTAAGGGTTTTTCATGATTCACATTCCGTGTGCTGGGAAACACAAGGCTTCATGGTGGGGTTTGATGCATGGGGCATACACAGTTGGGGACATTGGCTGGTGTGTGTTTGTGTAGATGGGGGGTGTCAGCAGAGCCTAGTGGGTCTCCAGTAGCCAGTCAAACAGGCTGGTCAGAGAGCTGCCTCCGTCCTCCTCTTCCTGGTGGAGCTTACAGAACTGGATGACAGCGCTGAAGAGATCTCTGATCCTCCATGCCTTCTGAGACACCAGCTGCACCACCCTCTGGAACTGAGACATCACACTCAGCCAGATTACCATGCTCCTTGTGCACTACACAAGACATATACATAACAGAGTACAATACACACACACACACACACACGTACAGGCATAATCAGAGCCTGTGTACCTGGATGTGCTGTGCTGCACCCACCTTGGACGTCCTCCTGTCTTTACACTTCCTGAAGTAGACGGCATGCAGGCCCAGCTCGGAGGCAGCGATCCACTGCAGGGCCAAGCGAAGCTCTGAGTCCACACACTCTGGATCCAAGTCACAGTTGACCACCAGAAGCTCCCTGTGGTTGCTACTGCCCCCTACTGACCGCAGTGAGATGCCCTCTGCAACACATACAGGAAATACATAATGCCCACTTTCTGTTTACATCAAGCTAACTTGCAGTTTCAATGCCAAAACTATGCTGAGGTCTGATGGCACATTGGATGGATTTGGCATCAAATAGGTTCAAGATAGGTTGGGTAAGGAGGGATTGATACCATCAGTGTTGGGGAGTAGTGAAATACATTTAGTTCAACTATTTAATGACATTTTGCAGTAGCTTGGTGGTAGTTGAACTAAATAAAAATCTTGGTAGTGTTTTTAGTAGTTAATTACTTTTTTTCCCCCCATGTAGTTATGTAGCTAACTACTGGAACTACACACAACTTTATTTTGCAAAAATACAATATGGGTGAAGTAGGCAAGATTTTCCTTTCTTTTTCAGCATCAAACCTGCCTAATTCTCACTTTTTGTGTTTAATAGGCTAAATTACACATTCTGTTAACATCTGACTCCAGAGTGATCTGTTCTTGCAATTTGTAGTCAATGACATTTCAGATTTACATGTATTTTTTCAGGATGTACAGTACCAGTCAAAAGTTTGGACACACCTACTCATTCAAGGATTTTCTTTATTTTTACTATTTTCTACATTGTAGAATAATAGTGAAGACATCAAAACTATGAAATAACACATATGGAATCATGTAGTAACCAACAGTGTTCAACAAATTAAAATATATTTTATATTTGAGATTCTTCAAATAGCCACCCTTTGACTTGATGACAGCTTTGCACACTCCTGGCATTCTCTCAACCAGCTTCATGAGGTAGTGACCTGGAATGCATTTCAATCAACAGGTGTGCCTTCTTAAAAGTTATTTGTGGAATTTCTTTCCTTCTTAATGCGTTTGAGCCAATCAGTTGTGATGTGACAAGGTAGTATACAGAAGATAGCCCTATTTGGTAAAATACCAAGTTCATATTATGGCAAGAACAGCTCAAATAAGCAAAGAGAAACGACAGTTCATCATTACTTTAAGACATGAAGGTCAGTCAATACGGAACATTTCAAGAACTTTGAACGTTTCTTCAAGTGCAGTCGCAAAAACCATCAAGCGCTATGATGAAACTGGCTCTCATGAGGACCACCATAGGAATGGAAGACCCAGTTACCTCTGCTGCAGAGGATAAGTTCATTAGAGTTACCAGCTTCAGAAATTGCAGCCCAAATAAATGCTTCACAGAGTTCAAGTAACAGACACATCTCAACATCAACTGTTCAGAGGGGATTGTGTGAATCAGGCCTTCATGGGTTAATTGCTGCAAAGAAACCACTGCTAAAGGACACCAATAAGAAGAAGAGACCTGCTTCGGCCAAGAAACCAGAGCAATGGACATTAGACCGGTGGAATTTTGTCCTTTGGTCTGGAGTCCAAATGGGAGATTTTTGGTTCCAAACACCGTGTCTTTGTGAGATGCGGTGTGGGTGAATGGATGATCTCCACATGTGTATTTCCCACCGTAAAGCATGGAGGAGGAGGTGTTATGGTGTGGGGGTGCTTTGCTGGTGACACTGTCTGTGATTTATTTAGAATTCAAGGCACACTTAACCAGCATGGCTATCACAGCATTCTATAGCGATACGCCATCCCATCTGGTTTGTGGGACAATCATTTGTTTTTCAACAGGACAATGACCCAACACACCTCCAGGCTGCGTAAGAGCTATTTTACCAAGAAGAGAGTGCTGTATCAGATGACCTGGCCTCCACAATCCCCTGACCTCAACCCAATTGAGATGGTTTGGGCTGAGTCGGACAGCAGAGTGAAGGAAAAGCAGCCAACAAGTGCTCAGCATATGTGGGAACTCCTTCAATACTGTTGGAAAACATTCCAGGTGAAGCTGGTTGAGAGAATGCCAAGAGTGTGCATACCCCCCCTACCTTGTCACAACACAACTGATTGGCTCAAAAGAAGGAAATAAATTCCACAAATTAACTTTTAAGAAGGCACACCTGTTACTTGAAATGCATTCCAGGTGACTACCTCATGAAGCTGGTTGAGAGAATGCCAAGAGTGTGCAAAGCTGTCATCAAGGCAAAGGATGGCTATTTGAAGAATCTCAAATATAATATATTTTGATTTGTTTAACACTCTTTTGTTTAATACATGATTCCATATGTGTTATTTCATAGTTTTGATGTCTTCACTATTCTTCTACAATGTAAAAAATAGTAAAAATAAAGGAAAACCCTTGAATGAGTAGGTGTGTCCAAACATTTGACTGGTAGTGTAGTTTGGATGTAGTACTTTTTCTAAGTAAATATAGTTAAGTAAGCTATATTTTTCTTAAGGGTAGCTAACGTCTTCCAGTGTGAAGTAATTTGTAGCTTGGTAAACTATATTTTCAGAGTATCTTCCCCAACACTGGATACAATGTTGTTATATTGACCTAAAATGTTTAATTGGCAGCACAGCAGAGATAAAGCAGTGATATATTTACCATTTCGACATTTGAGTTACACATTACATTGACTGCTTTTCTCCAGTATCTGGGGAATTAGTCACACCAAGTAGCTATAGATAGATCATGTGAGCGACTCATAGAATACTCAGTGTGTAGAGATCTTACAGGGAAGAGGTTGAATAGAGGTTATCGCGAAGACGAACAAGAACAAAGATGAGACAGTAGGGGAGACCGAGAGAGTTGAGTTTCCTGTAGTGTGTGTGTGTATGACTCAGACAGGGTGACACTACTCACCATCTACGTTCTCCCTTAGGTAATCCTTCTCCGCCTCCTCACTGAGGACAGAGAGCATGACCATTAAGACAAGTAGGATGCGTAGGATGCGTTCTGATTTTCTCACTTGATACCCTTAGGCCAGATTTACTAAGCATCGGGGTTTTTCAGTAAGGGATAACACACCAAAAACAAAGCAAAAAGGTATTATTTTGCACCTTTCTATCGATCTTAATCTTTCTCCTTACCTTTTTGTTCTGTCCTGAATGTTTCATTTCCTTTATAAAAATAGGTGCAAACGCTTAGTTCATCTAGCCGTAAGTGTGAACTTACTTATTCCCTGTCATGGATTAAAAACATGTAATTAGTGTAAGCATGGGCTAGCTAGCCGGATGGAGCATCCACCACATTTCCTACATTGTTTGATCTCTTTGTGAGGTGGAGTGAACAGGTACACACTTCATAAACAGGGTAGAGACTAGAGAGAGAATCAGACTGGAGCCTATAAGGCTACATTCTCCTGTTCAAAGGGCCTTGTTTAAAGCCTCAGCGCTTTGTTGTAGGAGTGTAGCCTGCATGTTGTAGGAGGGTTGTTTGCATGTTAGGAGTTATCAGTTACCTGTTCACTGTGCTCTGAGTGGGGATGTCAGAGAAGCCCTCCAGGTCTGCCAGACCCAGGCTAGACGTGCTGCTGTTCCCGTTCCTGCAAATCCAAACAGAACTAAAACTCATTTCCTGTCTCTGGAAAGGCGACAAGATCAGTGACTTGTGAAGGGAACAATAAGGAGCTGCGGTGAAGCGAGCAATGTTGTTCATCAGCTGGTGATTAACATAGAAACAGCAGCTGCAGCTGAGCAGGACGGCTGGGCTGGCAGAGAGAGCCTGACTGGCATTGGGCCCTTCCTTGTGGAGATGGGGGATGTGGAAAGATTGAGCAGTTGGGCGGAGTGGGCGACCATGTCCAGTGTGAGCAGTGTCACCGTGGAGTTAATCGGGGATGAGGTGGTCAGGCGGAGAGGAAGGCAACAGTGACCAGGTGTTTGTTTATGCCACAGCTGTCTGCGCTGGCAGGTTAAAGCAGAAAGCAGCACACATTTCATCACCACTACTGCCAAGCTGAAGCCAGCCAGCCAGCCACACTGCCCTCCTCCTAGTCCTCTGGAGCCTAGAAACGTATCCATCCCACTCTTTGTTATCTATACCCTGGTCTCATTTCTCCTGGCTTAGAGGAATGCCAGTAATAGACTTACTACCTCAGGCTTTTGGCTTGGCTGTGTGTCAGTATGAGGCTAGCTAGTGGAACTGAGAAATGGCACTAGCTGAAGCAGGGAATGATAAAGCTAATGTTCTGTGGGCCTTTAATGTGTGAGAAGCAGTGTGACGTCATACCTATGCTACTGCGGCTGCAGCCCCACTCTGACAAAATGATGGCTCTGGAGTGGGGCTCAGTGTACTAGCTGAGCTCTCTGCCAGTGAGAGGAAAGCCCCCGGGCATACAGCTATTCCACTGAAGCAGCAAGGGCCGAAGACTGGCACAGGACAGCAAAGAGTGAGCAGCAATGGGCTGATGAGAGGGCGACGGACGGCGAGGGCGGTAGTAGCGGTAGGAGTGCTCGGAGCAGTGCATGATGGGACGGAGCAGCGGTTGGTTGCTACGGTTACTGACCCCTCGCTCAGCTGGATAAAACTACTGGTCTCCTCGTGGGGCTCGTCATCGGGGGCGATCTGGGACCAACTTCCTGAGCTGTCCTCACTGCTAGCACTCAGAGAGCGCTTGTTTCGCTCACCTACAGCGGTTACAGCAGCGGGCGCAGAGGACACTGCCATCCTGTCTCTCTCACAGCTGGGGAGAGCAAACAGCAGGGTCACGTACTGTATACACTCTTAGAAAAAATTGTCCATAAAGTGTTCTACCAGGCTGTACTTGTAGGAACCTTTTATGGTTCTAGTTAGCAATTATTTTCTAAGAGTGTATATATGATGTGATAGACTGGGAGGAGCTCAACCCCTCTGATGTGATCTTCCCCCTCATTGGTTGATTTGGTTCTATTCTTGTTCGGGGGATACAGATCCTACATTTATTCATTCTAGAATGCAGTTTTTAAAAAAGTGTGCTACGTACTGTGACTATACACATTTGACATTTGTGTTGGGACCATGAAACCCTGTTCATCACATATTACATACAACCCCCAACCACCACCAAGTATTGGCCTTTCTAAAATCTGTGCCCCTTTTATAGAGCGTGGATAACCCAGGTCCTTTAGTGTGTAAAGGATGTTTTGTATTTGTATTTGTACCTATCCAAATTAACCATAAATTAAAAATGAAATGAAAGGCTGCAGTGTCGGCTGATTCATTTAAATCCTGATTAGATGATTGAAAGCTGCCAGATTCCCAGAGTGGGTTAAGGTGTTGTTTGTCAATGTCAATGAGCCTCACGTTTCCACCAGGGAAAGACCCAGCTGCAGATGACTCGTTCCCTAATTGGAGTTTATTAAGTGTTAAGTGAAAAACCAGCAAACCCTGCAATCCTTTAGCAGCCTAAATATAATAATCTCTTCCATCTATTTTCCTATTCTTATTATTTATTGCATGTGTCAATCCAATCTACAGGGAACTGCCAAAATAATGGAAACACTTGAGGGATACAAAGTATATTGAAAGCAGGTGCTTTCAACCACACAGGTGTGGTTCCTGAGTTAGTTAAGCAATTAAGCAACACTTACGGGAGATTCTGGAGCAGCGCCTGAGACAGCGTTTTCCACCACCATTAACAAAACACCAAATAATGGAATTTTTCGTGGAAGAATAGTGTCGCATCCCTCCGATAGAGTTCCAGACACTTGTAGAATCTATGCCAAGGTGCACTGAAGCTGTTCTGGCTCGTGGTGGCCCAATGCCCTATTGGTGTTTCCTTTATTCTGGCAGTTACATTTATATGATACTATGATATTTTTTTCAAGTATCAACAACTTCTCAATAACCTCCAAAGTATTTCAATCCCATTTGTTTATTTTCCTTTCTATTTGTGACCTTGTGTTGTCGTCTACAGTATGTCAACGTGGTCTGTAAATGTTTGTCGCTTAGCTGATGAGCTCAAGATGCGAGACTAATTCCTGGAACACCAATAAAGGGACCTGAAGTACTTTGTAAGGTTTCTGTAACCTCCTTATGGTGCCCACCTCCTCCAGTAGTAGGCCTCCCTGCAGTCTATATATCCATGCTGCACTGCCCCCCTAAAGGCCACTCTCACTACCAAGAAGGTCCGTGTGAATCTTCTCACCCTCCTGAGTCCTTGTTACACAATTGACCTCTGAGTGAAATGTCAGACCCAAATTACAGGACAATATGATGCCACTGTTGTATGTAGCCTGGCTCTTATATACATAATATACTGTATGTGTGATATACACTTCCCTCCATGTGTATTTGAAGAGGGAAGTAATTTTTGTAGATTTGTCTCTATACTTTTTTTAATTTAAGATGATATTTGTGCGTCTATAACTTTCTCACTCATCATTATTCATTCAGGATTATCCGTAATCATGGTAGCATCCACATTCATGTAGAAGTGTTTAGAAACATATTATATTCTTATTTACAATAAAAGTGACTCCAAAATAACACAATATATTATTTACCATGACTTTCTATTGGGAACAAAATAATCTGAAACACAACCAAAACAAACAGCAAATGTATCCAACAAATTTGTGGAGTCACAAGCTTGATGTAGTCATTGCGTGCTATGAAAATGGTACCAAATACTTAACTTTTTACTACTTTAATACACATATAAGTGAATTTGTCCCAATCCAATACTTTTGCTCCCCTAAAATAGGGGGACTATGTACAGAAAGTGCTGTAATTTTTAAACGGTTCACCCGATATGGATATAAATATCCTCAAATGAAAGCTGACAGGCTGCACTTTAACCTCATAGTCATTGTTTGATTTCAAATCCAAACTTTTGTGTATTTTACCCCACTTTTTCTCCCCAATCTCGTGATATCCAATTGTGATCCAATTACGATCTTGTCTCATTGCTGCAACTCCCCAACGGGCTCGGGAGAGGCGAAGGTCGAGTCATACGTCCTCTGAACATGACCCGCCAAACCGCGCTTCTTAACACCTGCCCGCTTAACCCGGAAGCCAGCTTAACCCGTTCAACTGACGACCGAAGTAAGCCTGCAGACGCCCGGCCTGCCACAAGGAGTCACTAGAGCGCGATGAGCCAAGTAAAGCCCACCTGACCAAACCCTCCCCTAACTTGGACAACGCTGGGCCAATTGTGCCCCGCCCTATGGGACTCCCGGTCACGGCCGGTTGTGACACAGCCTGGGATCAAACCTGGGTCTGTAGTGACGCCTCAAGCACTGCAATGCAGTGCCTTAGAACACTGCGCCACTCTGGGATTTTTTTTCTTTTCATACATATCTGTTTTACCGTTTAGAAATGAAAGCACTTCATGTATCTAGTCCCCCCACATGTGAAGAAGTCATAAGTATTTGGTCAAAACTTTGTGTATTAAAGTGAAACTGACAGTGTTTTAGCAACATTAAATCTTATTGAAATCTGTTCATATACACCCCCAGGTGTAATAAGGGAACATTAGATAAACCCTTTTTTTTTTTTTTACTAGTTGGTCATCAACATTGCACTGAGAAACGATGGGGAATAGTAGCCTGCTCGTCCTTCTGCAGCTTGCCTGCCAATGCATGCTTGTCCCAACTCATATTTTGACAACTGAATGGGGAACTTGCCTGCCTACCCATTTGATCGATGCCAAATACATTTGATTGACACCTAAGAGATATGCTAACTGTCGATTACAGTCGTTAAGTTCAGCATAGCAAAGCGATTCACATTTCTTGCTAGCTAACCAAATGACACCTGCAACTAGCTGTGGCCACCGAAAAACGATATGAGGGGGAAAAGTCACTCACTCACCCACTCCTCCAATGACATGACAGCCTAGCTAACATTAGGCTCTGTGTTTTTAGCTTGTAAATAAATAGCTAGCTACAGAAATAGATAGGCTATCCCAGGGGTGTCAAACTCAATCAGCACACAGGCCATATTGAAAAAACAAAATGAATTTGCGGGCCAGACATAGCCTATTAGTTTTTTACGTGCAACTGCGACCCAAACTGGCCATTTCTTTATTTAAAAATAATAATAATGTCCACTTACAGTGCATTTCGGAAAGTTTTCAGACCCCTTGATAAAATTGTTTTTTCCCCCTCATTAATCTACACACAATACCCCATAATGACAAAGCAAAAACAGGTTTGTAGAAAATGTTGCAAAATAATTAATACAAACTGAAATATCACATTTACATAAGTATTCAGACACAAAGGTTTGAAGCACCTTTGGCAGCGATTACAGTCTTGATTCTTCTTTGGTATGACGCTACAAGCTTGGCACACCTGTATTTGGTGAGTTTCTCCCATTCTTCTCTGCAGATCCTCTCTAGCTCTGTCAGGTTGGATGGGGAGCGACGCTGCACAGCTATGTTCGATCGGGTTCAAGTCCGGGCTCCTGAGCGCTCTGGAGCAGGTTTTCATCAAAGATCTCTCTGTACTTTGCTCCATTCATCTTTCCCTAGATCCTGACTAGTCTCCTAGACCCTGCCGCTGAAAAACATCCCCACAGCATGATGCTGCCACCACCATGCTTCACCATAGGGATGGTGCCAGGTTTCCTCCAGACGTGACACTTGGCATTCAGGCCAAAGAGTTCAATCTTGTTTTTCATGGTCTGAGAGTCCTTTAGGTGCCTTTTGGCAAACTCCAAGCGGGCTGTCATGTGCATTTTACTGAGGAGTGGCTTCCTTCTGGCCACTCTACCATAAAGGCCTGATTGGATGAGTGCTGCAGAGATGGTTGTCCTTCTGGAAGGTTCTCCCATCTCCACAGAGGAACTCTGGAGCTCTATCAGAGTGACCATCGGATTCTTGGTCACCTCCCTGACCAAGGCCCTTCTCCCCCGATTGCTCAGTTTGGCTGGGCGGCCAGCTCTAGGAAGAGTCTTGGTGGTTCCAAACTTCTTCCATTTAAGAATGATGGAGGCCACTTAGTTCTTGGGAACCTTCAATGCTGCAGAAATGTTTAGGTAACCTTCCCCAGATCTGTGCCTCGACACAATCCTGTCTTGGAGCTCTACGGACAATTTCTTCAACCCCATGGCTTGGATTTTGCTCTGACATGCACTGTCAACTGTGGGACCTTATATAGACCGATATGTGCCTTTCCAATCATGTCCAATCAATTAAATTTACCACAGGTGGACACTAATCAAGTTGTAGAAACACCTCAAGGAAGATAAATGGAAACAGGATGCACCTGAGCTCAATTTCGAGTCTCATTACAAAGGGTCTGAATACTTATGTAAATAAGGTATTTCTGTTTTTTAATTAATTAGCTAAAATTTCTATTAACCTTTTTGCTTTGTCATTATGGGGTATTGTGTGTAGATTGATGAGGAATTGTTTTTATTTAATACATTTTAGAATAAGGCTGTAACGTAACAAAATGTGGAAAAAGTGAAGGGGTCTGAATACTTTCCGAATGCACTGTATGTACATAGGATGATGTACTGTATATAGAATTTTAACATATTAAAACAAAAGAAGAGATAAATCATATTTGTCCAGCCTTTGCTTCCCTGCTTGCAGATGTGCATAATATGATGTGACCTTAATCAAAAAGTATTGAATACCTCCAAATAACAAAAACGTAGCTATAGGTTGTTGTAACATTTAAACTTAAAACATGTTTTTAATTTATTTTCACAGCATGGATCATCGGTTTTGTTGAATGCAGCATTGCTGTATGGTGCACTCAAAATGTCTTGTAGTTGAGTAGCCAGCCTAGGCTACTGCTCAAATGTTGCTGTAATAGGCCTGCATGTTTCTCCTTTGTATGGTGTTTTGTTGCAGGTTTAGTTTTTGGGATATTCATTGTCAAGCTTTAAAACCGAAGCCAGACTGCAACCTTTTAGTAGCCTAGCTAGGACTGTGGCATGTGGTCTGTACACTTTCCCTCTGCTGCACGCTGTAAACGGGACACACGAAAGCAGCACAATTGAAGTTGAATTCACCGATGCGAGCACATCAGGCAGTCATTTCATAAAGTAGATGACTCAACTGTTGACTCATTTATTCTCGCTTGTGTGTCCTATTCGGCCCGTGGGCCTTGTGTTTGACACCTGTGCGCTAGCCTATTAGCCACATCATGACTGGCTTGTGATCATTGCCCTTGCTAGTTTGATTGTATTGACATTCCCAGCCTTAGTTACAGTCGTCAGTTTTTGTTCAAAATATTGATTTATTGAAACTAAAACAGTGCATCCAAAATGGGTGGAGGCAGCAAACAATGTACCAGGTCAGCTGTGATTTACAACCTGATATAAATATTTTTTGGAATACCAAGACATTTATTGGTGAATTATATTCATCATGCATTGAACTGCATCCATATATTCGGCCAACAATGGCTTACTAGACATCATGGAATTTTTGGTCAAATTTATATATATATTTTGAAGCATAAAATGGGAATTTGATATTTTTGACTGATATTATGATTGTCTGTTTCATATCTGCAAATTAGTTAAAACGCTGTCAGTTCCACTTTAAATTAGTCAAAGTTTAGAATTTAGGCCCATATTCGTTGCACACAATGACTAAATCAAGCTTGTAACTTGACTCGTTGGATGCATTTACAATTTGTTCTGGTTGTGTTTTGGGTTATGTTTTGCCAGAATGATGACTGGAGTAATTTTCTTTCTAAGTGAGTAGATAAGATGTTTCATTATGAATAATGATGAGTGAGATGCCATTAAGAGGCTACAACAAAACATGCTAACTCTCACCATTACCAATACCTGGGGAGGTCAGCATTTTGAGGGGTATGATCTTTGTGCCTCTGTAACCTTCTCATTCCTCATTATTCACGATTCATTCATGATCATCCATAATCATGTTAGCATCCACATTAATGTAGAAGTGTTCAGAAACCTCTTCTATATTTACTTACAATAAAAGTGACTCCAAAATGGCAAAACTCCAAAATGGCAAAACATAATGGGCAATTCCAGGGTAACATAATGATGCTGAGATTTTTCACTTTAAATGCATGCCAAACAAAAACCAATGATTGCAAAGTTAAACAAACCATACAACTCTATGCACAAGGATGACTTTTAACAATTTCCACAGACATTTTTACAAAAAACATTTACTTGAAGAACTGTGTAGATGCAAAGTTTGGTAACAAAATGACGGCACAAACCATTGCTTTTTGTTCGACATACCTCTTAAAGTAAAAAATCTGAGCATCATTCTGTTAGCGTGGAATTGCCCTAATCCAAAACAACCAAAACAAACCGCAAATGCATCCAACAAGTCACAAGCTTGATGTAGTCATTGCCTGCAAGGAATACAGGACCAAATACCAACATTTGGACTACTTTAATTCAAGTGAATGTGTCCAAATACTTATGTATTCTTCAAATGGGGGGACTAGATGCATAAAGTGCTTTCTAAACAGTAAAACAGATATGCATGGAAATACCTTCAAATAAAAGCTGACATTCTGTACTCTCGCCTAATATGAAACATCTCAAATCCAAAATGCTGGTGTATGGAGCCAAATTAAAATTTTTGCTTCACTGTCCAAATACATATGGGGGAGTATATACGTATATGTGTGTGTGTATTTGGGTTTGTATGAATGTTTATGAGTATCTGCGGTCGTGACTAGAGGCATGTCAATGCCACCTTGAAGATCAAGGTTAGATATAGATAAAAGCTTCAGACTCCAACACAGCAACATGACTCATAACCTGGCTGTGGGTCTGTATAATCCCAGAGACTTTCACAATAGACTACTTTCTCTGTGGATGCAGTAGAAGCCATTATGTGGCTGGGTCTCTGATACCCAACACTATAAACAGTTTAACAACGCATGGATGGTTTTCTATTTATAAACACATGAAGTCACAATTCAAGGTGTTTCGGAAAATTATTTCCAAGGAGGACTATGAAAAAAAATACTACCATGCAAGTGAATGTTGTTTCATCACACTAATAGCGCTATGGAGAGAGAGAGAAGAGAGAGAGAGAGAGAGAGAGAGAGAGAGAGAGAGAGAGAGAGAGAGAGCGATGAGAGGAGAGAGATAGACGAGAAGAAGAAGAGAGAGAGAGAGAGGAGCTCTATCTCTTCCTCTAGCTCTCTCTTCTCTCTCTTCTCTCTCTCTCTCTCTCTCTCTCTCTCTCTCTCTCTCTCTCTCTCTCTCTCTCTCTCTCTCTCTCTCTCTCTCTCTCACACAGAGATCAAAGCAAGCTGAGAGTCTGCAGCCTTTGATAGTCTTGTGAGGCTCTCATCTCCACTGATGATGCCCCTTTGCTGTGAGAGCCTGTTTGTGTGTTTGAGGGTGGGATTGACTCACAGGGGAATCGTGAACTGAGAGAGGACTTACCTGCTGCGTCTCACCAAGGCCCTCTCAGCGCGCCACTGGGCTGTCCCCTCAGGGGGCGTTGGGTCCCAGGGGCGGCGCCCAGCCCTTTCCACCGGGTCCCCAGACTCTGGATCATCCCTCTGATCTGTTTCGATGTGGATCACCGGTACAGGGACTTCCCTGGGGCCCCTGATGGGGGGCCCCGCTGTTGTACATGTGCTGTCTCCGCCCCCTCCGGATTGCTCCTGGCTGGCTCTGCTTCGGGTGCAACCAGGGCGGGACTGTTTGAAGCCCCTCCTCCTCTCCCCAACAGGCATGTGTTGCTGTCGACCCACCACGCCCCCTCCTCCAGCCCCATCCCCTTCCTGCAGGACAGACTTCCCGGTTTCCACGATGTCTGCGGCCAGGCGGTTGGCATACTGCAGCACTTGGGTCTGGGACTCTGCATCCACCAGGTCAATGCTGTCCTCCGGGTCCACAATGATCTTGTTCTTCCGCATCAGGGACTCAATGGAGCTGGACCAGGTCTCGTGGATCAGCATGTCGGTGATCTGGTCCGTCTGGCCCCTCTGGTACAGACAGGAGTCAGACTTGCACAGGCCCGTGGCAGACACCTGCACCGAGTTGGTGGGGTAGATGTTGAGCGTGTCCCCGTGTCCATTGTGGACGAAGCCGTCAAAGGAGTTGGCCTTGATGGGCGAGTTGACGGTCAGCCTGGAGTCTGAGAAACGTCTGTCCGGCACGGAGGACTGACGGATACAGAAGAGGGTTCTGGGAGATGGAGGCAATAGGCTGTTGCTCCACTCTTTAGTTCTGCCCATACTGTAGTCTTTGCTCTCCTTGTCCATGTCTTTGAGCATGAACCTGTAGAACTCCTCTGTGATGCTCTCTGTGCTGGACTGCTTGGACAGACAGGAGGTGGTCCTCACATTGAGGTGGCCATTCTTCTTGGTGGCCGCCTGCTGCACGGCTGCCGCCAGGATGCTGCTGGCGTTCTGCCCGGCGTAGTAATCCAGGAGCAGGTCAAAGCCCCGGCCCTCCGTCTCCATCTGGTTCACCATAAAGCGGGAGAACTCGTCCGTGATGCTCTCGCAGCTGGACTGCTTGGAGATGGAGCCTCCTCTGCTCAGGTTCTGGCCCAGCCGGCTGCCGGGGCCCAGGGTGTTGGGGGTACCCGGGGGGCCTGCGTCCTCCTCTGGGATGCTTTCATAGCTGGCGGCCTTTCCCCGGCTCCACCTCTCACACTGCAGCCGGCTGCGGGTCTGCTGGCCGGGCTTGGAGGTGTCAACCACATTGAGCTCGGGGCAGTTCATGATGCGGGCGGTGACCTCGGAGGCAAAGAGTGCGAAGGGGTCAAGAGTCTGGGGCATGTCGTCTAGGTTGACTGTCTCATCCACCACGCGGTTGACCAGGCACTCCATCAACTCGGGCTGCTCCTCTGTCTTCCTCTTGATCTCACTGAGGCGCGGCGGCCGGTGCTTTTTGGATGCCACACCGCCGTTCTGGCCCTCCTTTCTGCGGAGGGCCGTGCAACAGGAGGGCAGCAGGTAACCCCCCTCGGGGTAGTAGCCGGCTGCGCCCTTCAGGGCACAGAACCACGGCTGCTTCCCGCTGGAGTTCTCCAGGCAGATGGCGGCCAGCTCAGTAGCCATGGAGACCACGGTGGTGGCGAGGTCATCAGCGAAGTAGTTGACGGGGGTAGTTCTGGACTCTGAGTCCATCTTTAGGCAGACCAAGGCCCCTGTGGAGGAGGAGCTAAAAGAGGACTGAGGGGTCAGAGAAGACTGTCTGCTGTCCGTACTGGCTCTCCATCTTTTCTCTGTGCCCAGGGATGAAGAGACCTGGTGGGCTAAGCTCTCTGTAAAAGGCTCTCTGATGTTTCCTCTGGCCTGCTGGCCCTGGAGGTCATAGCAGTCCTTAGTAGAGGACAAGACTTTAGTCGGAGCTTGTCTGCGCTGCTGCTGCTCTCTGATATGTGGCGAGCTGTGAGACCCATAATGTTCACTCTCCCTCTCCTCCAGTCCATATTTCTCCTCCCTCATCTTGGAGTAGACGGGCGTCTTTTCTGCCAATTGGGCTTCACAATTATCGGTCTGGCTGGAGCCAACGAAGCGCAGTAATTGGCTTAATGGTTCCTTGGTGGTGGCGGCCGCCTCGTAGTCCCTGAAGCCGACATCACCCTCTTGTCTGTCAAACGACCCTATATCACATTTGGAAATGTCACCGATCCGCTTTGAAGTGAGACAAAGGATGTCGAAGAGCACATTGCTCACGCTCTCCTGCAGAAAGCCCTGGATATCAGGGACATCTTTGCCCGGGCCTTCCAGTTCTTTTTTCTTTTTCGCTTTCTTGAACGCGTGTTTGAAGAGGCCGTCGGCCACCTCGCTGATGAAATTGTCCACCTCCGTCTCGTCCATCTTGTCCAGACAGGACTTTTTGGGAGACGTGATGCCGTCCACGATCCTGTTGTGGGTGGACTCCAGTAGGTGGGCCACACTCTTGTAGTCCTGAGGCTGAGCCAGCACCCCTGCTGCCTCTTTGTGAAGAACTTCAGCGATACTGGTGCGGAAGGCCTCGATGCTGGTCCCCTCGGCCACGCTGCAGTGGAGGGTGATGGCCGTGGAGGCCTGTGCTGCAGATAGGAGCCCCACGGAGGTGGCCGAGTAGACCTCGGTGGTGGAGTCGTCTTCTGACTCACAGCCCCCCTCCCCGGCCTCTTCGGCTAGCTCCACCACGGCCACCGACCCCGCCACCTGGGCCATCCCGCACATGGCTGAGGAGAAGGAGTAATCAGTGCCCTCAGGGTCCCTCTGTCCCTCTCTCTCCATGTCCTCCTCTGTTGGCTCCATCGCCAGCTGCTCTGCTACCTGTGGGCTGGAGATTGTGCCGATGACACTAGCAGCGCATGCCAGGGCCCGCTGCAGGGGTTTGGTGGGGTGGCGTCCATTGGTAGTGGTGGTAGGGCGGAAGTCATGGGTCTCTGGTCCGTGTTCCGTCAGTACCTGTCTGGCAGCATCACCACCAACACCATGCTCCACAGCCACGTGAGAGGCCTGAGTACCCAGCCACTCCGGCAGGCCCTCGCAGCTATCCGGGCTCTGCACTATGACGATCTTGGGGAGCTCGAAAGAGCAGGCGCGTGCCCGAGAGGGCTCCTCTGCTCCTGTCCGGGCGAGGCTGGCGGGGGGGCGGTGGCTACTGGGGAACATGCTCACAGCGGCCTCTGGGGTGAAGGACGGTTCATCCTGAGACAGGCGGATGAAGGCGTCCTGCAGTACTGACTCGGCCAGGTTGGTGGCATAGTGGCCGGCCGACTCCTTGGTGTGGTGACTGCTAGCTCTCACCGGTACCATTCCTCCTCGTTTCGTGGTGGCTAGGGGGGCGCAGATGGTGCTCTCGGAGTCCTCACTGTCCTGCCACTGATGCTGGCCCAGGCGTCCCCTCTGACACACAGGTCTGTCGCTGTGTGCTGCATCTGCCAAGCCCTCTGCCACATCTAAGCACTCTGGCTCTGAGCGGAGAAAGAGAGAGAGAGAGAGAGGCATGTCCAGAACTGTTAGAGAGTAGTTCCATCAAACTCCCAATGTGCCACAGCAAGAGCAATGACAACCCAGCTCTGGTTTAACCAAGCTAGCAATAACACCAGACTTTCACTGAGCAGTATTTGCTCACTCAAACCTGACTATAGCTACCAACCAAACCCTAGCTGGTCCCAGTTATGTTTGTGCTGTCTTACCAATGACCATAAGAGTTGGCTACACAGGCTACAATACAACATAAACAGATCTGGGAACAGGCTAACCTACCCCCATGAAAATGAACTGCAAAGCACAGTGTGTATTGTTTCGGGGCGGAGCTCATTAGAATAATACTCAGCATGCTTTGCAATTGTTCATTTTTACATATACATGTATATTTAGTTCATTTAGCAGATGCTTTTATCACAGCATAGTGCTATCAGACTTCTGATACCAATGCAGGGTGAAAGGGGGGGCCATAAAATGTGAACCGTTATAAATTACAGTATTTTGAAAATACAAAATACATTGGAGTGCAGTTCAGCCCAGTGTAATTCAAATTACAAAATACTCAGAAGTAATTAAAATAAGTATTTCAAATAAATGTAACAGAAATACTGCCCATCTCTGCTTACAGGATGTTAATTATAGATAAGCGGAGACTTGTCATTGTGCAGAAAAGTGCCGCCAAGTTCAGGGCCATATACTGTATATTAATCTCAATCATGACAGGCATTGATCTGTTCTACTGTATGTGCACTCAGCTGCACGGCACACCATGCGAGGCACACACGCACTAAGGAGCTACGCAGCCAGCCAGCCACAGAGAAATGTGTTTACAGATGAAGACTGACAGGCATGAGAGAACAAGAGAACAACAGCACAAACGGCTGGACGCCTGTCGTTCCCTTTTGAAACGAGACGAGGGACATCTTCAGTGGTAAGAATAGCATTTAAGGAACATGTAGACTATTCCTGATTCGGAAAGTATTCAGACCCCTTGATTTTTTCCACATGTTGTTACATTACAGCCTTATTCTAAAATGGATTAAATTGTTTTTTTCCCCCCTCATCAATCTACACACAATACCCCATAATGACAAAGCAAAAACAACAGGTTTTTAGAAATTTTTGTTAAGTTATAAAAAATAGAAAAACTGAAATATAACATTTACATAAGTATTCAGACCCTTTACTCAGTACTTTGTTGAAGCATCTTTGGCAGCAATTACAGCCTTGAGTCTTCTTGGGTATGACGCTACAATCTTGGCACACCTGTATTTGGGGAGTTTCTCCCATTCTTCTATGCAGATCCTCTCAAGCTCTTTCAGGCTGGATGGGGAGCATCGCTGCACAGCTATTTTCAGGTCTCTCCAGAGATGTTCGTTCGGGTTCAAGTCTGGGCTCTGGCTGGGCCACTCAAGGACATTCAGAGACTTGTCCCGAAGCCACTCCTGCGTTGTCTTGGCTGTGTGCTAAGGGTCGTTGTCCTGTTAGAAGGTGAACCTTCGCCCCAGTCTGAGATCCTGAGTGCTCTGGAGCAGGTTTTCATCAAGGATCTCTCTGTACTTTGCTCCGTTCATCTTTCCCTCTATCCTGATTAGTCTCCTAGTCACTGCCGCTGAAAAACATCCCCACAGCATGATGCTGCCACCACCATGCTTCACCGTAGCATGCAGGTTTCCTCCAGACGTGACGCTTGGCATTCAGGCCAAAGAGTTCAATCTTGGTTTCATCAGACCAGAGAATCTTGTTTAGGTGCCTTTTGGCAAACACCAAGCGGGCTGTCATGTGCCTTTTACTAAGGAGTGGCTTCCGTCTGGCCACTCTACCATAAAGGCCTGATTAGTGGAGTTCTGCAGAGATGGTTGTCCTTCTGGAAGGTTCTCCCATCTCCATAGAGGAACTCTGGAGCTCTGTCAAAGTGACCAAAGGGTTCTTGGTCACCTCCCTGACCAAGGCCCTTCTCCCCAGATTGCTCAGTTTGGCTGGGCGGCCAGCTCTAGGAAGAGTCTTGGTGGTTCCAAACTTCTTCCATTTAAGAATGATGGAGGCCACTGTGTTCTTGGGGACCTTCAATGCTGCTGAAATGTTTTGGTACCCTTCCTCAGATCTGTGCCTCGACACAATCCTGTCTCGGAGCTCTACGGACAATTCCTTCGACCTCATGGCTTGGTTTTTGCTCTGACATGCACTGTCAACTGTGTGACCTTATATAGACAGGTGTGTGCCTTTCCAAATCATGTCCAATCAATTGAATTTACCACAGGTGGACTCCAATCAAGTTGTAGAAACATCTCAAAGATGATCAATGGAAACAGGATGCACCTTAGCTCAATTTTGAGTCTCATAGCAAAGGGTCTGAATACATTTGCAAACATTTCTAAAAAGTCATTATGGGGTATTGTGTGTAGATGTATTTTTGTAATCCATTTTAGAATAAGGCTATAACGCAACAAAATGTTGAAAAAGTCAAGGGGTCTGAATAGTTTCCGAATGCACTGTACAAGACTCTATAATAACACTACATCAATAACAACTTAGATTTTTATTGAGCTGACCTGTTTTGAGAGTAGGCTACTGAATAACGTATTACCTTACAAAATGTGACATTTTTCCACCCAAAATGAGTGCTTCACATTAGTAGATTTGTAAATAATAAATGATTTATCCCATTTAGCAGACACTTTTGTCGAAAGTGACCTAGAACAGTGACTGAGATCAACATTTTCATATTTGCTATCCTCATGCTATATAAACTTAGCCACATAGGACTACTTTACTCTACTTTCATATTCACCACATATGCCAGTAAAATACATTGAACTCAAATACAATACATGGGTATTCAAAAGGATGAGAGAAAATCACCGTTTCGTAAGCCGTCATCCTCGCTGTCATCCCCCAGGTGTTCTGAGGCAGTCAGGAAGTCCTCCTCTATGGATGAGAAGGAGCGGTTGGTGTCATCATCCAGCCTCTGCCCTGCCATCATCCGCCCCTGGGACCCCTGCCTCTCCTGACCCCACTGCAGCCCGATCAGGAACTTGTTGATCTCATAGATGATGCTAGTGGGCCGCCGGCCCCCAGCACACTGGACCAGGCACAAATCTGTATCTCTCTGGCCCTGGAGGCAATACACACATACACACACATATATACACACATATACACGCACACACAGGCACGCAGGTACAAACACACACACACACACAGAGGAAGGAAATAATTCAATAATTGAGGAGTTCTACCTTGTCTGCTCGTGTAATACTCAGAGATGATGAGTCAGTCAGACAGTGGATGGATTTGGGATGGAGGGATCTCAACAAACCATTAATATAAAATGAGAAGGAAGATGAAGTGTGTGTGCTTGTGTGTGTGCCTGTGTGTGTATGTGTGTGTGTGTGCGCTCACCTGTGTGTGTGTGGGGTACTGGTGAGGGTGAGAGGGGTCCGGAGTCTCCAAACCGCCGAGCAGCAGGATCTCGTTCACCTTGGGCTGTCGCACGCTCAGAGAGTCGACCAGCTTGGGCAGGTCTGGAGAGATTGAAGCCAGTTTCTAGAGGAGAGAGAGACGTCGCCCACAATCACAGTGACAGTCACACAGGCAGTCATCACCAGCACAAAGCTGATAATTACCTAAACAAATCAACCCCTCTCACCCAGGCTAATTATCCTAAATCCATGGCAACAGAGCCAGTGTTTACGATAGTTAAGAAAGACTCTAGTGGAACGGGAGGAGAGGAAAGGAGAGGAGAGAGGATGAGAGAGGGAGCAGAGGAGTTAATGGGTAGGGGGGAGGAGAGGGGAAGAGGGAGGAGGGAGTAAAGGAGAAGAGAGGAGGAGGGAGGAGGAGAGGGAAGAGAGGAGAGGAAAGCATGGGTAGGGGGGAGAAGAGAGATGAAAAGAGAAGAGGGGACCCAGCACACCTTGATGCAGCTGTCCTCGTGACGATCCACCTTCTGTTGGTCCAGATTCACAAAGCAGATCTGCAATGAGAGGGAAAAAGCTTCAGAACAGTGGTAACGTAAAGCTACAAAAAAAACCTAGTGAGACCTGAGAGGTTAGCATCAAATAGTCCAGAATAATGACTGTGATGTAGCCAACCTCCCCATTCCAATGACCTGACTTTACCCAGATAAAAGCATGATTACTAGTCTGACAGAGGAAGCAATCATGCTGTGTTAGCCCTCACTGGCCATTTACAAGCCTCTAGCAGGACGTGATTTTGGAGGTATGGCAACGCGAGACTAAGCAGGACACAACAGGGCTAATTGGCACCCAGTCAGTCAGTCCCCAGGGAGCGAGCGACAGTCCCTACATACAGACTGATAGAATTTTACTGAATGGGTCCCAAATGACACCCTATTCCCTGGTCAAAAGAAGTGCACTATAAAGGGAATAAGGAACCATTTGGAATGCAGAAATAATCTCACTGATTGCTTTGCAATTGTTCATTTCAGGGGTGGGTTTTCCAAAGCATTCATTGTTGCATTAGTATGTTATTTCACTTGCCGACCCAGACTATAGAACAGCAAAGTGCTACGAATGTTGTTTGTTCACGCATAGATTGGCCGCCCCGTCAAACTTCGATTTCCGTGGGAGTGCGGCTGGGTTGTGGAGAGAAATTATGTAAAACTTCAGCTACAAATGCTTTGGGAAAGTATTAATCAATAATTGAGTTAATTAGAAAAGGGGCGTGAGGCATAGCCCTTGGTTGCAGTAGGATCATAACTTGTTTTCCCCTCATTGACCAATAAACACAGACAGCCTCACCCACCCACCTGCTGTAACACACACACACTATACAACCAGTTCTTCCTCTTATCTATCCATCTTTCTCTACAGCTCTCTCTATCTATTCATCCCAGATGAACTTACATACCGGGTCCATCTCTCCAAACCCAATATTCTGCCCACACGCTTCAGCCAGAGGACATATTATATCTATTTTCTAGAAAGAAGAAATAAATGATTTCCTGTATTAATCAACATACCAATCATTGTAAATCCCAGCGGTTGATATAACCTCCTTGATCATCGTACATACCCTCTCTGATGTACGTCATGCTGAAAGCCCTCAAAGCTCAAAGAGCTTAGCTTAGCTACCCACAATTCAATTCTGTACGATTTATTCTTTATGATTAACTTCCCTATGTGACTCAATGAAGTAAAATAACAAATGCTTGTGGGGTCCATCTTGTAGGCCTCCTCTCTCTCCTCTCTGGTTTGCCTGTGGGCTATATTCAGCATATTTTCCCCCTGCGCCCCACCATGTTTTTCCCCTTCCCCTTTTATTGTCCGTGGCACTCGTGTCATGTTCCATGTTAATGGACTCTTCTCGGGGTGAGGAGGGCATGTACGTGTCTGACTGACATCAAAAGAGAAGCATAAGGAGAAATACAAACAGAGGTAAATGATGCAGCGACTGGAACTGGAACGAATGGCCCAATCAGCTTAGAGATAAAACGGTTCTATCTCTATGCCAATCAGGCTAAATCTGTAGTTTGTTACTCTGTGAGATCATGGATGTTAGTCTCTGTTATGAGTGGATTTGACTTTTTTTCTTTTTTTCTACATAATTTCAGCCTATTTCATAGGTGTGTTATCAAAAGTAGCCTATAGGATGAAACAGTGAGCTAACCACCCCAAAGCTGAAAAAGGGATAGAATTGAACGGAGGAAACAAAACGGCAAGAGTAGCTTGAAAATTGGAGTTGCGCTCTTTATCAGGAGAGTCAAAATGTCCACCGGAGTGAAACAACACAGAACATTGCAACTTCACCCCCATTTACATTATTACCATCACATTCAGCCTTCTCCCTTTTTTCAAGAAAGCCCACTCTGGTACTTGTATAACCCATTTTGAAGCTGTCTTATTATAATGGTGGTTCTAGCAAGCCCATGCAAGCTGAGGTGTTGTGAAGGTTATCACATTATTTGGGCTTATTGTATCTTGCATGCAGGTCAAAGCAATTGCAGAGAAAAATAAGGAGATGACTGTTGAAGACTGAGAAAGAGCGAGGGAGAAACAGGGGAGAACAAAAAGAAGAGGTAGGGAGGGAAGAGGAACGAGGTAGAGAGAGGAGTAAAAAAAAAAAAAGGAGATACGGTGCCCTTCCCAAGGACAAAATCATTGTACCCCATCACCATTAGGTGGGGGTGGCAATAGCCTGCAGTTCCAAAAATGGATTTCGGGGTGAGAGCTGTATGTGCCACCTAGCCATCTCTGTCAGTGAGGCCCATCTGAGAGGCAGAGACCACAGATGTGAACGAGGCTCCACCACTAATTCCTCAGAGCAGACAGACGTTTAAATCTCTGCCTGACTAACTGACGAAAAGAGATTAAACATCAACATAGATGCTAGAGAATAGGGGTTCTGATTGGTTGCACACACAAGTTGTGTGTGTGTGTGTGGATGTGCAATGTGTGTGCGCGTGTGACGTGCGCGTGTATGTATGATAAATAGGGCCGGGACAATACCAGTATTGCAATATTTCTATTTTGGTCCTTTAAAAACCTGCTGTATGTAAAATATTGAGTGCTACACCCAATGTTCAAGTATGGCCTTTTTCCCTTTATTCAGATTACAACCTCTCACTTTCAGTTATTTGAAAAGGAAATAATCTCCCAAATATCACTATTTCTAAAACAAGCCATAGAAAGTTGGTTGCAATTTCAATTTAATCCTCTAGAAAGGACAGAACAAATAATGCAACAAATATTGTGGTTAAACTCAAATATACTACCGGTAATTGATTAAAAAAAAACTTTTTTTTTTGGACAAAATGTTTAAAAAAGGTATAATCTTCGTAAATGATATCATCGGTAGGACTGGTGGAGTTATGACGCACATGCAGCTAACAAAAACATATGGAAAAAATTACAACCAAATAATTACAGCATTACCGCAAAATGGAAGAGGAAAGTGGAAGGGGGAAAAAGTAAGGAACTTGTCTGTCGGCCTTGCATTAAAGAACATAATTGGTTAAAGAAAACTGTGATAAATAAAAAAGTATACCAGTTTCATTTAAGGACCAAAGGATTGACAGCCGTCCCATATAGATCGCAAAATAGTTGGGAAGAGATTTTTGACGTACCGATCCCATGGCATAGTGTTTATGAACTGATACGCAAAACGACGCCGGATTCAAAACTTAGAATTTTTCCATTTAAATTATTATATAAAATTCTTGCTGCCAATAGAATGTTATTTATATGGGGGATACAATCTTCCCAGCTCTGCAGATTTTGCTGCGAAGAGACAGAATCATTAGATAATTTGTTTTGGTACTGTCCATTGGTTGCTTGTTTTTGGACACAAGGTCCAGGGATGGCTAAAGGATTGCAATATTTACCTGGAGCTAACCCTGCAGATAGCACTACTGGGTGATCTGAAAGGTCATAGTCAATCGATCAATAATATAATAATACTTTTAGCAAAAATGTTTTTTTTTCAATGTACAATCTGTAGAAACAATGAGAATAGAAAGGTTCAGAACTTTTGTAAAACATCACAGTACAGTTGAAAAATATATGGCAAATAGAAATCCAATATGGATGGTGTTAAGAGATAGATGGGTGGTGTTGAATGGAGTTGAAGGATGGGACTAATAACAACTAACAACAACTAATAACAACAAGATAACTAATAATGTAAGCATACTGTGTCCATAATAAGTATATAGGTTATAGGTTGAGAGCTTTTGTGAAAGAGCTTTTGTGAAATACTTATTTCCCTCATTAAAATGCAAATCAATTTATAACGTTTTTGACATGCGTTTTTCTGGATTTTGTTGTTGTTATTCTGTCTCTCATTGTTCAAATAAACCTACCATTTGAATTATAGACTGATCATGTCTTTGTCAGTGGGCAAACGTACAAAATCAGCACGGGATCAAATACTTTTTTCCCTCACTGTATATATATATATATATATATATATTTACATTTCAGTCATTTAGCAGACGCTCTTATCCAGAGCGACTTACAGTTAGTGAGTGCATACATTTTCATACTGGCCCCCTGTGGGAAATGAACCCACAACCCTGGCGTTGCAAGCGCCATGCTCTACCAACTGAGCTATATATTTGCGAGAGAAATAAACATATGGGGGATTGGAAGTGATGCAGACAATTAGATTGATGGAAGTTACAATCTATCTGCAATATTAAAGTTGATCTACACCCTACATAAAAAATAAAAAATATTTAAAAAATAAAAATATTGGGTGCTATAGCTTGGCAAATACATGTAACTCAGGATGACAACATAATGTTTCGTTTCCTTGCCATGATACGAACGAGTATCGTGATACTGGTATCATCCCGGCCCTAATGATAAATGCTGCGATTCTGGCTCATAATTTATCTATGTGTGCATTTCCTCTCATGTTGTGCCCCTGCTGAGGTGGCGTCCTGTGGATGGGTGCCTGGCGGCTGGAGGACAGCGCTGGGCGCCCAACAAGCGGGCAAATCTACAGCTGTGCTCCAGGCTCCAGGTCAACCCAGCCCAGCGACCAATCACAACCTCAGGGTGATTCTACTTTAAATACCATAACAAATCAGGGCCAGCTGGATGACTCAAACTGGAAACTAATAAATAGGTTTTTGCAGAGAGGAGTCATGAGGCAAACAGTGGTGGACATTTTATAAAAAATAAATAACTAACCCTCTCCTCTCTGTCTCAGTTAACATGCTGGTGAAATGGTCATATTCATTAGAAAACACTGTAGCAAAATGTTTTGCAACAGATACATTTTTTTAGGTAGTCCCTCCTTGACTGTTTTTGTCCGTTTTACCATGCAGTAGGATTTCAATAGTGAGGAGGCAACAGCAAATCTAGACTTGCCCAGAATGAGCTTTTATTAGCAAACGTGAAGATAAGAAGGCAAAACTGTATAAATATATATATTTTTTAAATAAACAGGACAATGAACAAAAGGTAGGCCTAATAAACATATCGGAATCAAAAATAGCTCTAACAAAAGAAAACCCAGGCTCCAATCTTGCCTGTAAAGCCAGCAGCATACCAACCTGTTACCTGTCTGTCTTCTTCTTCTATGGTGTATTGGCGATTGCACAACTTAATGTGCATCCCACCACCTACTGTGCGGGATGGAAACAGGATTCCCAAAAATGGAACAAAATACCCCCCCCCCAAAAAAACTACAGAATTACCAATAAATAAATAAACTAAACAACTTTTCTGTTAAAAAATTAAACTGATCTGATCCCTACACAGGCTCAAGGGGAACCTGGGAGGGCAGGTCTTCCAGTGCCAGTACCCATTGCAAGTCTTCAGATGTAAAACCCCAAAACTTTTCTGCCGCAGCCACAATAATTTCCAGTTTCTTAGACTTCTTTGAGACTCGTGCCGTACAGTTTATAACTGTGGCAATGAATGCCACATAGTCCACCTTTCTAACACAAAGGGTATCTTTTGACTGGCAGCAAACATTTACTACAGGCTGTGGTGTGTCCACTACCATCTCTTCACTAGCATCACTTGATTTCTCAAATCTTTGAATCACCTCCGCATAGGCGATTCGATTGACCGCTCTAACTTTTGCCACCTCAATCTCCTTCACCAATACAGGGCACTCCAGGAACTCGGGATCATGATTCCCACCACAATTGCAACACTGTTGTCCTTCTACACACCGTTATTCAATATACTCTGTCCGTTTGCACACACTTTAAACATGGCCAAATCCTATACAATTCTTACACTGCAGTGGTTTGGGGACGAAAGCTCTTACAGCGTATCTTACATAACCAAACTTCACATGCGTAGGTATTTGCTCTTTATCAAAAAATAACAGGACAACAGACTTTCTTATTTTCCTCCATTCACCCAGCGGGTCAGACGCCGGGCACCAAGCCCTTCAGGACTTTTCTTCAGGTATTCAACCTGAACATCCGTCGTCGCCCCTGAGATGACTCCTTTGACAGGTGCTCTACTCTGAAGTTCAAAACACAAAACTTCTGTTGTTCGGATTCTTTTGAGGCTCACTGCATTCTTCCTCTGTTCTTCAGAAATACAATTAATCAAAATAAGACCATTCCTGGTCACTCTGACAGACTCCACTTTGACACCTCAAATGGGTTTCCCACATATCCATCCTTACTCAACAAACGCATCCCAACAAGAAGCGATTCATTATCATTCATACACGTATCCTCCACTCCAATTTTAGACAATTTCCTTTTTGTTCCAGTTTTCGACTACTACTGTTGTCCATTCAGAACATTCTTCTTCAACAACTTTTCTTGACTCGCTGCTTGATTCGAACTCAGCATCCACTTCCACCATATTTTTCCTCCCTGTCTGTCTTGTATCACAAACAAAGCAATGGCATGCCTCTTATAGCAATACTCATTACACAGAATGCATCACAAACCCTTCCAATTACCTAATTGACAATCAATTTGCACGAGCGCACATGCACACCATCCTCCACCCACATTTAAGCTCTCTTCCTCTTCCCTCAACAACAAATCCTCTCCCCCTCACTCAATCTCTCCCTCCTTCACACCCTTCTTCTCAACTATAACCTCTGCCTCTCTCTTTCTCTCTATGCCTCATTGCTCTCATCTCAGCACACTCAGTCGTTCTTCCTGTGTCCTCTGTGTGTTCCCCTGTGGTTGTTATGTAAGCCCGCCACAGCCAGGCCATGTTGTGACTGTGAGCCACTTGTGTGTCTCAAATGGCACCCTGTTCCCTATATAATGCACTACAGCAGTGCACTAAATAGGGAATACGGTGCCATTTGAAATGCATCCTTGGTATCCTTCTGTGGCTCCTGACCCCTTACCTTCAAGCAATAGCGCCAGCCATGAGGCATTACATGTGCACTGGATGTATGCTGGTCTGGGTTGTGGTAATCTGTCGTGGACAGATTGTGCGTAAACCAAAGAAAATCACCTTGCTGTCCAAATTACACAATATTTTAGTTCTGGGAGATTATAGTTGTGGAGCTCAGTGAATATTCACAACACTAATGTGTATAGTGTCTACTCCTGTTCAGCCTTTGCCTCCAACTCTGGAATAATATTATATAATATAACTAACTGGTAATGATGTCCCATTGCTGGTCATACCCAATCCTCGACCCAGGCACACAAGCAAGCAGACAGGCAGACACACAGTTGCTGTGGGACCAAGCAGGCAATTAGAGCAGTGAGGAATGATACGGATTGGGAATATCTCATCTCATCAATGTAACTAACTCCGTCCTAACCATCAGCCGTGAGATACAGCTTACATTCAGTATTTTTCAGCTCCCCTCATTGAATACCATTCAATTATCTACATAGATGCAGCAGTTAGAGACCTTAGAGCAGGGGTGTCAAACTCATTTTAGCTCAGGGGCCACGTGGAGGGAAATCTATTCCCAAGTGGGCCGGACCGGTAAAATCATGGTATATATAACTTAAAAACAACAACTTTAGATTGTTTTCTTTGTTTTAATACTATCAACATAAAACATAAAGCTGGAGCCTGAGGACAGTGTGTCCAAAATAGTACAAGCACAACATCACTATTAATCATAAAACACCTCAAGTTTATTTGAAAATTCTAAAGAAAAAGAACACACAAACACACAATGCCTCAGTGATTCACAGAACTGTTTCACAGATCACAGAACTATATCAGGGTGTCATTTCTCAGGCAGAAATGTAGATACAAATAATGAAATCCTGTTCCCCAAACAAGTGCAAGAACCACAGAGTCAAGAATAGGTTAAATATACAAATAAAATAAAATCAATTAAAAACAATAGCACATCAACATAAAAACATATAAACATAAAGCTGGAGCCTGAGGACAGTGTGTCCAAAAGCACAACATCACTATGAATCATAAAACACCTCAAGCTATTTGAAATTCTGAGGACAAACAACACACAAACACACAATGCCTCAGTGATTCACAGAAGTATATCACAGATCACAGAACTATATCAGGGTGTCTCATGCAGCACTTTAAGTGGGGTTGCATAGTTTATTTGACTCCTGATACCTGGCATCTTTTAGCTTTCACCAGCGCATCAATATCAGGCGTCACATCCTGAGTGGCAGCCAACTACAGGATGTGATTCAAGTGCTTGTGCGTGAGCCTTGAGCGCAGCTTTGTTTTATTTATGCTCATTACAGAGAACTTGCTCACAAAGATATGTGGTTCCAAACATGCACAACAGTTTTGCAGCGAGGGCTGTCAAGTTGGGGTAACCTGGCAAGAGATTCTGATAAAATGTGTCCAAGCCAGCTGCGGCAAATTTGCCCTTCAAATCCAAGTCACACTGCAAGTATATTATTTCAAGTTGGATGCTGACGGGCAGATCAGAGGGATTCACGGTTAATGGCGAACAAAAAACGTTGAAGTCTTTCTCCAGTTCACCAAAAATCTGAAAGCGTTGCTCAAACTCCCTTAACAGTCCCGTTATTTTATCTTTGAACCGCTTCATGTCTGCCACATGTTGGGTCGCGCACACATTTTTCAGACAGGGGAAGTGAGCTGCATCACCACCGGCGAGTTGCGTCTCCCACAATGACAGCTTCAACTTGAAAGAACGTATGCTGTCATAATACTGCGTGGCAACTTTGTTGCACCCTTGCAGCTGTTTGTTCAAGTTATTCAGGTGCTCTGTAACATCCACCATAAATGCAAGGTCCTGCATCCATTCTGCGGAATGAAATTCTAACACTGGTTTGCCCTTTTCTTCCATGAACTGTTCAATTTCTTCTCGTAAATCAAAGAAACGCCTCAGCACAGCACCTCGGCTTAACCATCTTACCTCAGTGTGGTATGGCAGGCCATAGATGTGGTCTTTCTCTCTGAGAAGGCTGTCAAACTGACGTTGATTCAGGCTTCTGGATCGGATGAAATTAACAGTTTGGATAATATAATAATAATAATATAATAATAATATAATATAATAATATAATAATGATATAATAAAAATAATAACCACCTTCATGACGTTATCCATCTTTAATGACTTGCAACACAAAGCCTCCTGGTGCAAAATACAGTGAAAAGTCCAAAAATCACGTCCACCATTTGCAGATTGCACTTTCTCTCTGAACTTTGTCACAACGCCTGCTTTTTTCCCGATCATTGAGGGCGCACCATCTGTAGCCAGGCTGACAGCGCGGGACCAGTCCACTCCGACCCTGTCCAGCGCGCTGACGAGTGCAGTGAAAATATCAGCTGCTGTCGTTGTATCTGTCATCGGCACCAACTCCTCGGTGACGGTCAATGTGTCATCAACTCTGCGGATGAAAATGGCCAGTTGTGCAACATCTGTAATGTCCGTGCTTTCATCAATTGCAACCGAAAACGCAATAATTTACTTTACTTTTTGCTTCAACTGGCTGTCCAAATCCACTGAAAGATCGGAAATCCTGTCTGCAACTGTGTTTCTTGTCAGGCTGATATTTGCAAAAGCCTGGTGCTTTTCAGGGCACACAATCTCCGCTGCCTTCATCATGCATGTTTTTACAAATTCACCCTCACTAAATGGTTTTGAAGCCACTGCGATTTCATTAGCAATGAGGTAGCTAGCTTTCACTGCAGCGTCACTGATGTCTCGGCTGTGAGTAAACACAGACTGCTGTTTCTTCAGACCCGCCAACAGTTCATTCACCTTCTCTCTTCTCCGCTGTCCTTGAAAGTTGTCATATTTGTCGGCATGAAGACTCAAATAGTGGCGACGAAGGTTATATTCTTTCAGCACTGCAACATGCTGTGAACACACCAAACATACAGCTTTCCCATTCAATTCCGTGAATAAATAGAAGGATGACAATTTTTCTTGGAACACTCTGCACTCTGCGTACACTTTTCTCTTTTTTGACAGAGACATATTGGGGCAATGAGGGTGCCAAAGCACATAATGTTAAAAGTAGAAGCCGTAATAAATATCGCGGGCAAAACAAAGTAGCTCATCCGGACTGGCTGCACTTGCTTGACCTATTTGCTCTGCCCCGGTATAAACAGTTTGCTTGATTAACACAATTGCTATTGCGCCATCCAGTGGACACAATTGGAACAGCAGTTTCTTTATCATTTTTATACTTTACAAAATCATCTCGCGGGCCGGATTAAACCCGTTTGCGGGCCTGATCCGGCCCGCGGGCCGGACGTTTGACACCCCTGCCTTAGAGAGTAGAATAAAGACATTGACATGATGTTTAATCATAGAACCTGGCAGCAGAAACAGCAGTGAGGACTCTTTGGGTCATGTTCATTATGGCACACCATAGCAAAACATTTTGCAATGGCAAATAAGCAAGTTCAGGTCGTCCTTCCCTGTTTCAGTCTGTTTTCTTCCGTTTGATGCCTAATGAACACAACCCAGGTGTCCACATGCAGTAAGTCAGTTCCTCTGCTGCAGATGGCATGTTAGTCTACTCTTCCTCACTGGGGCTTTTTTACATTTACATTACATTTACGTCATTTAGCAGACGCTCTTATCCAGAGCGACTTACAGGAGCAATTAGGGTTAAGTGCCTTGCTCAAGGGCACATCGACAGATTTTTCACCTAGTTGGCTCGGGGATTAGAACCTGCGACCTTTCGGTTCTGGCACAACGCTCTTAACCACTAAGCTACCTGCCGCCCCATTTTATGAGGCCTGTATGGGACAGATAGCTGAAGTGTACGCTACCTCGCTCTGAAGTGTTTAAACCTAAAGATGAATGGATGACTGAGAGCTGTGGGTTTCAAAACAAGAAGAGGGGTGGGTGTGTTTGTGTGTGTGTGTGTGTGTGTGTGTGTGTGTGTGTGTGTGTGTGTGTGTGTGTGTGTGTGTGTGTGTGTGCGTGCGTGCGTGCGTGCGTGCGTGCGTGCGTGCGTGCGTGTGGCAGTGTGTAGATAGAGAGAGTGAAACTGGGAATAGTTTTGATGTTGATGGCATAGAATGATAGTGATAGTCTCTCGTGACAGATTATTAGTGCATGCAATATTTGGTTCTGGGGTCTGAGATGAACAATGATATAGATCTCATCTCTATAAGTGTTTAGAATAGGATCGGAAACATAACTCTGTAACTTCACTGTAACTAGCAGAGCAGAACTAATGGTGCCGAAGACTTCGGTTCCAAATTGCTTACCCTCCGTCAATGTGTTCAGGGGTCTGATTAAATTCACTGTGACTATTGCAGCTAGGTAACACCTCACTGTGAGTTCAGTTCATGCATTAAAACATGAGCGAGTGATCAAAGGTGACAAGACCTAGATTTGGTGAGGAGTGAAAAGAGAGAACTTACAAGATTTTATCTTAACACTTTGAGCTCCTGAGTGCATAGTCCCATTTCCTTCCTGAGCCTTCCACACACACATTCCTGTCTCTATTCAGGAATATACGTCACTGTAATTGTCACATCCTCAACCAGTTTGTGTGGCCATATTGTCTCCATCATATGAAATGAGTGGTTAATAAAGATATCATACTTTGTGAAACGGAACACCAGGATGACATATCAATGTCACCAAATTAGCACTGTGTGTCCAAGACAATTTCCCTTCAGGGACAATAAACTTGATCCTGTCGTAAACACGACCTCGGAGCTTAACTTAAATACCTCTGCTGCCGCTGAATGTGTAATCAATGACAATCACATTGTAACAATCACATTGTAACAATCACATTGATAAAAGTCACCATATTAGGTGATTCCATAAATGAACCAAATGAACACACTAATAAACCAACCCTTCCCCCGCTCCCCAACCAAAACCCTTAGTGGAGTAAACAAAAACCATATCCCATCAAGCTTATTAAATCTGCATTCCACACACTCACTGACACAGACCCTGTTTACTCCTGGCCTAGGGTCTGTAATTAACTAAGCTGATATGGCCACAGGCATATTACTGTGATAATCCTGGTTAACAGAAGAGGGTGTGGGGGGAATCAACAAACACACAAGCACACCCGCAAGCGTGCACACATGCACACACTCTCTCTCTCTCTCACACACACACACACACACACACACACACACACACACACCCCTACCCCCTGCTCCTCATCCACTCTCCCACTGTGACTGTCTGCTGAGGACCCACTCACAGTCACAGTCACAGTCACATTAGTGACTCTTCTTTTACATTTGATTGATTAGTTGTGTAACCCGGGAAGAGTTGATTTGCGAATTGAGAGGCTGTACAATTTGTCACCGAGGAGAGAGGCAACACACATACGCACACACACACACAGGCACACACACACGCACACACTGAGAGAGAGGCGATGCTACAGGAAGATGGCTGGCATCTTTTCCTGCTCACATAAAACACCCCAGGGATTCATGGGATCTGGACACATTGTGTAAAAACGGCACTGTCTCATTTGCACATACAATGGGAAGATTAAAAAGCTTTTTAATCGCTCCAGAGCTCGGAATGAGACTGAGGGAAAAGACAGACAGACTAGTGAAACCTTTGTTTTCTAGTAAGAACACCAGCTCTTACCAGTTGTGTCCCAAAGGGATAATTCCTGTGCTACAAAGTGCTATACATTGCCATATATTTGGTGGCAGACATATAGTTACAAATTAAAGAATTTAATAGGATTTTAAAATCATCCCGATATGCCGGATAGCCTGTTTTGCATTTTTAAAAATGGGAACACAGGCACACACAACTCACCGTGTTGCATCTCCCCTCAGCGTCATCCTCCAGGAGGCCCAGCCTGCACAGAGCCTTCTCATTCCTCAGCCAGTACTCTGACGAGTCCAGCACACTGCTACTGCACAGCACCTGGAAGGCACAGATAACACACACTCTTACACACAGACACATGACTGAAATCATTCTCAGAATGTATAATATAGGAAAGTACATACAAATGCACACATTCTCACACACACACACTCACACACACGAGTCCCCCATTCACCTTCAGCTGACAATCTTAGTGTTTACCCTCTGGCTATAAAGATCTCTACAGGCCCTTTGTTCAAGAGGTGCTCTGTGGGACCTTGCTCTGTAAGAGGGATCAATAGTCTGTCAGTTAGCCTATTTACACTCCACATATTTACTGTGTTTTTACGCTTCCCCGCGGGCTGCTTCAAAGGACACTATGGGTTAAGTATCAAGTCCTGTTAACCTGCGACTTCCAATAAGAGTCAAGAGTTCCTTTGTCAGAGGGACACATAAATACATATGAAGAGTTATTGATTATTTTAGTATTGGGTAAATGGTGCTGGTTGTCACTAAGACTTTGAAAGTCACTGGGATCCCTCAGGAGATACAACAGGATAATCCATAAAATAACCTTTCAAATGTAACCTTTCACATACATTCAGTCTGAAACTGCCATCCTAGACAAAATGACGTCAAAATGAGGGGCGTTGTAAAAAAACGAATTCATCAGCGATCGAATCACCTCTAACCAATCAGACTATCAAAGCTGATTACGTCAGGCCAGGCCGGCTCTGGCCCAACCCATCGATGTCTGTGACCAATAAGAAGGGAAAGGGGATACCTAGTCAACACAACTGACTGCATTAAACCCAAATGTGTCTTCCGCATTTAACCCAACCCCCTGAAAGCAGGGAGGAAAGCAAATCTAGGAAAATAAATGCTAATGGGTGTGGCGTTTGGCCAGAGCGATGTGGATGGATAGTCAGGCTACAAAACAATAACAATTTCCATAGTGTATTTCTAGGTTGACTCCATCATGCCCCCAGTGCCATCGTCCTCTGGTGTTGTCCATCTGCTTTGGGCCAGGGCCAGGTAGAGGTGACTAACACTCAGGTGGCCTCATGGTCATGAAATCACAATTTGGCAGAGCTTGGAGTGAGGGCAGGGTCGTGTTCATTAGGCACAAAACGGGAGATAACTGCCCAAAACGGGGAGGTGCTATTTCAACTTGTCCAATAATAAATGCTTAATTTTGTATTCCGTTGCAAAATGTTTTGCAACGATGTGCACCAATGAACATGACCCAGCTTCATACAGGTGCTTGATATCATAGTAAATGTTCACCAGCAAAAATAATATTATTCTCCCACATGTATCTTATTAAGACAATATTTAGATTGTTAGGTCTTTGTCAAGTCAGGGGACCTGACCTACAGTTAGGGTTGAAATCTTGTCTTTATAAATAGTTTTGTGTCATTGTGCAGAGACTTCTATTACAAATGCTACATGTAATACAGTGGAGGCTGCAGAACGGCTCATAATAATTGCTGGAACGGCGCTAATGGAATGGCATCAAACCATGTGTTTGATGTATTTGATGCCATTCCACTAATTCCGCTCCAGCCATTACCACGAGCCCATCCTCCCCAATTACGGTGCCACCAACCTCCTGTGATGTAATATTATTTATGTATGTTAGCGACAGAGCGGCGAGGCTCAATAGAAGTAATTTAACTTGACGACCCGTCTACTAATTAAGTAACTGAACAAACAGCAATATCGACGGACAATGCTCCTTATTCAAGAGGAAGGAGGGGCAGCAGAACAGAAGAGGTTGAAATTCAACGTAATCTCCCCCCTGAGACCATTGTTATTTGCCATTTCTCTCATTGTCTCCCTGTCACATTGAGATGATCAATCCAACTAGATGACTGTCTGTTGCAATGGCACTAACTCTCCCTCACCAGGGAGAGGGACACACACACACACATTCATGTATTTACCTTCTTGCAGGCGGTGACGGAGGATCCCAGGGTGCTGTCTGTGCTGACTCCCTCAGCGTCTGCTGACTCAGAGCTCTCGAACATGGCTGACGACTGGAAGTTACTGCAGGAGGAGAACAAAGTGTGTCTGTGTCAGGACCCACTGTACACAGCCCCAGGGCAGGGCCCCTCTTTGGGCTTTAGAGAACCTATCAGCCCATGGGTGAACACCCTTGCCTGGGGACATGCTCCCTGGCATGCCCACTGCTGTACAGCACCAGCCATTAGAGAATTGCATTAGAGGAACACAAAAACTCTGAACCTCTACCAAAAACAAGGGTAAACGCAGACATAACGTTTGTCTTGGGGTGCTTGAGACATTGTATGGTGTTCATTGGTATGATTACAACCAATATAGGATTGAAAGGATGACATACATTATTTTCCTCATTAAATTAATTATCTGTGATTTGTAAGTTTAAAGTTAACTTGGAAAAAAAGCAACTGATTTTTAATCAGAAGTTTGTATTAATTAGGATAAAACTTTCACATGAAAAAGGAGGGAGGTACATGGAGACCAGAGAGACAGCTGGCGCTGTGATCATCACTTTCATGGTAAATTAAAAGTATTTCATTTTGGAACTGGTTTAATTTAGGGATGAACCTACTTCATGCTGTATCAAATCAGAATGTATGTGTGCCTACATTGTATCTTGCCCAAGGTAAGTAAATCCCCTTCTTAGATAGGGAAGTTTGCTGCACAGCAAATAATGCAGAGTATTTGACTCGAAAAGAGCAGCTTTAACTATTTTGGGAATTAAGTGACTGATTGTGGCCGCTAGAGTCGAGGTAAAACAGAATTAATTCGAATAGAGTGTTTATAAATATTGCAAGAGTCAATGTGATCTTGCTCACAGATTAGAAGTTAGATTTCGATTTTGCTGCCATTTATATTTTCTTCCTCGCATTCGCCTCAGGCTGACACTGACATAAGTAGTCTTTGCTTTCAGGTAAGTAATATCGTTTTAAAATTCTTATTTGACCTAAGTCAACCATTTAGCGTATCCTTCTTATCATGTATCATTAGCAAGTTCAAAGCCAAATATTCATTATTACCTAGCAGTCGATTGGTATCTAGCCTGTTTTTTTTACCAAGCAACCAAATTCTCAAAGCGTAGCTACCGTTAGCTAGCTAGCTAATCATTTTAGCTCGGTTTGACAGAATGGACATACAAAAGGTAGGTACTTGAAGCGACCAGCAAAAGGAGGCTGCAGAGGGAAGAATAAAGTCCCCTTGTAGATCACTAAAAGGTGGGTCATCTGGTTGGCATGCATAACTGTCTTTTATTTGTGTGTGTATGGTTTGTGCTCGCTCGGGTGCAGGCATGTGAGGATGTAAGCATGTGAAGGTTTGTTCACAAGGGAGTGAGACTTGTTTTTTTATGGGGTTTTCTTGCAATTCAGTGTAATGGCGTTTGGTTGGACTGTTTATACCAGTGTTGTGTGTTCCTGTCCTTTTTTAATCTTTGGTTTTAGGTAGACCAGTTGCTGACAGAGACCCCTTCATGGACGAAGACTGGCTGAGTGAAGAAGGGCAGTGTCGAAAGGCCATCGCGCTGATGAAACACACATCTGATGAAGCAACCGTAAAAGAAAAGATTAAGCTGACCTCAACCTACTGCCAAAAAATTGTCCATGACCCACAGAACTCCTCTGACATACTCAGTGTTTCCACGGTTCCTGGACATACTAGGCATGGTTTGTATGAAATTAACTCTGTCAACTTCATAGCATGCACGTGTGAGAATGTATGAATGACGTTGATGCATTGTTTTTTCCAAAGCATGACAATGTCGCAGGGTGGTCATTTCCAGAGTATTACCCTTAAAAAGTGACAGGACCATGTCTTAGAAATCCGGTAGCTGAGATTTTATTGTTGTCTTTTTGTCTTGTCTGTAGATTGAGCAAGATTTTGGACTGATGTTTGGTGACGCAACTTCCACAAAATTCCTGGATAAATGGCCTACTGTCTTCAAACAGAAGGTCATCCTGCAGAGCCATCGACTCATACCAACAACCGAGCTTCAGGACCTGAAACACAACGCTGAGTTCACAGCTGAGGTCCACTTTACACTGTAATATGAAGTTCTAGTACAGTGCATTCGGAAAGTATTCAGATCCCTTGACTTTTCCACATTTTGTTACATTACAGCCTTATACTAAAATTGATTAAATTGTTTTTTCCCTCATCAATCTACACGCAATACCCCATAATTACAAAGCAAAAATAGGTTTTTAGAAATCTTTGCAAATTTATAATTTTAAAAACCCAGGAAAAATACATTTACATAAGTATTCAGACCCTTTACTCAGTACATTGCTGAAGCACCTTTGGCAGTGATTACAGCCTCGAGTCTTCTTGGGTATGACGCTATGTCACGATCGTTATGAGAAGCGGACCAAGGCGCAGCGTGATAGGCGTACATACTTTATTAAGTGTACACAACAAGAACCAAAACAACAAAACGATACGTGAAGTCCTAGGTCATAACACAAACCTTACGGAACAAGATCCCACAAAACTAAAATGCCAAAAGGCTGCCTAAGTATGGTCCCCAATCAGAGACAATGAGCTACAGCTGTCTCTGATTGGGAACCACCCTGGCCAACATAGAAATAAACGATCTAGAACAAAACCCATAGAAAACAAAACATAGAAAATCCACACCCTGGCTCAACATAGAGTCCCTAGAGCCAGGGCGTGACACGCTACAAGCTTGGCACACCTGTATTTGGGGAGTTTCTCCCATTCTTCTATGCAGATCCTTTCAAGCTCTTTCAGGTTGGATGGGGAGTGTCGCTGCACAGCTATTTTCAGGGCTTTCCAGAGATGTTCAATTGGGTTCAAGTCCGGGCTCTGGCTGGGCCACTCAAGGACATTCAGAGACTTGTCCCGAATCCACTCCTGCGTTGTCTTGGCTGTGTGCTTGGGGTCGTTGTCCTGTTGGAAGGTGAACCTTCGCCCTAGTCTGAGGTCCTGAGCGCTCTGGAGAAGGTTATCATCAAGGATCTCTCTGTACTTTGCTCCATTAATATTTTCCTCGATCCTGACTAGTCTCCCAGTCCCTGCAGCTGAAAAACATCCCCACAGCATGATGCTGCCACCACCATGCTTCACTGTAGGGATGGTGCCAGGTTTCTTCCAGACGTGACTCTTGGCATTCAGGCTAAAGAGTTCAATCTTGATTTCATCAGACCAGAGAATCTTGTTTCTCATGGTCTGAGAGTCCTTTAGGTGCCTTTTGGCAAACTCCAAGTGGGCTGTCATGTGTCTTTTACTGAGGAGTGGCTTCCGTCTGGCCACTCTACAATAAAGGCCTGATTGATGCAGTGCTGCAGAGATGGCTGTCCTTCTGGAAGGTTCTTCCATCTCTACAGAGAAACTCTGGAGCTCTGTCAGAGTGTTCATCGGGTCCTTGGTCACCTCCCTGACCAAGGCTCTTCTCCCCCGATTGCTCAGTTTGGCCAGGCGGCCAGCTCTAGGAAGAGTCTTTGTGGTTCCTAACTTCTTCCATTTAAGAATGATGGAGGCCACTGTGTTCTTGGGGACCTTCAATGCTTCAGAAATGTTTTGGTACCCTTCCCCATATCTGTGCCTTGACACAATCCTGTCTCTGAGCTCTAAGGACAATTCCTTAGACCTCATGACTTGTTTTTTTGCTCTGACATGCATTGTCAACTGTGGGACCTTATATAGACAGGTGTGTGCCTTTCCAAATCATGTCCAATCAATTGAATCTACCACAGGTGGACTCCAATCAAGTTGTAGAAGCATATAATGGATTATCAATGGAAACAGGATGCACCAGACCTCAATTTCGAGTCTCATAGCAAAGGGTCTAATTACTTATGTAAATAAGGTATTTCTGTTGTTTATTTTTAATACATTTGCTAAGATTTCAAAAACCTTTTTTCGCTTTGTCGTCACCAGCAGTGACAGACATGTTCTGAAAGTTTTCTAATGTCAGAATTTAAATGTGAGTTTCTAGGCTGGGTCATGTCGTCCATTCTTCTCCTCGTCCATCTACTGCCTCCCTCCGCTCAAGGCCACAACAGGCCAGGAAAGATGTCAGCAAGACACACGGTGTTATAGACAAATTGTGTCGCTATATCCTGATCTCTCCCCCCCCGCCCTTTCCTTTCCCCTCTTCCCCTTCACCCCTCCCTCCCTCAAGTGTACAAACACTTAACCCAGCAAAGAACACTATCATCAACTCTACTGCTATAATACCTCTTACAATTTACACTACTACAATACTGTAATACATATTAGAATCACTACTGTCTGGCTTGTAAGACTTATAGTAGATTGTGTGCGAATTAATAGTAGATGATCTAACAATAGATGTCTTATAGGCAGGGACCAGCATCCAGCAGCGTCTTGATGGCATCACCGGAAGTAAACAGCCCTATCTGCTTGCCGTGGGGACCCAGAGAACAAGCATTCACACCTACTTCATCGTGATTGACAAACATCCGGTACCTTGTAAGGGATTTGGCTCACTGGGCTGTTTTAATGAGCTTTTCAAAGCTCACTTTGTCTTTGGTACCTCATACAGTCAGGGTCTGGCAAACGTACACTTTTCTACAAACGACAATCTACGACATTGACGTTGATATAACTAAGGCGAATCACAGGGTAGCAGAGCTGAGGGCCAGAATGTTGCATTAAACAGATCTGTTTGAGGCACAGACATGTTTTGTTTTGTTTGCAAATGACACCAGGCAAATACCAATAGCCTTGTAAAACATCTGAAGTTAATCCACGGTCTTTGTCCAGGGAAATCTCTGCGTTTAAAGTGTGGTCAGGTTGGTTGTTCACATGTATTTGGCACTTTTTCTGGATTTAGAATGCATCTTAACAAGGCACATGAAGAGCGTACCAAAGCAGTTTCTGATAATGATGGTGGAGGCTCCTCTACCGCTGCTAACAGTTTTGTAGAAAATGATTTTGGTGATGTGCCAGCACCAAGCTCACATTGTGATTCAGCTCTGTATAATAAGAGTATTGTGGATAATTGTGCTGCAACAATAGCTCAACTCAAAGCAGCAGGAGTTGGTGAAACAACAGTGAACACTTTAGCCAGTTCCATGGAAGAGATAGTTGATGATATCCATAGTGAAGCTAAAGAGTCAGTGAAGAAGTATCTGTCTTTACAGGAAACTGGCAACAATGATATTGGGTGT